ATAACCTTTCACGTGTACATTCATTCATCCCGATTTAGAATCGAAGGGATGGATCCCCGGATGGAGGTTGCAAGATTTTGCGTGGCCTCTTGGAGGGTGTGAAGGCCCGGGCTGGCTGTATCTTCAAATGGTTTGTATCTCAACTTCTCAAATTAGTTCAACAACTGGGCGGGAATGTTCCACGGCAAGCTAACTTACATACTAATAAGCGTACAGGTTCCATGGCTGACAAACGCCTACATAGGTTGGCTGACGGCTTCCAAATTCGCCTGGGGATTGGACCAAGAGTTGAATCACAGTCACCGTCCATTACGGACGACGTGGGTGTGTGTCCAAATGTCAGCATCCATTCCATTGATGAGTCTTCTTGAGGACAGAATCCTGTCTCTGAGCAATCATCGTGCAATCATCACGCCTGAGTATATGTTCATTCCTTTCACGTTGCCCCTATCTCCTCGTCTGGAGGCGAGGCAACTTGAGCTTCCTTATGTACAGCCCGGATTGGCAATATGAAGCCAATGAGATGTCTCAGAACGGATGGCAGAAAAACAGACGAGATAGCTCGTCCACGGGTAGTTATGTGCAGTAACATACGACGCAGCGCACGTCGAGCAGTCAAGGCACCAGCAACAACACCAGCACCGGAATAGATCCCGCTTAAGTTCAAGTTCACGAATCATATTGTTTTGAAATTTGACTCATGTACTGTACTGCAGTCTTTATTGGTTCCCTTTTCATTCATTTTGTTATTTTGTTTTATTTTATTTTGGGTGGGCTTCTACCTTTTGTTTCACGCTTTACAATAATTCCAACTTTCGTTTCATAAGAGGGTATTTCTTGTCATAATTATCTACTGCTCCTATGGTGATTGTATCGATACTCCTCTCCGCCACCTCCAGGCGTCCTACCCTACTTCCAGCCCAGTGAGACCACTACTTCAGCCCGAACGTTGAGTATCATCTGTGCTTGTCAATCATTGTCATTTTGCAAACCCCCCATTCCCCTAAATTAACCACTCGATTACCAAAGCATTCCCTCTTCTCCAACATGGGCATCATATGCCGTTTGTCTATCCCAACTTGGCCGGGAATCGTTATTATTATCATAGGTGCCATGGAAACCGTTATCGCTGTTCTGATTCGTGCACGATGCCTCTCCATTACAGCCTCCGTTACCCCCATTGCTACCTTGCGTTGCTTGTCCCGGCTTGAGGTTTGATGAGACAGGAGGGCAGTTGTCAGATTGCGTAGTTACATTCCCGCCGCCGGAGCCACTGCGCTGCATCTTACTGCATGGGGGAGGGTGAGGGGCCCCGCTGGTAGCGAAGCTAGACCGATTTCCACCGCCGGCATTCTGTGAACTACGGCTCATATTTGGAAACCTATCACTGGGCGCCATTCGTTCATTGGGTGATTGGGGATGTGCGAACGGGGCCGGTGGTGAGGCTCTGGGGCTAAGATTGCTGGCCATGTTGGAAGTTGAGAGGAGGCCCTGTGAACGTGGTTAATCAAGTTGTACATTACATTCACACAATGAATATTATGATATTAATAAGGCAGATATTGAATAGCTTACCTGAGCACGAAGCAGTTGGTTTACAATTTCAACTCTTGGTAGAGCCTCAAGTTTTCTTCTCTCCTCCTCAATATCCGAGACGACAGTTACCTGGAATTTTTCTTGAATCACGTCTAATAGTAGAAAAGAAATCCTTCAGTGACACGAACCGGGGCTGATATCACACTCAAGAGACTTACCCGCAGCGCGGTATTTAAAAACAAACTCTGCATACGGCTTTTTCATAGTATCCAAGTACTTAGGCGTCCTGATCCTGTGTACATATCTTGCCTGTGGCCCTAATTGAACCTGATGGGTAAGGGATTCCGCATGTGCCACTGACTCAGGAACTGTATATAGCGGAGGCTCGTCTCTAACCGGCTCCGAGAGCACTGGAGAAACGAAAACAGGTTGTTGTGAGACCCAACATTCGCTAAAATCCTGAATCTGCGTTGTAGAAGGTTCTTGACATTGATTCGGTACTGTTGGGGATGGTTGAACATTGGGATTAGAGTCGTCATTTTTAATCCTAGTTGGACTATGATGATTTTCGTCACGAATATTCCAGTCCTCGGGAAGTAGTGGAATGTCATTATCGGTATTGTCCGCCTGATTGCTCTCGGTCCGTGGGCATGGAGTAGCCTCGCCATCGACGCCACATCGGTCCTGGTTGCTACTATTCCCATCCCATCTTGAGCTTTCGTCTTGCTGGTTCAAATCTGCTTGATATTCCTCTTTCTTGTTCTTGCCACGAGACCGTCTCCTCCTTTTGGACTTTTTTCTCCCGTTGTTGTCTGCGCCACTGCGGGAATCTGTGGGGTTATGCGGGTAGCGGCCATAGTCTAAACTCTCAGGGACCCGTTTGCCATCAGAAATCACGTAGTAGTCATGATCATCTGATTTTATGCTTTTTTCGTCCCTCTTATTGAGGGAGGGATTGACGTCTCCAAGTATATGAGGGCTAATATTCAATAGAATAGGTGGCACAAACAACAGACTGTCAGCTTGCACCTCTCCATGAGGAATTGTGGCTGCTGGGTTTTCTCTGCTTGTGGACCTGATGTTATGTAGATGCCTATTCGGAGGCAGGGAGGGATGAGAATCACTTTCACGAGTATTCAGTGGTAAGTTTGATCGATGCATGCAGCATCCACTGTGGGAGTGTAGGTTATGACCCCTTGAATGTTGCCTGCGGCATGGAGGGATATCGGGCGCATCTATTACCGTTTCTTGGCGGGTATGGTCCAGATGGCAATCTATTTCAGCAAGCCTGGCATGCTGACACGACCCTCCAGTATGGTCAAGGGGGTACCCAGAAGGCCTTCCTTTGTTATTATCACGGGGGTGGTGGCACGCAGGGCAGCAATGTGGGTAACTATATTTGTGTGGGGCCCCCGGGACATGGCATGTACTGTCATGAGGCCCGTCAAACAACCCTCCGAGGGCTCCCCAAATTTCGCCATTTCCTTCCTGAAATCGACCGCTGTGATGTTCGTATATGAACGACTCGTCGCTTGAGACGGAGTCATCATCTAGATGAGCTTATTGTTAGAAAACGTGTAACTAGGATGGAGGTCTGCGAGGCAATACCTTCAACCCCGGAGCCAGGAGACATCCCGGATTCTGGTGTCTGTGCACCGTCTGATATACCATCATCTCTAGCTATGTTTGTCTTTGGATGCGCCGCGCAGCGTAGAACTACCACCTGTATAGTACCCAATCTTTTAAAGTGTTTTGTAATATCATCGTTGTTGCCGGAAAATTTGACTGTAAGATCGTGATTTAGCAACTTCAAATCAATGATTCGCTCGAAACAGTGGATTGTTTCTCTTTTGACATACCCAACTGGAAACGCTCGAACCTCCAGTGCCTTCCAATCCATTCACCGTCAGGCAGCCGCTGTTCCCTTTGGCGGACCCTAAAGCTAATATCTCTAAATTTCCTAATTTCCTCTAGTGACCTGGGGATGGGCCGCAGGTCATCTCTGTTCCGATTGCATTGGTATACTCCATCCATGAAAACAAACATAGCTAACCCTGGCGCAATATAGCCGCTTGATCTCAAATTAATTGAAAACGGAGTAGACGAATTGGGGATCGCTATATAGCACTCCACAAACCCGTCGCCATAGGTAGTGCCGTACTCCTTGAATGGAACATTCGAGCCGGCCCATTCTATTTGACAGGAGAGCTGCTTTAGCGTGGGCATTGTTGGATGACCTTTTGGAAGTGATCAAGGAGACGAGGCAGAGAGATTGCCTTGAGAATTGTGTAAAAGGGTGGGGAGAAGAAAGAATGCAATGCATGAGTGAATTAGATGGGATGTGTGTATGAAGTTGAAAATTGCCTATTTTGGCATGGCAACCACTTTTGTCCATCCACCCCCATAAGTTTTGAGCGCGTGAAACATTTAGTGAGTTCTATCTCTTCAGAGAATTGCCAGAGCCATTCTTTAAGAGCTAATTCATATCTTTGACATGAGTTACGTCTTAGCTATCAAAGCAATTAGGTAGGTGATCAACTGCACCCAAAAACTACAAGACTTGAACAAGATTGCACCCAGAATGAAAGAAGAAGGCGAAATAAATGAACCTCTCACAGGAGCAATTGAAAGGCTTCAAGCATCAAATGACACATACACAATCGATCTCATCTCGAATATCGGTGAGTTGTACAATATGTCCTAGAGAAGTACAGGTGCATTGTATCGGATATACTACCCAAGATACAATAATCACCAAGGATTGACGCGGTATAATGAGGACATTATACACTTGAAAACATAACATGCGAACAGCTACATATAACAACTGGCATAGATATAGGAGTCCCCCGTCTTCCAAAAGTACTCCATGCGGGTACCTGATAGGACACCCTAGTAAACTTGAAGTTCTAGATAAGCCAAAGAAGGGGGAATATTGAGGAATGAGGAAAGCTTCAAATGCCAGCCAATAGCTTCAATGAGGAATAGAGCAGCCTACTCAACATTTTACAAAGAGAGCCTCTACCCACGCGAATTGATTCGGGATGGGTAACACCGAGATGCATGGCTGCATTTTCAAAACCACGTCAGAATTGACACGTTTGGTGTCAATCAACATCCCCCCGTGGCCGGAGGATAGAAACTTGCACGAATAGAATTCCGTACAACGGGGTTGCACGGTCAAATACGATCTCCCGCACGACATAAGTGGCCGATCAATCACGAAACCTAGTTTGAGCCAGCGGGATGACAGGAGTGACTCCATCCTTTGAAGCTCCGGTGAGGCGATCATATATCGTTTCTTTCTTTGGTAACCTGGACTTTCAGGGCAGCTAGGAGAAATTCCTCGGTATAGAATCCGGGGTAGCAAGCACGGGATCAAAAAAATTAAAAAGTGAACTATCCTCTTTGTCGCCTTCGGTGTGGTGTGGTAGCTAGGCATCGGAGCAATTACTGTGCGAGCCGGTCGACTACGCATAGTAGTTCCTCTCCGGGCGGTTAGGTTCGCAAAAGACGTTCCCATGCGGATCACTCCCTCTCGTTTTCTCCCGAGATTGATTAATTGGACAGCGTCCGACATACACTGCGTATATTTTCAGTTCAAGCTCAGGGCCGGGGCCAATCGGCTTTTCGGGCCGCGCCTCCGGTTTGGCTAGTCACCCCGCGAAGAACAACACCCAGGAAATGCCAAAATATTCGACCTCTCAGTTTTTTTTATATTATTACGAAATTGGAGTGCAGCCGCAGCCTGTGGCAGAATCCTAAGGCAATGAGCAGCTAACTAAGCGCTGCGTCAGGAGGCATATTAAAGTCCTCAGGGACATCCTTTTTGCCTCTCACATGTCAAGAAATATGCCACCTTGGCGCACGACACAAGTACGGAGCCAATCAGTCATACATTTAAATCCAGCCTGAAGTTCGCATATGAACCAAGCATTGATTCTTTCTCCTAAGTTCTTATCTCAGTACAGATTGCGTTTGCCGAACTAGGTGCTGGCAAGAATTTACTCTGCTACTGTACGGAATGTCCGCCCGCTTCGACGTCTGCCTCTCTAAGCTCGAGCTCGATTCTGGATTACTAGCGTCTACTCCATCTCTTTTCGTCTCGACGCAATGTTTGCTATGGCAGATTGAGGAATAAATCCTGTTCTTCTGGCTATATGCGATACTATTTGTGACCAACACTTTCATATCCCTTTCTCGCCCCAGGACGCCAACCCCCCTTTTCAGCTCGCGTGGGATTTCTTTACTGCCAATGGTGCTGTATCACCCTTCCCGGGCGAACAATGCGTTAATATGCAGCCCACCCGCCAATTAGCCGTCGAGGCTGAGAACCTAAGATGCCGACTGCCTCTGTGAAAACTAATAGTTGTTTCAAGTTGCAGCCATAGTTGCAGGGAGACCCTGGGTCAAGCGGTGACTGCTTAGAAAAGGAGAAATTTGTGTTCTAAAGCTCCAAGAAGAAATTTTTGAATATGGCGTTTGTAATATCTGAGCCTTGAGGCTGGTAGTTACGCGTTAGAGTGCAGATCAGCAGCTGAACATCTGCGGAGGCGGTCAATACATGGCTCATATCCTAACGATGCTAATTATTAAAGATGATGATGCACCAGCCACCGTGTGGGTTCATTTAAGGGTTTGCTATTCCTCGCCGTCCGATCAGACGAACCACAGCCTTGCACATCACCACCCCAAATTGAACACACTAGCTGGGATTATGGAAGCCCGCTAGAAACACCCTTCCCTTCCAGTTAGCCAATTAGCAACGGCGGCTCAACGAACCGACGCAGATGACCTCGAGCGCCAAGGTATCATTGTGCCCGACATGTCTTTTTCCCACCCTCCATGTCAAACGAACAACAGGCCATTCGCTGGTATTCAGCCGCCTTCGAATTCTCCTGATGGCACTTTCTAGTGCGTCTTTTATGGAGACTGTTCTTGTCAGTTTTCTCACCGAGAAGTTAGGGAGCTCGGGGACACAGGTTGCTGCTGAAGCTCATGCAATATGTAGTCGCAAAAAAAGGTACGACATTTACGTGGATGCAGCTTCTTTTCCTCACCTTTATTTCCCTAATTAGTACGTCATTAGACCGAGTCACTGCCTAAGTTTTTGATATAAACTGGCATTTCGTGGCGTGTTTGAGGTATTTTGCCCCTTCGATTTTCAAGGTTCAGTACAGGCGTCTCATATTCACTTTTCGACCATAGATTATCTTATTTCCGGCTTTGTACGAACTTTGTACACGCAGGGCCATGTAATGTGCTGCTGTACCGCCATATGCATGTGCTCATACCGAATTATTGTTCTAATAATTTCAAGATGACGTGAATTGTTACTCGACCTCGAATAGACTACCGTCAAATTGCTGTCACCCTGAAGTCGATGAAGAAAAAGAAAGGAGAAAAAAGCCCAACCCTGCATGTGAGAGAACCAAGGTTTACCCCGACCGGAATGAGCTTTGCAATTAACCCCGGCTTTGAAAGTAATTTCTTTTCTTTTTTTTTTTCCTGCTTGACAGAAAACCCAGGCTGGAAAATCTCAATATCGCTGAGTTTGGGCGGCGGAAAACGGGGCGACTCCAACAATCCAATAATACGAAGTTTCTATCTTTTCAACACCCTTTTCCCAAGCTGCCCATCGACGGGTACTAACTTTAGTATGGCATCGCTGGTGCTATCCCAGCATTTTAACGCGTTGCATATCAGTTTTGAGGAGGCTCAGCAGAGGATACCCCGGCTCTCCAGGAAGGCATGGCCGGCCAGGGAGACACTCTAATAAGCACTTCACTATCAATGGATGAGCACTTTGGCCAATACTAGACCTCGTTGTTCAAGTGAGGCGAGTGCTCTCACGCAAAATTAACATACATTTAGTAGAGGCCTCGATAAACGACCGGGATAATTCATCAAGCTAGCCTTCTTCCGTCTTTACGCTAGCGCAATGAGAAGGTAGCGGCACTCTGAGAGCCTACCCCAGGCTCGATGCCCGGTCCCAAGTTGCCGCGGAACAAGGATATGCCTTGGGCTCCAAATTCAAAGCGATCGGGCCTCCCGAAGACTGAGTACATATAAGAGCTATTTTCCTCTCAGGAAGAGACGCATGGAAGTACCTTTCTTCAGGTTAACCATCGAATTAACAAGGAACCCTCCCTGGTTCTGTTCACTTGGCCTACCTTTCCTTCATTTTCCAGATGATCCTGCCTATTGGTCTGTCCGATACGTATTTGTGTATCAAGTGTCAAGTTTTATTGTTCCTTGCTTTTTAGGTCGTTTATATACATAACTTTATCTTATCTAGTACTTTCTTTTCCTCTCTGTGTATTTTGATATCGACCCTCCTCATAGTCATTCACAGTCCCTCAATAGTACCACTAGGTGTAATATCGCCTGTTGTTTGAGCTTTATACGGACAATTCTAGTACCTGTCGCCTCCTCCACTCCTTGTGCCTCCCCTCACCTCCATTAACATGACTACGCCAGCCTCCATGGACAGGATACTGCAACAGGATGAGGTTCCCCCCGTGCACACAGCAAACCGCCCACCGCAGCTCAATCCGACAGTCACGGGTCCTCAGTCTCGCTGCGACCCCCGTTCTTCTTTCTCCGACGACGACCAAGCAGAGGCTGACTTCGAGATCATCGAAGTTACCTCGGCCTCTGAAAATGGCGGGAACGATGAATTGGCCTACAGCTCATCAACCTTCAGTGACATCGACGATATCGAGAGCCCCAACCCTTACCTATTTTACGTTCTGCCTCTGATGGAGGAACACGATAACGAGGAAGATGTCTTCTTGCTGGTCATCCCATATTGGTGTGATGAGCAACCCGGCTTGTCACACCTTCTCGATGAGGATCGGGTATATCCCTGGACCCCCGCCAACCCAGATCCCACCGATTCTGCGAGCCACGATGATACGGATACTGAAGGCAACTATAGCGTGCCGTCCAGCAGGGTGAATTCCGCAATCTTAAATCCATTTGATTTTGCCGCCCATCGGGATGTTTCGGGTGAAGATAGGATATGGTCGATGTCAATGTCCATCATGTCCTCGTCATCAAGCAGCTCTTCGGGTATGAATTGCAGTGGATGGAGCGAGTCGGCGAGCATTTTTGTTAGGTACGCCGAGAGCCATCTCGACGATATGGTGGATGGGCGTATAGGACGCTCCCCAGAGAGACTTGCTACCATCTAGTGATATGGAAGAAACTTTTACGAGTAAACGTCGGAAGGTTAGTGAGGGAGAATAAAGGAGGTCGCATCCATACCTTTATACAAGCGATGCAAGCTCCCTACTACTCACATTCATCTAAATATCTCCTAAACCTCTCGCCTGTCCTTCATGGCTCGATGCAGCGCCACCTTTTTTTTTTCTTTTTTTTTTTTTTTTTTTCCTCGCTGTCCCGTCTCTCTATTTTCCAGTTTCCAGCTCTTCGTACCTTCCTCTTTATTATACCCCCTTTTCATTTTGTCTTTTTATTATATTCAACATCTATCGAAATATTTGCGAAGCGGAACGGAGTACAACCATGGGCGGCATTTTGTTCAACTCTTTTTATATATTTTTTGTGCGTATGATTTATATGCTGGCTCTTGGATAAGGAGGGTACTCATCATCAGGGAATATGGATGGCATTTATGTTCGCGGCGTGTCATCTTGTATTATCTATGGGCATTCAGCATGTACAGCGTTTGGGATTTGGGCATGTTTTTTTCTTTTTTTTTTTTTTTTTTTTTTGACTGATATTTCCTTATTTCACTTTATTTCTTTTATTTCATTAAATGTTTACTTTTTCCTATTATGTCTTTTTCTGACGTTATACCTACATCACATCAGACCCTGTCTGGCATGTCATGATTCAATGGCCTGTGTTCTTCTTGTATGTATATACCCCATTTTCGGTTATCTTTAGCTACTTGTATGGATTATTCTTTATGTATCTATTATCAATGTTATTGCAATGAATTGTCCATGTCTTTTTGTCCGATGCGTTTTGCTTCGACCCTTATCATTTGTATGTAAATAGATTGCCAAATAAAGAATAACCGGGGGACCATATCCTCCGTCATTTTGTCCCCTTTCCCCATTTTCCGTTGTATTCAGAGTGATATATATATACCACTAGCGTTTCGTGAAGCTATACTGATCTAGCTGCCACTATCTCTGCAAATTTCAAATGCGGTTCAGTTTACATTCTCCGATGGAACTTTTAGTTCAACAACATACCAGGTTGCCTTTCCCCCCTTCAACCAGAAATCAATGCACTAACAACCATTTCCTCCAGTAAGGATGATTGAACCTGCATCAGGACAGAGCAGTTCCATTGTTGGGACAGCGTGTGTTGCCTAACAAATTGTGTTGAGCACTGGCTCAGGATGCCTTCACTCATCAAGATTGGGGCCATGCTCCTTTGCAGCTGCACCACCACCACCACGACCGACACCAGGGTTTTAAGTCTGTATGTACATACATACATGACATGGCACCTATATGTAATTAAAAAAAATATAAAAAAAACAGCCCTGTTGATACATAGGGCAAGTCAACGGCTTGTCCCGCACGGGCTGACAAGAAATGCGGGCAGACATGTTCCATGAAGCTTCCTGCTGGACGCACGCCACGAAATTCCCGTCGCCCCGTCGCCTTAAATATTTAACTAGTCGAGCGAAAAACAAGCACCCGGGTTATTTAATCCTCCTTTCTCACAGAAGGCGAGAGTTCTCAAGAGAAATCAGTCACTTATATTGTATTCTACAATCAGCTCTTGGTTTCTGAATGCCATCTCCAAACGCGCTAAATTCAACAATCCGCTACATAAAATTCTGCAGGCAGCTCTGTCAAGCATGAAATCCATGAAATCCATCATCAGCCTGCCGATCCTGCTCTCGTTCGCCCTCTCCGTTTCTGCAGCACCACTTGAGCAGAGTATCTTCATCAATCCTGGCAATGACGGACTCAGACCGATGGAAGAGGTCATGATCTCAACACTCTCAACTGCAGGCATATTTATGTGACCGTGCTGGTTTTGAGGGACCTTGCGTACACTACGCAACTCCCTTTGGACAGTGCAGTAAGCTTCCACATAGCGGCCTCAGCAAATACCAGCAGTCTATGTCACTAAAGTCCTTAACCCCTTCAACACACACACAGTTACCATCATCGATCAGTTCCCTCGCAGCAAGGGAGTCAAATCGGCTAGTTCCGACCGAGGAAGCTGGTGCACGTTGTACTCGTAAGATTTTCCTCCTTCTTCGCCGGAATACCATAAATACTTACAATCGGGGCGCTGGTTGTTTAAGAATGCGCTTTTCCTGACTCTTTCTTATTTCGCGCTAGGCAACCTGAATGCCATGGAGATGAGCTTCAGGTCCACCACCCTGGGTATCCGGATCTGCGCCATCAAGACTGGGGCGATCGGGCTCATAGCTACAATTGCAGAGCTGCGGAATGACGGGCTTGGCCTGGGGTTAGCTAGAGCAGCAGGGGCGTCATAAGATAGAATTTTGGAGCGCAACGTTCGTTTGGTATTCCATGTTGCGCATGAATAATGATACAAATATATTTTTTAGACAAGTTATTTCGAGCTCGAATGCATGCTTTGATTTTACTATGACACAATCAGTTACTAGGATTTATGGTTATGTCAAGGCTAATCAACTTCCGCTCATATTATAGCTAGCTATATTCGGAAGAAAGTCTGGGAAGCCAGTAAACCAGAGATCTCGCCAGTATACATACCATGGATTTGCCCTTGGATAGAACCGACTTGTGGGGGTTGGTTGCTATGTACTGTATGTCCATACCATACCTTCATGGGGGCTGCTAGCGGCGCCATTAACTTAGTAACTTGACTAAAACTACTCCGTAGTTAAGCCTGGGGGAGCTTGCTCAAGCAGGGTCTTCTGCTGGGGGTTGACCATTATTAATTAATATTATCAGAATGGAATACAAGAGAAACTATATATCAGCCATTGGAACAGCATAGCACAAGCGATAATTTTAGAATGCCAATCCGAGTACCTATACATCGTCTGCCGCCCACATCCACGCGGCAATAGCTGTCGCCAGCTGCGTGGCCAAGTACCGGTACACCGGGCCCCACCCGGCACACGGACCAGGCCAAGTCATCCAGCTCATCCCATCCCCAATTCCCAACCCATTCCCATCCCCATCCGCATAACTACACACTACAGCACTCCGGTTTTCCTGCCAGCAACATCTCGCTCTCTTCCTCTTTCTCTGCAGTTAGCCAGTCTCTCTCTCTGGGTGTTGTTCTTGCATCTCGATTCTCTATATCAGTCTGTCTTCTCCATCCTTTTTGCCCTGTTGTTGCGAGACATCTTAACCGCGCGCTCTTTGGCATCCATCCCCCGCCGCCTCCCAATTATTGTTTCACCGCAACACCCAACTTGCGAGGGTTTCGGGCCTAGACGGGGCCTATCAATGACTGACGGAGTCGGGCTTCGAGGCTCTAGTCAGTCACAACCACCGCATGACTTTTTCCCTTAAAGTTCTAATCAGGTTTTCATCCAGGGGCCAAATAGCTCTTCTTCCCTCCAAACTCTATACTCTCTCTATGATGTCCCAATTGTAGATGACGGCCTTATTCTACGGAGCACCCGGCCTGTTTAAAATATCAACAGGGCTTGTGCTTCGCTTTCCGCCCCCATGATGGATGAGACCCTTCCCGCTCCTACAGGACGGAGAGTGCTTCCCCAACCCATCGAGGTCTCGTCCCGCTCCTCCAACCCGTTTGCATCCAATTACAATCTTTCCAGGATATCAGCAACAAATGATCGATATCCTGAAGCTAAAGACCAAAAGACTATCGTTCCTAACCGGCCGGAACAACCCTCGCCAAACGACCGCTCCGACCCCGCCGCTTCTCAACCTACATCTCCCCGGCATCTTCCGCATTCACAGGGACCTGCGGAACAGGAGACGAGATCAACTTTGCCGCAACCGATTGAAACTTCTACGAGCAGCTCAAGGAATAAGAAACAACGCCTACAGAGCGTCAAAAGTTCGGAAGATGGTTCTCCCAAAAGGAAATTTGTTCCTGAGCCTATCGAGACCACTTCACGGTCCTCCAGGGGCCCTAAGCCCACCTCTGGGTCGGCGGGTCGAATAGCCCCACAGTTGGTTGAGACTACACTGGACCACCGCCGCCATAAATTACAAGGAACCGACCCAGTTAATCCTCCCGATAATGCCGCTGGAAATGGAGAATCGAAATCTGCTTCTGGGCATCACATGCCTCGCCATCAAAATCTCCCAATACGATCGGGACAGTCATCATCGGGTTCAGACCCGTCCGGAAAATTCACCCCGCAGCTAATTGAAACTGCAACACGCTCAGTGCGTCAGAAATGTCTTGTACGCGGCACGGCGGAATACCCAGAGCATAGGCTATCGTCTCCATCCGCAGCTTCGCAGCAGAAGCTGTCCGCCCCAGAAAGTACGGAATCCCGATATTCCTATGCTAATATCCTCCGTCGGCAAGAGGAAAAAGGGCGGACATTCCAAATCCCAGCTCTTCCAGCAATACCATCAATTAGCAGCGAGGAATCTGAGAAATCCCCAGCTCCGTCGCCTCCTACTTCTCCTTCTACTCTGTCCAATATTAGCAGCAACAGACGATACGCGGAAGAACGCCTGTTGCGCGAGAGCAGTGATGAGAGGTACTCCAACTATTTACTGTCTTTGGCTTCACGTTCGGCACAAAAGCTGCTCAGGGATCAAGCCCTTGCGGCCTTCCCTAACGAACAAGTCCATCAGACTGTTTCTCACTTTGCCATCGGTCGAGAAGAAGAGGACACAACGGACGACGACGGCGACAGTATGGGTATATCACTTCGCGACATGCAATTGGACTTTTTGAAATTCCGGCGTGAATCAACCATTGACCTCAGCTGGGAACTGGATGAGATGAGAAGGCACAAGGAGGAGTCTGAAATGAGAGCCCGGCAAAAGAAGTTTGAAGCTGGCCAGTCACGGTTCTCAGCTGCTGCAATAGCGTCTAGGCAGGCGGCAGAAAACGAAGTCTTAAAAGCAGCCCGTCAGGCAGGCGTAGACGGGTGGCAGAAGGCGACAGGGTTTAACCAGCTGAACGAATACACCAGCCCACCAATGCTTGGAGAAGATATTGTCTTTCCCAAAAGCTTATCACCCCAAGCTACCCGGTGCGATGTCGACCGCCCCCCTGCCCCGCACCATGCCGATAACTGCGCAGATCCCGTGAGATGCGAAGGACTATGGAGTCCAAACGCCCATACTCGTGACTGCGACGATGGCGGCCTGTGGATGGGTCTGTGTCGCCGATCCAAAGAGCCAGAGCAGTCATCCTCGCCTATACCCAGGCCGGGAATAATCACACCCGCTGTCTCCAATAATGAAAAATTCTCGTTCCAAAGCCTAAACGGCGTCACCACGTCCACCACAGCCTCCACAGCGACAATGACATTATCCACCCTCCCATTCAGCCCAGATACCCCCTCCCAACTCCCCACAACCCCACCCCCCTCCAACCCAGACCTCGACAACATCGACGAACTCCTCCTCCAAGAACAAGACATCAAGCGCGAATTCACCGACACCTTCGTAACACAAATATACAACTACCTCTCCCTCGGCTACCCCTGTCTAGCGCGTGACTACGACGAGGAACTCAGTAAGATCTCGCGCATCCCCGTCGAGGAGCTACGGAAGGACGACAAGCGCGCTAACGCGAAGGGATACGTGGGTGCCCCCGAGGGCGTTGGCATGGGTGAGAATGCGATATCGTCGGGGGCGTGTATGCGCTGGACAGCGCTGAGGTTGTATATCTATGAGTGGGCGAGGCAGCAGCCGAGGATGGCGAAGGCGGATCGGTATCAGCAGCCGAACGACGGGTCTGGGATGGATGCGTGGGGGGCGAGGGCGCGTAGGGGCAGTTGGGCTATTTGAGCGCGCTACCTGTTGTTGTTATTGTGAGTATTATTGTTATTATCCTTTTTTTCTGTTTATCCATCATAACAATGATTTAATGATGGCAGCGATGCGGGAGGATGGGGACCCTAGACTCCTTTTTTGCTTCTTTTGTCTTCCTTTTGTCTTCCTTCCTTCCTTTTTTTTTTTTTTTTCGGGGTCTTTTTCCAGATATTCTTCTTGTTAACAGCGGCTACCTTCATCTTCTTCCTAGAATTCTTGGGATTTTTTCCTCTTGCGTTTCCTTGTTCGTTGTTCTCAAAACAGGAAATGGGGTTTGAGTATGCTATGGGATACGCTGGCTAGGGCATATATACGTACATAACTAGCTCTGTTCCATCGCTTTTTTTCTCATTTCAAATCTATTCTTCATGCCAGGATTGGTTCCGCTGCTGTTCTCTCCTTCCGCTCCATTGTCTGTCTGCCTTGTTTTCCAAATCGTTCGTGGGAAGAAATGCATATGTCATTCCCCTGGATAAGCACTCTTTTAGTGATTTTTAATATTTATTTTTCCTGTTCTTCCGTTGCTTCCTCTTTGAAAGAATACAATGTCTATGTAATTGCCAGTTTTTTTTCTCTTTTTTCTTTATTTTTTTCTTGTGGGCGGCTAGATAGATGCTTCTTTCATGGGATGAGTTCTTTTTTCCCATTGCATGTGTTCCATTTTCCTTCCGCACTTGCGCAATTATACAGAGTTAGTCAGCTAAAGCTGAGCGAGTGAGTTGGGGGTATTTATATATTTGTTTGTTTCCTTTCCTTCAATCTATCCGCACTATTGAATTACCATCTACTTTTCTTGTACATATATATGCGGCCTGCATCGAGAATCATTCATATTTCTCTGTTCATGGTAGAGTTTCTCCTCTGACATGCACTCCCAGAGCCTGTTGCTTTGGAAAGGGAAGGGGAAGAAAAAAAAAAATTCCATATATGTCATTCAAAGGTCCCGAGGACTTTACAAAGTCAACAACACTGGTCTAAAGTTTTGCACGTTAGCTTCCATCAAATCAGCCAGCTTCCACCCCTTGTATCCATCCCCCTTCCCTGACTCCTCTCTGGAAGATTGTTGAAAATCGAACAAGATTAGAACAAGAGCGCTCCGCGGGTGGGAGAGGGGGATGGGGGAACCGGCGTGTTTTGAAAACATGAACCATAAAATGGGTCTGGGTTAACAACGGAAATATAGAGGGCAAGTGGGAAGCCTATAGGGGCGTCCTGACCTTGAACAAAAGTAGAAATAAAAAATAAGAAAGGGGGGAAAGGTGAAGTGCAAGCCCCCAAATAAAATCGAATATGACAGAAAATCCCCATCCCTCCCCTTCGATTCACCAAGTCTTAAATCCCAGTCCAATTTATAATAAACTATACCAAAATCACCAAAAAAAATAATCATATCACCATCATACTACACCATCGGATTCCATTCCATTCCATCGATCCATCTATCCATCTATGAATCTATACCCAGGGAAGCGCGCTATCATCATCGTCATCGTGGTGGTGGTCGTCATGATAATACCTCTCTTCCTCAGCAACCCCATCCGGCCCCCACGTCCAGTCCTTCTCTCTGTCCTCCCCATCTTCATCGTCGTCATCCTCATCCTCATCCTCGTCGCCATTCCCGACATCAAATACATTCGTTTTCTTCCCGTTCGCTTTACCCAGATCTTGCTCCTGCTGTTGGTGTTGGTCATGTTGGTGTTGGTGTTGATGAGGACCGTCTCCATCCGCGCCGTCAACAGCAGCCTCTCCGCTACCTAGGTCCGTGCCACGGCGTACGTGTGCGTGCACTATTCCCGGGAATATCCCTTGTTCAGGTACGGTGCCAGCAGCTGTTAAGGGGCCCGTGGGGAAAGGAGCGGCGGACCCTTGTACTTTCGCTTGTGCGAATGGGCCAGGGGTTTGGGCGGGCACGTGGTGCATGGCCTGGGTATTAGAAAGGGAGGCAGAGCGGCTTATATTCGCGTCTGGTATTGGCGACGCCGCTGCAGTTGCAGGTTGTCCATGTCCTTGTCCTTGTGGGTGGTGGTTTTGGGAGTGAAGGTCCGTGCTAGAGTGGGAGGTTGGGAATCGAGCAGAAGTTGTCGGGAAATTGGGGGCCGAGGGGTTCGGTTGCTGGACAGACATTGCTGGGCGCGGGAGAAAGGAGTCTGGTATTTGGCCTACCACGATGGTCATCCAATGAGTGTGTGCAAAATACACTATGAGATGGAATTCAAAGAGGTTGGTTTACCTAGTGATGCTACGGGAGATGTAAAGGAAGCTTGTGATTGCGATGATGGTCGCATTCCCGGAGTAGACAAGACCGATGCGTATCTTTCGATTCTGGGGCGTGAATAGTAATGTCAGCGCCCTCTTTCTACCAAAAATAACCGTGAGATGTTTCAGGGCTCAGGAAAAACTTACAGAGTCAACTCTCCGAGCAATGTCTCCTGCCTGAATTGCTCCCGGAGATCTGGGACATTACTCTTCGCCATATTATTGCCTTCCACACCGGGACGATGGCATGTCGGGCCCAACCATCGATGTTTGAGAGAAAGTTCGAATCCACATTGGTCCACGGAATGCTTTGCCAATTCGCACATGTCCACAGCGCTAAATTTGTATATCTGCGCGGCAACAGCATATTCCTCGATCAGCGGCTCTTTTGTGAAAGCAAACTGCAAGGGATCATCAGTCGATAAGGAAATGTTCAAACCCCTCCTAAAGAAGCTAGCGCATGGGTTCTTGTCATAAGTCAGGAACAGAGCATTGTTGCTCAATGGCGACATTGCAATACCAATTTGATCCAGATAATAGAGGTACTGGAGCAATGGTACCTTGCGCAGCAGGATACCGTGGCTTATTCCATAGCAACAAAGTACCGCAGCGGCCAGGTGGTCCGGGTCGCCCGCTTCACCACAGTGAGGTCGCAGCACAAAGGTGTTGAACCCCCGCTGCTTTCGCCAGTTGTTCAGCGATGCCATGTTAGCAAACATGAAATAGATCCAATAGCTGTAAGGTGGGTTCTGCTTGGTATTCCACTTTTTCGGAATCGGAAACTTGCGGAACAACCGACGCTCTGGCTTGCTCTCGTCGTCAACGCTGTCGAAACCAACCACGCGTTGTAGGAAGATATGAAGCTTGGGATGACTTGACGGATCTTTCGTCACCTCGAACAGAGGCTGGTAGACATTTCTGATAACTTCTTCGAAGTTTTCCATCATCCCGCTAGATTTGTAGACATCGTATAGCCGGGGAACTTGAATCAGCCAGCGGATGTTCGGGGAAAAGAGCTTATTGTCAACTACCCAAGCGGCTAGCTTGTCCCATTCATCTAGAGATCTTCCGTAAATAGATATACGCCACTCCGCCATCTGGTACTTGCTGGATTCCAGATCTGAGATTACTTCTTTAGTGATCTCCGCGAGATATCGTCCTTTGATGAAGTTGTCCGTTTTGAGGAAGATTTCTCGAAGGCGCGATTCCCCGACAGGGTTATATTTTAGATTGAATTTGTCAAATCGATGGAACGAGTCTTTATGTGCCTATGACATACAATTGGAATGAGTGTGGTCCTTAACCGGTGGAACGGAGAGTGAAAAGGAACTTACGTGCATATCGAGCGTATCAATGCTGAGATCGTAAGCCGTCAGGTTGATACTTTCGAACACCTCCCTCAATGTCAAGTGCTTGCCGTCTCTGAACAGAACGACCTCATCAGGCGATTTCTTAATCTTACTCTTGATGAATCGCAGAAGATGTTTCTGGTTCATGCAGGCAGAGTGGTGGACGTGAGTATCGACCTTCCTAACATTGTAAAAGTCCCTATGGGGTACCTTTTTGCTATCTGCCATCTCCTGGTATTCGTTGAGAAGCACATGAAGTTGGAATTTGCCCTCCAGATAGCTTAGACGCTTGAAAGCAAAACTCTTAGTTGGGCCGTCAGTGGATACTTCAGTGACGGTATCCAAATCCATGTAAAATTCTCGAAGGGAGGGAATATGGAAAATAGGCTGCTTCTGTTCGCAAGCTTCTTCACTCTCGTAAACCTGATATACACTGTTTTCGTCAAGTGCAAAGGTCATTTGCGACGGTCCCGGCACTGGCAACAGATCCTCCAGGAAGAAATCTTCGCCAATATCCTGGCCGAGTTTTCGCTTCTTTCGGGCAGGGGATGGAGGTACTGCTTCACTTTTGGGATTGGTCGCAGTGCGTTGCGCTCCACTTATCATCATACTATTCGACATGCTTCCCGTCCCAGGAGGATACGTTTCACCATCCCATGCCGGCTCAGGTGGAGGAGGGTATATAGTCCAACCCGGTTGGTCCCGTGGGTTATCTGACGATGTCTGCAATGAGAGTCGAATATATTTCTGCCTCATATCCAGAAGACCCTGGATCTTCTGGCAAATAATGCGCAGTTCAGCTGTAATTGCATCGTCGCTAGACGCAAACCCGCCAGGGCCTTGAGTAGCACCAAATCCTGCCCCAGTCCCAACCCCAGTCCCATATACCCCTTCCGCAGAAGGTAGATGTGGTTTAGGTTCATTCGGTATCGAAGATTGTGGGGCAATATTTCGACTCGGTCGATCCAGAGTCGTGAAACCGTCTGAGGGTTTACGCTGAAGAGGCGAGGTGGGCTGGGATCTTAAGACCGGACTGTAGCCAGAGCGTGTTTCCGGGACAGAAGGCTGACCGTGTGCTAATGGCGCATTCCCTTGACTACTTATGCGCGATGCTATGCTTGCTGGCCTGCTCAGATATTCGCCTTCACCTTCCCCAGCTGGCATGACGGGCACGGTCGTTGACCGGGAAGACAGAGCTGGGCTCTGGGGAATTTCGCCGTCCACGTATTTGGACTCGAGCTGATGTCGCTGGTAGAATAGTTTTGCCTCCGCGTGGCTCAGGGACTTCTCGTACGCATAGTCATACGTGGCTGTCCTCCGCTGTCTGTCGCGGGGAAGCATGGTCTGTGCCACATTGCCAGACAATGAGCTGTCGTCGCGTGTCCTATCCATGTCTTCGTCTAATTGCTGGCTCTCCGTGAAACTGGATTCTCCATTAAGGTCAGGGCTTCCTGTGGTGTCGTCGTCGTCGTCGTCGTCTTTCGGATTAGATCCAACGCCATGTGGCTGAAGGGCGGAAGGTTCGATAGAGCTGCGTGCTTCTAAGGGTTCTGGATAATCCGGCGGCACAGCTTGTGGCCTCTGTTGAGACATAAGCCCAGGCGATTAAATAGTCCGAGTCTGGGAGAACAATGTCAGTATCCACAAGCTTTCCCCGTCGACGTCATGCCAACGATTACACAGCGCCAGAATGGACTGGGTGGGGCGCGTCGAGAGGAGCTCGCTCACCTGGCGCGCTGAGACAAGTTGAAGAGCAATGAACAGCAGCGCAACAGAACGCCAAGACAATAATACAGCAAAGACAAGAGAAAGAGGAGCAAAATAGACGGTAACTATACAATCAGAAACTCGAGTCAATTGAAGAAACTAAAGAAAAGGAGAGGGTGTGAAGGTGACTCACATACGGGGACAGAAGACAAGCTGAGAAAGGTGAAAGTTCTGCGCTGTGCCACACTACTCTATTTACTGCAGCCAACGACGGCGTTGCAGGCGACTGTCAACCAACGAAAGGAAGTTAACTATAAGTAACTTACTTTTGATGGAGGAGGCACAATATATATTTTCAACTAATAGATACTTTCAAAAATCAAGAGCCTTTTAAAGAGAGCATTGCAATACACTGAGGAATCTCTGCATGCCTGTCTAGATTACTCTAAAGTTACATCAAATCTATGCAGAAAACAGTTACCACTCTCCCTCTGTTGAAGCCTCTACTGAGTTAGCTTACTTGTTAATATATAGTAGATGTCGACATGCCTTCAATTAATTCAAGAGATCTTACAGTAACTGCTGAATGTTACATATGCTCAGACTCTATATATATCAGTATCCGGCTGAACTTGGCTGAACTTATTTTCAATTTTCAATTTTCAATTTTTTTTTCTTAAAAAGAAATTGTTCCAAATATATTCTCCATAAATAAGGTAAATTATAGCAATGCTCTGTACAAAAATCTAATAGTACAGGACTTATTATTAACGATTAGACAGAGCCGTTGTGACGACGGCAAACTACATGAAAAGGGACGAAGATGTTGAGCGTACACGAAGAAAAGGAAAAACTAGAAAAAACAGTGGAATCGGCATGAAATAGTACAATATAGCAAAAGCAAGACGCTGTTGTCGTCTTTTTCTGCCCTAAGAAAAGGATACAGTAAGTGGCAAAATCGACAGGCTGGATTATATATAACATATATCTCATAATACCGGGGTTTGGCCACTATTTTGCGCCAAGTTCGAACTCCTCACGGTTCGGAAAACTGCAATGAAAACACTCGCTTTTGTAGTTTTCCTAATTGATGATTATGAAAAGTAGAAGGAATAAGATAAAACAAAAGTAAAAATTAGAAATCTTGGGATTTCCGCGAAAGATACGTTAGGGACGAGACAGTAAGGATGAAAATATAAACCGTGGAGGGAAAAGTAACTCCCAAAAATACCGATTGAGAAAGAGGCACGCAGAATCAGGAGGATACCCGATCATAGATAACAGGGGAAAAGGTTCAAATGGTTTAGGGTGGAAGTTTCCACACAAAGTGACCATCTTCCTGACAGGGCAACGAAAGAGTAACAACTGGGATAAATAAAAGATTAGAAAAGCGTAAAAATAAAGACAAGATAAAATGGCAGTAAAGATAAGAGTTCCTCCTCGCTTGAGGAGAGAGGGAAAAGAATGAGAGGAAATTCGCTTTCTTGATAGAGTTGAGCACTGCAGTAATTTTACTGACAGAGTGCAAGACAAGATGAAAAAAAATAAAAAAATAAAAGAATAAATGGCTTTGACAGGTGTGTTTTAAAACACGCTGTTATGTTAGGCTAACATCAAGAAACCTCTTCTCCTTCTTGAAGTTAACACGAAGATAGCATCATGAAAATGCTAAGAAAGAGAAAGAAAAGGATCGGCGAGAGAGGTAACAAGAGAGTCAAGTCACCTTGTTAACCGTATCGGAGATGGCGAGGCACTGTGCTGCTGCCGCCATGGGCGTTTGGAGAGACTGTCTCACCGGGGTAATATTGACCCTGGGGTTCAATTAGCCCGGGTTGGCGCGGGTAGTCTACCTCGTAGTCGACATATTCCTTCGATACTTCTCGCTGCACGGGTCGTTCTATATAATACGCACTGGTGTTTTGGTGTTCTCGCCCACCAACTCTGACAGGAATATATTCTACCGTACCGTCATACGGTGGTTCCAGATATCTTGGTTCTTCCACATACTGATAAGTTCCACGAGGGGGAAGTCGAGTGTACGCGACATTTTGTTCTGTTGGGCCTCTGTCATGGTATGGATCCGATGCGTGGGTAGCGTAAACGGGGCGCTGGCGAACTCGGGGTGGCATAGGACTACGGTCACGATAGTATGTAGGTTCAACGGGAAGCGAATCACGGGCGATCGGAGAACGAGAGCGCGGGCGGTGAGAACCTTGTCTTTGCGCTTCATACCTGTCAAATCTGCTGTGAGGGCGTCTCGTTTGGTAATCAGACTGGTGCCGAGGTTCTGAGAACCCAATGGGCTTCCTTCCATGGCGGATATCAGTAGGTTCTGGAGACCGTTCGTCACCGTGCCTAGATGAAGCATAGTGTTCATGCTTGGGTTCGTAGTCACCACGGAACCCTCCAATTGTAGGGCTTTTAACCCTATTCCAATTGCCGCGTTGTTTGCTATGAGTGGGAGTTCCTGAAACACTGCTTTCGGCTGTCCCTCCATCAATGCGCCAACGCCGGTCATCAGGCTCTGGGCCCTCAAGCCATTTGCCCCTAGGAGCTTCATCTGTTCGGCGCTCAGAACCCCGAGACGGCGCTTTCTTGTATTCTTCGGTTTCTTGGCCAGGAACGAAGCTACTCAAAAATCGTTCTGCATCTGTCATTTCTTCATGTAGGGGAATCCCTCTCGGAGGGCGACGCTCTTGCGAATGGCTTGCTTCCTCGACTTCCCCATCCTCTGAGACGTTCCGCACGGGCGTTTTAATTTTCTGGGATTCGTTAAGTGGCTCGGCAGTTACAGAACCGCTCACAGCGGAATGGGGGTATTCAGACTTTGGTGGGCGGCCTCCATATTGAGAGGCGGGCTTTGACAAAGGGTCAGATTGATGGTGTTGATGGCGATCGGCATAAGGATAAACTTTCGTACGATCCACATCGCTAGGCTGGGCTCGGTGGAATTTCGTTCTAGCTGGATAACGGTTGCTAGAGGTCTGGTCCTGGTCTCGCATATTATGGATCCTGTCTTTGGCAGGAATGGTGGATGGTTGATTTTGCCTTGATCTGCGGGTATCCACTCGACCATGTTGGTCTCTTACTGGCTCAATGAAGGCAGGTCTATGGGGATCATATTCATCGTCCTTAGGCGGATCCGGAGGTTGATTGGCATCATTGGCAGGGGACTCCACGAATCTAGGGAAGTCATCTACTACAACTTCAAGACCATGGTTTGGGCTGGACAAACTTTTTGGCTCTGTTGCCTTCTGTTCCGCAAATTTGGCGCGAGTGTTGCCGGGGTAAGAACGTTTAGACTGTTTTGAATCGCGGGGTTCGGGACGTCTCCTATCGCTCAAGTTTGACGCTGGTGTGTGACTGATTGATGGGGCCTGTGGGAACACCCACGGGAAAGCAGCCGAAATTAGTTGCATTTTGGCGTCGTCCATACCAGGGGCATCGACCAACTCTGAAATTGTTTGATTGTCTGGCACGAGTAACATGTCATATTGCCATTCCAGCAACCGAGGTTCGCGCCCAGAATGTGGGCCAGTCGGCTTAGTACGATCAACGTGCATGGATTGAAAATGACTAACAAGAGCTGGAAGCGTATATATCTTGCGGTCAGTTCGACCTGCGTCATGGTGATGCTGTCTTCCAGAAATGTCGTTGTCGTTACAAGTTTTGCATACCAACCCGCTGAGATTTTTTATTGGTCTCATTTGAGCATGGCTGCTTAACCCATCCGCGAAAAGTGTCAATTGCGGCTCGTGACCAAACCTTTCCACAAACCTGGAAACAACATGATGAATGAGGACATGAGCCCGGACATTATGTGGCAAGTCCTTGATACCCGAGGTTCCATTCCAAACGCTGCGGGCATTCTTGGCTACGTCATCAAGCTGGACTTGGTACATGCCAAAGGCTTGACTGTTGGGGTTTGAATTGTGCCCTTGGGCTCCACCTCTCCTTGGTGGATGGGAATTAGTGGGGTATGGAGCACAATATTGCGGTTGTCCGGTGGTCGGGGGAGGATATGGGGGCGGCTGGTATGGCTGAGGCGCCCTTGAATCAGGAGGTGGTGGGTATGGCGGCGGATAAGCTTGCCCTGGATAAGGAGAGCCATATACCGGATTTGGAGGCTGAGGCGGGCCGTACGGGTCATAAGCCCCGCTGGGGGCATAGCCAGGTTGGGGTACCGAATACGGAAAACTTGCAGGCTGGTTAGGATAAAATGGAGGGGCAGGAGATGGCGGTCTATAAGGACCTGATCCATAAGCGTACGGAGTTCCATATGGAGTGCGATTATAAGGTCCAGGTGAAGGTTGCGGATAGCCCGGCCCTCCATCTGATGGGTGATGATGTCCCTGATCTGAGCCAGGCATATACATGGCCCCAGGGTTGGGGTAACCAAGGGTATGCCCCACAGTCGGCCGGGGCATTGCAAAGAAAAGCGCTTTGGCAGCAGTAGGGTTGGGATGGAAAGGGGAGTGTTCAGGCCATTCAGCGCGCCAATGAACAACGACACTGCCTAAACTGAGCACATTGGTGTGTTTGGCAGCATAATGCTGGATTACACCCTCAAAACCATAAAATTTGGTATTTGCTTCGCAGCCATTGCCATTGCACAAGAAGAGTTCTTTTTGAAACTGTTCTGTCAGTGGTTTGATCTTGGTATCAAATATGAATTTCATATTTTCGAGTATCAGTTTGCGCGTTGGTGGAGCACCTGGAGGATCCTCTGGAATAGGTTTTCCTGCGTTACGGGCTTTGGCGTCCTCCTGAGCCAAGTCCCTGTAGAACTTGTCCTTGACGTAAATAAGGACATCAGCCGCAAATTTCGCGCTTTTTTCTTTGGTAACTGCATCACCGCCACGCCAACCTTCACGGATTATCTCATCTGCATACGAGGCCATACGTTCTCGAATAGGCTTTTGGGCTTCATCCCATTCCCTGTCCTGCTGCTCCTTGGCCTCTTTGAACTGTGCGTCATGCTGACGACGCTCTTCCGACTTGGCCTGAAGAAGCTGGTCCTGTTTTATCCTGTAACGTTCTCGACGTTCAGCAACATCCCTTTGTGATAGTAGACGAGGTTTCAAAATATCCCAGTCACGGTCAGTAAACGGGTGTGGAATTTGAATGGCAGCTGAAAACGAATCCATGTGGCTCAGAACAGCGGGTGTTAAGGGAGGTACAAGCTCCAGACAGCGTCGTTCTATTTCTGCTTTGCGGCTTGCTTTCGCTTCGTTTACTTCTCGGAGGCTACGTTCAGTGCGTGGGTGATGTGCGGAACTCGATGAAGGTAGAGGCTGGCTTGAATCGCGACTCGAGGAAAGTGGAGGGAGTTTGGAGCCTAAAAGTTTGATTTAGTACAATGCTTCATAAATATGAATTTAAAGATGGGAAAAGGGAAAGAAAAGAAAAAGAGAAAAGAAAAGAAGAGAAAAGATGTCCGATAACAATGAAATAGACGCCGTCGTGGAGAGAATTCAGTGCGCCGCCGTCTGTAAATGCTTACCAGAAGTATTTGAAAGACTAGCTGGACTGCGCTGGTCATTATTGGTAACTCTGTCATTGGTGAGTGGAGTAGAATTTCCAGAATGTCCAGAATGATGTCCAGAGGTGGTATCCACAGGCTGGTGCTTTGCACCCGAGTCCATGGAAGATAACCGCCAAGTGACCTCGTTGCGGTTACCACGGGACAGTCTAACGGATCGAATACCACCTGATGCTTCCCATTGTTCCCAGCGGGCAGCATCGGCAAGTTTGTCTTTGCCATTACCTTCGAGACCTTTAATCCACTCCTCTGTAGCGGCAGGGCCAAGTGATTTAACATCCTCAAACTTACGCCTCATGTCATCAATGTGGACTTTGTAAAAACGTTTAGTCAGTGAAATGTCGCCTGGGGGCTGATTGTTGCGCAAAGTTATTGAGGAAATAAAATGCATCGAAGGAGTAAAGAACGCGAAAGGGAGTGATGGGATTAGCATAGATGGCAGATTAGAAGAGAACAAAAGATCCATTTCCTAAGTATCGAGTTAGTTGTCCGACCAAAATGAGATAGGAATGTAAGGTAGAGGAACCTTTTCAGATTTGACCTGTATGCATTCTCCGCAGGATCGAATTCCGAAGGGCCATATAATGCTGACTCCATCTAGGCCTGGCCCAGCTTCCCATATTGTACTATCAGTTAAGGATGAACAAGAACTGAGCTTTCCACAGAGCTGGCAATTGCTTCCAGAGATAAGGTTCCACATTTCTAATTCTGTTAGAAAAGACATTGGGCGTGGCATTCCCGGGTGGAACGCTCTCCGAGAAACAGACCAGATGGAATTAGGGTTTAGATATTTCAAAAGCCCTGACGCTTGAGGAAAGCCCGGTAATTCTGCCTCACTTGGGGTGAGAAGGGACCTGAATGTCTTGTTCACACACAAAAGGCGACCTAGTGTGGTAGGAGGAAGAAAAGTAAAGATATGCTGCCATATTTCTCCAGGCAACATAGATCCAAAAGACGCTGTTCCCTGATTCTGGATCTTCTTCGTGGGAGGGACATATGGCCCGTTTAGTTCGTTGGATTTCAAACGTTTGAAGCTATCCTGAGGAAATTCCACTGCATGTGGCTCATGAGAGTCCATACTAGGCGAACCACCGAGTCCCTGGAGGGTTTCGACAGGATATTCGCTGGAGTGTAGGGGCATATCCAAGCCGTCTGTCGACCGCTTTCGTTTCCGAATCTGGCCCAGATGGGTATGATTATCATTGCGTTGCTGGCTAGGAAAGCGGTGATGTATTGTGAGATTCGTGTCTTCAAGATCGGCGGCATGATCAGTTGATACAGCAGGAACCTGAGATTGTTGGTGAAAACTCGGAGAGGCATTCATATCAACTGCTGAGCCATTGGATTGCTGATATGAATGAGTTTGCTCCACGGTGATATCGGATGTATATGGATCAAACGAGGAGCCGTCACTGTCGGGTGATGAAATAGCTTCTGGCATGGCTCCCAAACAACGCCTGCGGTTGCAGGTATGACTGGCAAAAGAAAAGAAATGCGAAGAGGGATCAAAACAATCACGCTCCAAGGTATATATATCCTTGAACGAGGAGAGGAAGAGTAGAAAGATAGAGGCTCAGAGGTGAATCAAGCAGACACAACATGAGAAGAGGTCCATTTGGAATCACCTAGAGCCGAACAGAGGATAGGAGGAAAGACCAATCCGAGTATACGCGTTCGATAGTCCAAGGATACTTGGATCGATCCTCCTTGGGAGGCGGCCAGCTAGAGAGGAACAAGGTGAATTAAAAGCACAAGCTGGCAAAACCAAAGACACCTTTCGAAGAGAACCAGTGAAATGTTGTTAGATGGGACGAGAAGGCAAGAAAAGAAGAGCAAAGTCGCGAAAGGCAGGAAATATGGGTACAAAAACCTCAAGGCAGAGCAAAAAAAGAGAAGATCACAGCTCCAATGATGGCAAGATGTGATTCCCTAGAGAGACAGAGAGACGAAGAGACGAGTCAAGAGAGCGAGAATGAAAGTGTATCGCAAGTTGATCTTTGGAGGAGTACAGAAATCGGGCAACAGCGCGCAAGAGTAACGTTGCAGCGAGAAAACAGAACCGGGGCAATAAATGTAGCTGGCAGCCACGCTACACCTACACCTGAAAATAGAATATTTAGATAAAATAATGTTGGCCGCTGGGCATGATCGAGATGGTAGCTGGAACGAAGGGTGATGGCAGGTTGTTGTTGGTTGATGGAGGTTGAAAGCGATCGAAGAAAACGAGGAGCGGAGGCTGAAAAGGAATTCCCCAAACGGGACAGTTCGGAGCGGGGTTTGTCCGGCCACGCCTCACTCTATCGACCAATCAGAACACGTGTCGGGAAGCAGGCCGGCCTCGAGTCGGCCCGGTGCTCGGCATTAAGTCACATGATTTATGCACAGCTGCTGCGCCACAAGAGGTAAACAGAATTCCGTCAGCCTCAGGCGTCATGCGCCACATTATTGGTCTTACTCAGCGCCCACAACTCCCCACCCTTCGTTCCCGGGCAAATGCCAGAACCTCAACGCAACACAGTCAATACAGCCCTTGGGAAGCAATAAGCTATCCAAATTGGAATTTATCCTGAATACATCCCTACATAAGGTCCTTTACACGCTATATCTTCTGGTCTGATTTTACTCCTGTCCATCGTATACCCTTCGTACGTGGCTCCGCACCTCACGGTCTCACCCAACGATCTAGAGATTCACTAGCCCTCCTCCTGCTCCAGTTACCGATTTGGCTCCCTATCCGAGCTTAGCAATATCCATTCCATTCGCATCCGCCAGCTTGAGGGAGGACTATTCTGGGCTGCTTGACGGGCATTCTGGGGCATAAGTGGTTCCCAGCTCCTATACCACATCTTTCTTCTTCCCGTTCACCGAGCCACGTAAGTCCCAAGGCAACCATTGCGCTGAAATATCCCTGGAGAACTGGGCCATTTAATAGTTGACTCAATATCATTTACTGTTCCGCAGCCTAAAAGTATTTGCCGCCGGTATTTATTTCTCTATCATTCCGGATCTCTCCGGATACGTTAACCCCGTCCACACCTCATCATGGCGTCTTTAAACTTGTCCACCAATGGACCATCAATCTCGAAAAGCTACCGAGCTGTAGTAGAGGCTTCACCTCCAACTGGCCCGGCTGCAGCTTCACCGACATATGGACAGTGGGCGATATTTGCAGTATCAACACCTTTGGTCAACGCATTCCAGCAAGATAGTGCAGGCAAGGAGAGTGTTTTGAAGGTCCAAAGCAGTGGAGGTATGCTTTTATTCTGCCTCGTGCCCAGTTGTTATAAGGATTTACCTCGTAGCTAACAAATTCGAACAGAGGGGGAACTTGAAGACCTTATCGAGGATTTTTCCGACGGCAGGATACAGTTTGCGTATGTGAAGGTTAAAGATCCAAACACTGGCCTCCCGAAAAATGTCCTGATTGGCTGGTGCGGCGAGGGAGTCCCGGAGAAAACAAAAGGATATTTTACAAGCCATCTGGCTGCTGTTTCTAAACTCCTACATGTGCGTTATGGCGGCCTTGCTACATGTAACTTTGACTAACACATAGACAGGGATATCATGTTCAAATTTCCGCTCGCTCGGACCGGGACCTTACTCCAGAAGGTATTGTACAGAAAGTTGCAGATTCCTCAGGTTCAAAATACTCTGCAGGAGATGCCTCTGCGCCTGTTAAATCTAGCACGAAACCGACTGTCGCATACAAACCAGTATTTACTCCATCCCGGTCTGGCGGTGCCTTTAAACCTTTGGGTGGAACACCCCGCGCAGCGGCACCGACGCAAGAAAATGTTGACGACGATGGCTGGGGAGCAGATGCGCCACCAGTTACAAGAACCCAACTTGAAAAGGTCAAACCTGCGTATCAACCGACAAAGGTAAACATGCAGGAAATTATGTCTCAGAAACCGAGCACATCGAAGTTTGAGTCCCGCCATTCGGACGAACCTTCTTCAGGCGATGTTGTCAAAGGTGCTTATCAACCAGTTGGTAAAGTAGATATTGCGGCCATTCGCCGACAGGCGCGTGAATCTGGTCAGTCAAACGATGATCGTCCCGAACCAGTAAAGGGTGCCTATGAGCCTGTCGGAAAAGTAGACATAGCAGCGATCCGAGCAAGAGTACAGAGGCCGTCTGGCAGCTCTCAAGCCTCGCCTGGAAATATATCTCCCGCGATAACTGGAGGCTCAGGCGGTAGTGAAGAACGAAGGACCCTTGCAGAGCGGTCTGCCGCATTCTCTTCTTCGGATCGACTCACGAGCCTTCCCAAGCCAAAAGTTACCAACAAGTTTTCGGGCGCTTCTACTTTTACGGGTACGAAAGCTCCGGTTCCTGGGGCATTTAGCGTAACCCCAGCCACAAACGCTACCACAGTGTCTGGCGCAAGCCGAACGTTCGCTGATCAAGGGGGGAAAACACCGGCACAGCTATGGGCTGAAAAGAAAGCCCGGGAGAGAGGCGGTGCAGTGGAAACCGGCCCTTCGCTTGCTGAAAGCCAACAGCCATTGCAAAGCCAGTCCAGCGGCGGGGCTGGATGGAAAAGTTCATATACTGGCAAATCCTGGGCGCCAGTTCAAACTACGCACACGGGTGGCAGTGGTGCAGGCCACCAACGTTCTGGCAGTGAACTAGATGAAACCAACACACCACCAAAACACGAAGAGGAAGAACGAAATATCCCACGTGGAGGAATTGGCTCTATTCGTGATAGATTTGCGAACACCCCGCCAATGGGTACTACCGCCCCGGGGTCTGACTATGCACGTTCGGCTCCGTCCCCGCCCCGGTTGGATACCTCCAATAAACCTGGCGCCACTCGTGTTCCAATTCCCGGCCTTCCATCACGGCCCACAGAACCTGAAGAGCCATATGAAGATCAAGGCCAGCCAATTCCAACGCCGCCTCAGCAACCTCGTTCTCCAACCCCCCAATCTCCCGCTTCTATCCCTGGCTCCCCCATTAGAGTAGCGATGCCGGTAGGTATGGGATCCGCAGCTGAAAAGATACCCGATGCACATGAAGAGCAATATTCGCCGCCTGCTGCATTACCAGTCCGTTCCCTTGAGAACCAGCTTCCCCGCGAAGAAAACCTAGACGATGAACGTGCCCACGACGACGCCCGCGCCGTTGCTCAAGCGGGTGCAACCGAACACCACCCAGAACCACCACAGACTGCAGCGGCGAAATCTGGGTCCACTCGTGCTCTCGTAGTATACGATTATGAAAAAGCAGAGGATAACGAGATTAACCTAGTTGAGGGCGAGTATGTCACCGAAATCGATATGGTTAGTGATGACTGGTGGATGGGAGTGAATGCGCGTGGCGACCGTGGTCTGTTCCCTCAAAACTATGTTGAGCTTGCGTCAGCGCCAGACCAACCCGCTCCGGCTTCTGGGTCGGGATCTGGTTCGGGCTCTGGAGGGGGTGCACAGCCGGCTACAACTGGACGAACAGCAACGGCCCAGTATGATTATGAGGCTGCTGAGGATAATGAACTTGGGTTCCCTGAGGGAGCAACGATCACCAATATTGTAAGTTGTGCATACTTGCTCGTATCCAGCCTTTGTCCGCGTTTACGCTCTCTGAAAGCAACCAAGTGGCTAATATACCTCACCCTAAACAGGAGTTTCCAGACGAAGACTGGTGGCATGGCGAATACAACGGCCGAAGTGGTCTTTTCCCAGCCAACTACGTTGAACTGAATTGATCCGAAAAAACCACTCTTTTCAAAACATGCTCATTCCATGCCAGGTAGAAAGACCGCACTGCGGCATAGTTTACTTTCTGCAAACCACCAACCTATTCCTCACATCACCCTCAATTATGTTGCCATTTCATTTTGCATTCGGTTTTACATTTCATTTCTTTCTTTAGCAGTCACTCGCGAAAATGGCCTCTTTTTGACCTTAGACTAGTAGCTCTTGCGATTTCAACTACATTTAGTCTGCTGGGAGTGCGCTGGGTCCAACTTTGGCGTGCGTCGTTTAGTTAGTTGATCCAGCTATATAGCAAGCAAATGTACCAGCACGATTATTTGAAAAGCTATTCCTGCCGGTAATATTCTTTTTTCGATAAATTCGCTCTGTACAACACGTGCGAGCATCCCTGTACTCGCTTCTCTTCACACCGGGCAAATCAAAAGTTAATCCCACTTCCAAAAATTTCCATTTCACAATAATTGGCCAAAAGTCTAGACACAATCTCAAGGGAGCCAAAAAATAACAAGGCGAAACCAATGCCAAACAAAATATAATGTTTCTTCCGATATATACGTTATCATCAGTCAATCGTCAATTCATCCCCCTGGGCCGCCTTGGCGTAGAAGAAACTAGCCCCCACAACCTCCAGTCCATACTCTTTCGCCCAATCACGCACACCTCGCCTCACCCCTCCATATCCCCAATGTTTCCGCTTCCTTGGAGCAGTTATATTGTATGCCGTCGCCGCGTCACCCTCCAGCAGCACGAAGACATACCGATGATATTCAGTGCCTGACGGGGGTGAGGGGGGTAAGTAGGACTTCAGAACCCGCGGGATGAGGTTGTACGAAGGGGATGTGACGCTGGGATTGTTGGCGTCCTGTTGTTGAAGGCTAACGGGCCAGGGGATTGATATATTGCTCACGATCCAATGGCACATTTCGCTCCAGATGGGATGCTTGCGGCTCTTTGCATCAGGATCTGTGAGAATTATGCTGTAAGACTTTTCGGAGCGGTGGGGCTTGGATGCTGGCGTTGGATGGGGAGATGGGTTTGGATTTGTATTTGAACTTAGAGGGATGAGGAAGGGGTGGAATTCGAAGACAGGTTGTGAGCGGACGGCGCTAGGCGAAATATAGCTGCCCAGGGCTATTGTTGTGTGTGTTGACGGGTAGCTTATGAGAAGCGAGAATGTTGGTTCGAAGTCATCGAGAACTGTGAATTTTGCTGGTAAGTGGTAAGTAGGTGTACGAGATGAACTTCTGCTCAATTAGGGGGCTAGATGGAATGCGTCCTCTATGATTGCGACGCGGAACTGACCGTCGGGGATTATGGAGGCTCCAATTAGGCTGCGATCAAAGCGAATTGGTTAGACAATGTCATCTGCTACGCATTTGAAGTTAATTTCACGATGCTCTAAGGAACAAAGGTTAAGCCCACGCATCGCGGATTGGAGAGTATATTCTGGACTCTTCCGCTTGGATAAATTGCGGTGGGCCATGGGAGGCCATTGTAGCTGGAGTGACTAAGCTAGTCGCGAAGATATAGCACAGTAATAGGGCCATGATGTCGTACTCGCAGGCTTTGCGAAGTAAAGGCATGGCAATCAGTTGAGTGGCGCTACGAATAGAGCGGAACAAAAAACACAGCGCTGGTGCGAGCAGGTGATAGATCTTATACAAATTATGAACTCGTACATAATTGCCTAGATGTTGCTCTCTCGAAACCCAGCCTCATAATCATTTAACGAGGCGGAGTTGAAGCTCCGGACATTGCCCAGTGCGGTATGTTGATGTCATAGACAACGTTGAACCTTTCTAGCTGCCCGTCTGGACATAATGCCAAGACATTGATAATCACGTGAATTATAGCGGGATGTTGATGTCTTGGCATTCTCAAACCTCGGCCTGATTGGACGCGTCACGTGCTAGCCCTCCTGGTTGGGCTGGACTGAGAAATTGCAGCAAAAGATCTGAAAACAGGCCGGCAACGCCCTTGACGAGTTGCTTGTAGCGCAACGTCTCTCCTCCGGACCGCCTATCCCCCGTTTATGACTGCTTGAGGACTGAGGTCTTTTAATTTTCTTTCAATCGTTTACCTGCAACAACTGAGTTACCTCCCCGGGTCCCGCCCGATATCCTGACAAATCAAGCTGGCGCCTCGGAACCCCCCCTGGCGATCTAAGTAGCAACATACTCGGTGCAACGAAACGGAACTCTGAGCATAAGTGGTTGGTCCAGACGAAAAAATTTTGAACATGGCGTCTTTGGGCGATGACCTGTTGGTCACGGTCAACAAGCTCCAGGATTTGGTCTTCAACACCATTGGCAACGATTCCCTGGACTTGCCACAGATTGTATGTGCCCCCTTTCCCCCCAGTCATACAGCAATCTCAGGCCATAAACAATGGCCCTTATGGCACCTTTCCATTATTCTGACTGTGATCTTATAGGTTGTTGTTGGCTCACAATCCTCTGGGAAATCTTCTGTGCTGGAAAACATTGTGGGAAGAGACTTTTTGCCTCGGGGAAGCGGCATTGTGACAAGACGACCGTTAATCCTCCAACTGATTAATATCCCCAGCGATCGCGATGATCTCCCCGATAATAGTGAAGTCCATGTTCCCCATACAGCATCCAGTGTCGCTAGGCAGAGGGAGTGGGCAGAGTTCCATCATCAGCCAGGAAGAAAATATGACGACTTTGCACAGGTCAAACAGGAAATTGAGAATGAAACCGCAAGGATAGCGGGAAATAACAAGGGCATAAATCGACAACCTATCAATCTTAAGATCTTCTCGCCGCATGTGCTCAACTTGACTCTCGTGGATCTCCCCGGTTTGACCAAAGTGCCCATCGGGGACCAGCCTTCCGATATTGAGAAGCAGACACGCAATTTGATTTCGGAGTACATCGCGAAACCTAACAGTATTATTTTGGCTGTTTCTCCTGCGAATGTCGACCTTGTGAACTCTGAGGCCTTGAAGCTCGCACGCCATGTCGACCCCATGGGCCGAAGGACTATCGGAATTTTGACGAAGCTGGATCTGATGGACCACGGCACGAATGCTCTGGATATCCTCTCTGGAAGAGTATATCCATTGAAGTTGGGCTTTATTGGAGTGGTCAATCGATCTCAGCAAGATATTCAAAGTGGTAAGTCGTTGGCCGATGCGCTAGCAGCCGAAGCGGACTTTTTCAGACACCATCCAGCCTACCGAAACATTGCTACTCGCTGTGGGACCCAGTTCCTTGCGAAAAGCTTAAACACAACATTGATGTCACATATTCGGGATAGGCTACCTGATATCAAAGCTCGGTTAAATACTTTGATGGGCCAAACCCAGCAGGAATTAGCAAGCTACGGAAATAAACAGTTCAGCGGCAAGGAACACCGGGGTTCGCTGATCCTCCAGCTCATGACCCGATTTGCGTCTTCGTTTATTTCCTCAATTGATGGAACCTCCTCTGAGATTTCTACAAAAGAGCTGTGCGGCGGTGCGCGGATCTACTATATTTTCAATTCTGTCTTCGGGAACTCCTTGGAGACGATTGACCCAACCCATAACCTTTCCGCCCTCGATATCCGAACAGCTATCCGTAACTCTACAGGTCCTCGACCTAGTCTTTTCGTCCCCGAAATGGCCTTTGATTTACTTGTTAAACCTCAGATCAAGCTTCTAGAAATCCCTAGCCAAAGATGTGTCGAACTCGTTTATGAGGAACTTATCAAAATATGCCACACCTGCGGTTCAACTGAGCTATCCCGATTTCCCCGCCTGCAAGCGAAGCTCATTGAGGTCGTGTCTGATCTCCTGAGAGAGCGACTTGGCCCTTGCTCTGCCTACGTTGAATCACTCATTTCTATTCAGCGTGCATATATTAATACTAACCACCCCAATTTCCTTGGTGCAGCTTCTGCCATGTCATCCGTGATCCAGAACAAGCAAGAACAAGAGAGAAAAGCCGCTGTGGCTGAAGACCGACGGAAACGAGAACGACGACGGATGAAGGAAATCGGGGCTGTTAACGGAATAGCAAACCCAGACGGCGAAGATGAGCAAGATGCTGATGATAAGACGCAGAATATACCAATCCGGGGCCAGAAGGCTCATAGAAGCAGATCACCACATGTCGGTCGTGCGCTAGAAAATGGCCATTCCGCCATCGCTGCCACGCTAAACGGACCTCAGTCCTCCTCGTCTGGTTTTGGAACCCAATCAGCTGGAACAGCCAGAGATTCATTTCTCAATTACTTCTTTGGCAAAGAGGGTGGTTTACCGAGCCAGGGGCAGCTACCCCAGCCGTCATCAGGACCCCCGCGCCATGTCAGCCATTCCACCGAGCCCAGCTTCAGTCAAAGTTTCCGACGCAATGAAGTGAAATCGCCCACCCCCACTCAATACCCACAAGATAATAATGAATATCAGGTATCGGTATCGTCGGAATATGGCGAACCCGCATTCCCAGTAAGCTATCATCCTGTAAAACCTCGCCAAAAGGTTAAGTCAGAAGTAATAAATAAAACTAACACTCCCTCAAGAATGATAACGTAGAACCGGCGCTCACAGACCGTGAGGCTCTCGAAACGGAATTAATCCGCCGGTTAATTTCCTCCTACTTCAACATTGTGCGCGAAACCATTGCCGATCAGGTGCCCAAGGCGATCATGCACCTTCTCGTCAACCACAGCAAAGAAGTGGTCCAGAACAGACTCGTCAGTGAACTGTATAAAGAAGACCTGTTCCCTGAGCTTCTATATGAGGACGACGGCATCAAAGCGGAACGCGAGAAGTGCGAAAAACTGTTGGGCACGTATAGAGAAGCTGCGAAAATAGTTGGTGAAGTCTTGTAGAAATGTTACCTCCTTATTTTTTTATGGTTGATATAACTAGAGGTTATTTGATACATGTATCGCATGCGGTTTTTCATTGTACTTTTTTATGTATACAAATTTCGCTTTTTCATGTTGTTCTCTATCCATGACCTACTGTATCCCCTTCTCCTTGCGTATTTTTCATGTCATTTGTCTCGTAACACACAATTTTCATCTCTTCCCTTCTTTTTTGGCCTCGTCGTTCCCCCCCCTTTTTTTTTCTTATATTCAGCTCGGCTTAGTTGGCCACAGATGCATGCCCCAGTTGGTTGGTTGAAAGAGAGGCGAACCGGTCAGCCCAGCATATAACGCAAAGAACACAGCATCATCTATTATCGACACATCAGCTTTTAGAGAAACCGTTCGTTCAGGCTCCACTGAGTACTGCACCAACCGGAACATGATGCAGAATTTTACCACCAAAAAGTGGTTAGGTGTAGATGAGGTAGGACGAGAATGTTGGTGGCTTGGGTTTGGTTACAGTTGTTCTTATATCCTTTTTTTCCTTTTCTCATTTGGCTGTCTTTTAATGTATGTTTATAGTAAATCTGACGTTGAATGAAAGGTTGGTAAGGTTTGGGCAGAGGACGTTTCCCTGATCTAACTATCAGCGACTTGAAAGTCATTAAGGTTCGGTTTCCCTGGCACAGTCCAATGTAGGGCTAACCAACTTTCAAAGTTCCAGCATCAGCCCGCTATTGTTCGGTCATACCCGTTGTCTTCTTCTTCATCTCCTCCTCACCTAACAGTTTCACAACCGGGATGTTTGGGTGTTCGCTTGCTCATTCCATGCCAAATGCAGGGTGCCACAGTCCCATATGGGCTAGACAAGCGGGGTTATCATTCGAGGGGCTTTACTCTCAAAGTCGGAACAGACTCGGCAATTGGCTCTTGAGATAATGCAACTGCAGCTTCAAGAACGGAACAGATTCTAGTTCTGTGGCGTTCGCGGAACAGACGCTGTTTGTTTTTGAGCAAGTTCAGATCATCGGCTTGTTGGGAACTATCTGACCATGCATTATACCGTCCGATTGTCTACTTGAGGCCTGCCTCCTATTCCCTCATCCTGTCTACCACGCGGATTCCCACCACAGCTGACTACGGCATTGCATTGTGGGTGGTGGTACTGCTGGCCCAGTCCTGGCAGCAAGGCTCTCAGAGGATCCAGACACAATCGTCGTTGTTCTCGAGGCGGAAATCAGTCATCTGGAGAACCCCAGGGCGAAAATTCCGGCTCTCTGGAAGACATTGTTTGGAACAGATGCGGATTGAGCATTTTCTATAGTACCCCAAGTGTGCTTTCCAACCAACCATCCCTCCCGCAATCACACTCCTTGGGAGGATCGCTGATACTCCATGGAATAGCCAACGCTTGCTGGCAGGACCATCCGTGTAGCTCAAGGCAAAATGTTGGGTGGTTCCTCTGCCATCAACGGACAGGCCTTCGTTTCAGCATCAAAAGGGGGTGATTGATGCATGGTCCAATCTCGGAAACAAAGGTTGGACTTGGGAAAATGTCCAGCCATATTACAGGAAATCATATACCCTCAATCTTCCTGATGAAGAGACGCGCGAGCACCTGGGATTGAAGTGGGTTGGCCCGTCCGTCCACGGCTTTGGCTTTTCGGGACCTATCCAGGCCTCCTTCCCCGGGGAGGTGCAAAACCCACTTGTGAAGGCATGGGTAGATATATCCAAGAATATTGGCTACGAAGCTACGGCCGATCCGTACTCGGGAGCTTCGGTAAGTGGATTTAGCAGTCTTGCTGCTGTCGATCCTCAAACCAAAACTAGGAGCTATGCTGCGAATACATATGGCATTACTGCAATGTAACGTCCAGGGGTACATTTTGCGACCGATGCCTTCACCAAGAAGGTGCTATTAGAAGGGACCAAACCAAATATCAGAGTGACTGGTTCGATGTCGATGTTTAAGGCCAGCTTATCACGATCAACGCAAACAAAGAAGTCGTCATCACTGCTGGAGTATTGAACACCCCCAAACTACTGGAACTTTCCGTAATTGGAAGCGAGGAAATCCTGCAAAAATATAATATCCCCGTGGTTATTCATAACCCAAACGTCGGCGAAAGTCTGCAAGATCACTTGATGAGCGGAATAAGTTTTTAGGTTATCGATGGCGTTGTTCCTGGAGATCCACTGCTACGACAAGAACCTGAAGCCATTCAGCCCGCGATGCAAATGTATTCTGAACACGAACCCGGCCCAATGACTATCGGAGGTGTACAATCAAATGCCCTAATGCCAATTCTCGAATTTACGGGTGCAGACGGCCAGAAAGCGCAGAAAAAGTTTTTCGATCAGTTCCTATCCACAGAACCAGCTACTTCCTTCCAGTCCGTCATCCGTGGCATCTTCGAAACTCACAACGAGGCTACATGCGACATGTTCACGTTCCTTGCCCAAGCCAACCTTCATCAAACTAACACAAGCTACCACGTGGGTCCTAGCTCCTCCCCGGAAAACTATCTCAGTTTAGGAGTGAGTCATGCAAAACATCCCCTTCTCCCGGCCATGTACACATTTCCTCCGCCAATCCCAACGACAAGCAAACAATTGACCCCCGTTACTTCTCCCATCCACTAGATATCGAAATCCTGGCCCGCAATTTGCTTGAACTAGAGCGCTTGCACCAGAATGAAGCACTCGCCAAATATTTCAAAATGTCAGATGGAAGACGGAACCACCTAGACTCTTTTCTTACTGATCTGGAATTGGCTAAGAAGTACTTCCGCGATACGGTAACGACGTCGCATCACTTTGCAGGCACTGCTACAATGCTTCCTGAGGACAAGGGGGGTGTCGTTAGTGCGAAGCTGGTCGTTCATGGAACGGTTAATCTGCGTGTGTGACGCAAGTATTTTCCCAATCATTCCACCGGCCAATCGTACGGCGACCGTGTATGCAGTAGCTGAGAGGGCTGCCGATATTATCAAAGCGGATGCCTAGGTACCTTTTCTGTCACTCCAGGTAGATGCGTTCACCTAACGTTTAAACTATTTTTTTGAGAAAGAGAGAGAGAGAGAGACAGAGCACTGTATTTGGGCTCAAGTTGGTACTTCTTCGTCTTGGATGGGAATTGTTAAGGGCTTTCCTATTATCACAAATATTATTTGACTCGAGCCAATGTAGGCATATCATACAATTATTTCCTTAATATTAAGACTATTATAATGCTTGATAGCTGACTTGCGCTCTCAATGTCAGGACGTGGGGTGGGTAACGAGGTCTATCAGAACTTGTCAAATTGGCAAGCATGTAAAACGGCATGGGTAAAAGTGCTATATCAAGAAGCCGGAAATGTTCAACATTTAAAAGATAGGTTATAACCCAGGAAACATAGTGTAGAACATCCTCCCCCCCCCCCCCAAAAAAAAAAAAGAGAGAAAGAAAAAAGAAAGAAAGAAAGAACGGCCGAAGCAACGATATCCCACTACTCTAAATAGTCGTAGTCCAAAAGAGCCAATAAATCAAAACCTGGTAAACTCATACGTATGTATATCTCACTGCGTCTTCCTCTTTACGTTCGCCTCGCGCCGCAATCTCGCCCCTTCATACCCATACAGGCCCCCACCAGCAAACACCAGCACCGCGCCTACTAGTACTCCTGCTACAAGTACATTCCCAAACACGTACACAGATAGAATTAACGAGACAAGTTTGCGGATATTCAGCACCACGGTCACTGTCAGAGAAGACGACTTTGCAGAGAGAAGGTGCACACCGCGGATGCAGACATATTGCGTTAGTCCGTTAAGGATTAGATATACTACCTTTATAGGTGTTTGCGAAAGGAGCCGGAAAATAAGGGACTGATCGGGGAGGGTTTGGAGGTAAGAAACTGCGGGGTTTAGAAGACTTCGCGCAGACAGGAAGGATAGAGTAGTAGCTGTTGTCGTCGAAGGGAACTGTTTGAGGTCGCTGGATGTAGTGTTTGCGAGCATGGACGTTGACGAGAGGGAAGTGCGGACGGATGTAGAGGCGAATAATGCTCTCAACTGTGATACGAGATTTGGATAGTACGGGATGAAAAATGGGAGGGAAATAGCATGGGCATAGAAGAGCGATTCGCGCCAGTTGTTGCGGCCGTAAGTCTCGAACAGGCGGTCTGCGTAGACGCCCTGAAAAGCTCCAAGGACCATTGCCAGCCCAAGCATTGTAAATCCAGCTAATGAGCTAAGCATTGAAGGACCATCATCCTTCCCAGAGCTGAGTCCGATATCTAGAGATTTACCCTTCGCACTGGCATCTGCCAACGCGGCGCCGACCACACCAACTGTAAGCAGTACTACTGCTAGAATCTGAGTCCGTGTGTAACTCTTGGAATTGTATAGATGGCCGATTATCATCGATGCCACCGGGCCTCCGCTCCGAATTATGATGTGAAGCGGCACTGAGATCTCGAAGGCGAAGGCAGCATTATTGAGGACATTTACGGAGAGGAAGTACGCTGTATATATCACCCATGATCTTAGAGGGACTGCCCGAGGCGCAAGGAAGAATGAACGGGGTCCGGCGGTAATCGAGAAGACATTGGGAAGGGTGAAGAGCGCGGTAAAAACAAATTGTGTGAAAGTTATCAGCACTCCTAAAATGTGGTAACTGTTAGATAATTGCTCCGTATATAGTCTACTGGAAGCAATGCTGCCTTACCAGATGCTGGGTGGTCTCTGTATCGAAAGATTTTGCGTTAGCAAAGCCATATCGCGCATAACAAAGACACCCCGTCCGCACGGCAAAACTCACTTGATAATAGCCTCTAGAGCAAATACCTGTTCCCGAATCCCTTATTAGCATTTGCTTATAATAGCAAAACAGAGAAACTCCGGGAAATATCAAACAATAGCAACTAACGTTCGAACAACACCCGCCAAATATCAGGGACATCATGATTCCAATATTCAACCATGCGGGGATAGTCGTCTGAACAACCGCCGCTGTAATGTCATAGCTCCCATTCTTCGCATCCTCGCTCTCGGACTCTCTCCGTGTGGCCCTATTTTTGTTATCTCCATAATCTTTTAGCACAACATTGCGCGACCTCAGGACCGCGCCATTCGCTGAATTCCGAGTGCCAGTCGCATTGCCACTCAGCCGTTGCGGCTTCGAAGGATCTTGTAATGAGTCAGCCATGGGCTGGTCTATATTTTCGCGTGTACGGTTTAATTGGCCTATCTACTGGAGATTGGAAAGAGTCAGCGTTCATTGAGCAAGTAGTGGGAGTTCTCGCAGCCGTTGTGAATATTGAGATACCGGCAACTAACATTCTCAAACACGATAACCCAGCCGTGATGTTCGTCCGACGACCCCCTGGGTACCAATCGGGGGCACTAGCGTAGCTGTCAGGGCATTGTTGGGGAATTTTTGCTCTGTTAAGCGTTTTTGGCGCTGGGATCTTGTGGTTGATTTATTCCGTAGAATGTCCGCAGTTGCAGTGTGTTTTGGTACGAGAGGCTAAATATATAAATAACTATAACCACCACGGTTGCAGCTACAACAAAAGATCAGAACAACTCCTATCAATGGTAAATTACTATGTACAATCAATTTATATCCCTCGGGTATTTTGAACGCTGGCTGAACGTTAAAAATAATCTAGAATGTGACCCCGTAATTTGATTTGGATACACCGCTGTCCGTCCATACCTCTCCGTGAGGGGCGCCAGTCAAATAATATCCACGTTAAAATCACTCAATCGGGCTCGCAAGATATAGTATGTGCCGCAAATCCTATCACCAGAATATGACGCCTATTTACCCAGAATGAAATATACTCCCAAGGTGCCTTCCATAACATCAACCATGCCGAATTTTTTTTAAAAATAAATAAATAAATAGATCCGATAAGCAAAACAATCAGACGGAATCAGATCAATCATCCTCGATATCATCGTCGCTAAGAATCAACTTCTCAACAGCATCTTGGACCGGAAGTATGAGTTGGGACCCAAACGACTTGCTCAAAGGCATCTGGCCCAACTTGCTTCCCTGTCTCCGCTTCTGCGGCGAAAACACATCCTTATCCGCAGGGGCACTCCATGGGTCCATCGTAGCACCCCCACCGCACGGGCTATCTTCCAAATCGCCATCGATAAGCTCTTCCTCGCTCTGCCCACCAACTCCACGGAATTGTGTAAGTTTTTCCAACTCCCTACATTCGACTGGGTTTCTGGATATTAGGCTCAAGTACGGTAGACGCTCGAGAAGAACTTCGTCGCGAGAGGTCATTGCTCGAGCCGCCTGCGACGGATACGTAGATGTGTCCGTGGCAGACTCGTGGTTATGGTTGTGATTGGAAGATCCAGGCATCCAGCGATGATTCTTCCACGATTCCACACCGTCTAGTCGTGGGATAGGCGTTCCTGGGGAAAGCCCCATGGTGGGATCCGTGAGCCGACGCATCCACAGGCCCAGCAAGCTGTCTAGTTCTTCTGTTTGCCTCCAAAGTCTCATCGAGGTTGGGAAGAACATCTTATGGGCGTCGCTTGCCCGAGTACCGCGCGGAGCCTTCCTCTTTACAGGGAAAGGCAAAGAGAATAGCAATCCCCGTACAGCCACTTGAAAACTGATTTCATCTTGGCGGAGCATGTCGATGCTAGAGCCATACCCTTGGAAGGAGGAACGCGCCGAGCCAGCTCCACCTCGACTTGTCTGCACGTTGTGAAATCGACGTCCAGGCCCCAAAATGTCCGTTTCGGATAGGTTTGAAATGCACTTTTCAAAGTGCTCAGCGAATGCGGGGCCGGTGCAAGATAATAAATAGTTTTCGTGCAGGGCTGAAATAAATGTTTCGAGGTCTGTTCCGGTCTCATTGATCAAATCATCGATTGAAACTAGGGAAGCCTTCGGTCGGGCATGATGCTGCAGATGTCGTGGAGGCTGAGGAAGCTTAGCGTTCACCCGTTGCGAAATCATAGGATCTTCACGTTTATTGTACACCACCTTACCCACCGCGTGGAAGATGCCCAGGCTCGCTTCCCTTTGAGTGACCATTTCCATTGACTCTTTTTCCATAGTCGTAAGAGGAATACCCCCGTTACTAGACCTCTTCATCCGACCGGCAACAGTCCCGCTCCATCCTGCATCGTCATCACCTCGCAAACACATAAACTCCAACGCGGAAATCGCACATCTTATATCCCCCATGTCTGTGAATGCCTTTAGAACCTCGGGTCCGGGGATTCGCCTTCTCTTTGATCGACGAGCTTCCTTTTTCAGAACTAGGTCGATCGCTTTCGCCATGAAGGTCGGCGCTATCCTGTTAAAATCGACAATGCTCACTCTATGATGGTTTGAAAGTTCAGGGCCCAGCAACCTATGTACCGTAAAGCTGTCAGAGGAAATACCTCCGGAGCCCAGCATAGTTTCTGAGACGATTATAATCAGAGGCGTGCTTGATATCGTAGTATCCTGACTGAGTTTGCTGTAGAGCGATTGCCGAGGAGCGGATGTCGCCAAATAACTCTGTATAGCGTGTCTGAACGCTCGCAAACCGGATGAACCTTGGCTCAAGGAACTCGGGAACTCTTCAACGAGGACCGCACGTCTCTTTTCCCCAGTACTAGAATTGAAGTAATCCGCCTCCCCATTTGCTACAAGCAGCTGCGGCTCGTGTCCATCACCGCTCAAAGAAAGGCTCCCAAATTTATCGCTTCTTCCAAGAAAATCTTCGAATTGTGCCCCCATGGATACATATCCTTGAGACGAATACTCAGAGCCTAAGGGATTTTTCCACTCTACTATCTCAAACCCAAGGGCCTTAGAAAGTAGCGATATCGTGGTTGATTTCCCGCTTCCGGCTGGGCCCCTGAGCACAAGAACTCTCTACCCCAGTCAGTATAATTGATGACAAACGTTGGAAAAAACAACATTCATTGGAAGGCAAGCGGGGAAAGGCGAGGTAAATAACAACGGTGGTACTCAACTTGTTTGCTCTTCCCACCGAACACATCTACCAACCACCTTTGCACATCCGAAACCTTTCTTTTATTAACCACCAACTCATCGAGATTTGCTGGCGCATACTCCTCCGCCCATGACCGCATTCCCTGCGCGGCCAATTTAGTAGATGAATGTAACTCGCAGGCCCAACCTAGTTCATCTCCATTCACACTCGTAGTCCCAGATCCAGCTGCAGAACTCCCAGGCAGTAAAAATCGCTTCCCAGGCCTGCTCGTAAGCTTCGCTTTGTTTATCTGCTGCGCAACCTTCATATCTTTCACTTTCCTCCGATCCAGCGGCGAACCTGCCTTGTTGTTATCCCCCTGCGCCAGTTCCGCACTACCACTACTGAGAACATGCCTCGTAAATAACTCATCATAGGAATCATCCTCAATGAGATCCTCAATTTCCTCCTCTTCATCATCCTCAATTTCTTCCACCATATCTGTTTCCTCGGTAATACTACTCCCCACGCCCGCACCCAGGCCCACGCTATCCTTCTTGCAACTCCACCTCTCCTCCTCCGTGGCTCTTGCAAAAAATGAATGTAAAGATTTCGAAGGTTCTTCTGAGAGCCTATGGGCTTTCTTCCCCCTCTTCTTCTCAGGTGATGAGCCGGGCGTTGTCTGTAAGGAGCGTGGCTGACTCAGTTTCTTCTGCGGCGAGCTTGATAGCTTCTGGGTTCGTTTCTGGGTTCGTTTCGGCGTTTTGGACAAACGTGAAGGGAGTGTAGTCGTACTCAACTTGGTAGTAGAGGCAGCTGTAGCCGTAGTCGTAGACGCTTCTGTCCTCGGTGTGGACGCAGCAGTCTCTTTTAGCAAGGGTGTGATCTTTCTCTTCATCCCCCGGTTTATGCTCCCGCCCAATTGTATATCACTCTGCGGTCCAGGCTCGACATAATCACTGTCAGCCCTTTTCTCCCCCTCTTCTAGAATCTCACGGTTTTCAATGTTATGATTAGTCCCTTCGTCGTCCGAAGAGAGGACTACAAGCCTCCGCTGACGTTTTGACGCTCGGCGGGCGGACATGGCGACGGCGCGAGCGAGTAATGGCGGTGGGCTTGTTGCCAATTGGACCCTGCGATCATGGTTAAGCAATTGGGTGCTTGACTTCGGTCATAGTAATTTAAAATGAGGCATATGCCTTTACTTATTCGAATGCACGCAGGTCTGTATTTGCGTCTCCGAGAACAGGAGTGAAGTTAAAGCTGCCCTGGGAGCGGAGACTCAGGTTCTAGCTCCGGGTAACGTGACGGCGGCTGTCTGGCGCTTAAGTATTATTGTTATTATTGGGTGGGAGACGCGCTGCAAACGTGTGCGTGGAGTGGTCTGGTCTACAGAGTAATAATCCCAGTCAACCCAACTTGCACCCCATGAACGAGATTGTTATAACTGAGAAAAATATATGTTTTCCTTTTATTGATTGGTATATGTGAGAAGATGTTATCTATTTAATTACATAACTCTCGGGCAGTATCATCAAAGTTAAGTCAAAAGCAGCCCCGATTCATAAGTATGAGGCGTTCCGAAAAAGCAACGAAGCGATAATCTAACATGATATATATCCTTAACAAAACATGTTGTAGCAGGGCAGGGTATCTATCTTCATATCAAAGTGCAAGAAGAAAAGTACACACGAACAAAAATTTAAAAATGAAATCGCGTAGACCCCGACAGACGAGCCAAGGATATGGCGATATAGTCCACTCCAATCTAGGAAATAATATGTTTTCCAGCTCCAACTGGGACAAACAGAAACAAGAGGTATATATTTCCACCGAATCTGAAAGAACGGAAAAGAAAAAAGAAAACCAAAACATTCTGCACTCAAAGTATGAGCCCACGTTCATCAGAAAAGGAATCAGCTTGAGCGAGAATGCAAATCTCACCACGCCCCTAGCTCTCAACTCCCCCCAAACACATCATAATAATAGTCTTCATCCAGCCCGTCCCGACTCGGAATTTCAGGCGGATCCCCTACGAACGTCCCATCATCAAATCTAATATTCAACAGCCGAATCTTCAGTCCATAATTACTAACCAGGTTAATCAGTTTATTCGTCTCAGCAGTAATAGGCTGCTGATTGAGCAGCATTAGCAGCCCATCCAACCACTCGGACGCGATGCTATGGGATTGTGGGTGTAAAGTTAACAGGACGGCTTCTTTCTGTGTATTCTTGCTGTTGCTGCGTTGGTGTTGATGATTTTGGGGACTGTCGTTGGAGGAAGAGCCGGGTGGTCTACCGACGTAGCCGTGGATGGTTATTTTGGTGGAGGAAGATGAATGAGGGAGAGTTTTTATTGTGGAGCTCGAGGAGGCGTCTGAGGACGCGGAGACATTGGAGACGACGGAGGAGACGATGTTAAGGTCAACTAAAGTATGGTTATTAGCAGGTTGTTTCACGAAACTGAGGAGGGAAGTTCCACATACTTTTGTCAGTGAGTGTCTCTAAATCAGGCGCCTGCTTCCCCATCGATTCAAAATCGGCGTAGTGCAGGTACCGTCGATTATGTGACAACTGTACATAGCGATATATGGTTGTGGAACCCCCAGCGCGTTTCGCATCTTGCTTTCCACTATTATTCACCCCATTCTCCATCTTATTGTGAGTATACTCCGTCGGGAACCAAGCACCCTGTAATAAACATCTGATGCGCTGCTCTTTCACAAACTGCAGCGCTTCATGATGGAGCTCATCGCGGACCTGGAGGAGATGCTGGCCCCATGCATCCTCATAGGTAAGCTCCAGCAACTCCATCTGCAACTCTCTAAGACGTTGGTATTCAAACTCCGCCATCTCTTCTTCAACATCATGCACGTCTTTCGTCCGCGTGGCACCGCCAACGACAGATTCGATAAGGATACGAACTAGTTCCACAATTTTGGAAAAATCCTCCAGCTCAGCGCCGGTCGCTTTCCACAGACGGAAAAACGCATGTATCCCTGCCACGTGCAGCCTGGGCCAGTGGAGAAGCAACGGCTTGAATAACTTGTCGTAGTTGGATCTTGATTCAAGCACAAGATAGCTCTTCACATCATCCAGATCCGACTTTTCCACCTCGAAATGCTCGTAGAGAACCGCAGTGACAGCCAGGGACGCTTTTGCAATTGGACACCGCTGCGGCTGCGGTTTGGTGGACTGTTCCAACAGCATTTTCTGGAACTCATCCTGATGCTTCCTAACGTAGTCCGTCAAATCCATCATGCCCAAGAATCCCATCTCTTCAAACTCCCACTGGGGACTTTCCGACTCAAACCCTAGCCGTCTCCACTTTTCCGGGTTATGTCTTCGAGACCGTCGTGTATCGTCGCCTTTCTCCAACTCCTCTTTGTCCTTCTCCCTTTCCTTCTCAGTTTTGCTAGCCAAATGAATCCCTTTTAACGCCCTCCGATGTTCCGGCTTCTCTAATTCGACAGGGACATCCTTCCACTTTCGCAAGAGAACCTTTGTCAACGATTGGAACTCAAGGAGCGGGTGAGCCAGGTCCTGCAGTGCCGTGCCTTGCATAAGCATATATACTGCTCGAATAACACCTAGATCCTGTAACCGTTTGATAAACTTGGGCCACTCAGCCTCGCTCTCGTTGATGATCGAATCTCTCATCAATGAATTAATCAACTGTAGCGCATTGGCGCTCAATGCATGGTCCGCTGATGATAACCTGTTCACAAGCATTTCGAGAAAGTGCGGGTAGGCTGCAATTGCTGGTTTGAGAGCTTGGAATCCATACACGCCTGGTTGTTGCGAGCGGCGGGAGCTTGTATGCGGGTGAGAAACAATGGAGACGAGGATCGACATTGCGCCGCGGAGGATATTCACAAGTGGATGGGTAACGATGAGTTCAACAATCTGCAGTAGCATGACAAAAGTGAGCCACCTTCAATGTTAGCAACTAAAAAGGAAACAGGTAAAATATTCCAATCCAAGAATCAAAGCCGTCCGAACTCCCTTTATTAGAAACTCCACCCCTCCCCCGAAAAAAAATCAAAAGCAGTAATTACTTCTCAAGCCAAACTCACCCTCGTAACCAAATCCTGCTCTACACACTCCCACCCCTTATCAACTTCCAACAGCCGCGAAAACGACGTCAGACTGTATGCGAGCGTATTCCCCGTAGCCGTCAACGCCAGATACTTCAACTTCACCAGCCCGCCTTCAGATATGAACACGTCGGCAAACGACGGGTCGCCGATGTTCGATTGGAGCTTGAAAACAGCCATTTTGCGCACGGCGTCCTCGTCGCTGCCCAGCCGCTCGACGAGCTCGGAGACGTTGACGCCCTCCATGGGCTTTTATGGGAGGCACGTATGGGGAGGAGGGGGGATGTAGATGCTGGTTAGAGGGGTGCAGGCTGTTGGTTATGTGCGCGGATATTTATGCGGGCGCGGAGAACGCCAGGGTTCAGAGTAGCGGAGTTAAAAGAGTGGTAGGAACGCAAAACTGGTTCTGGGTTAATTGGTGTATCCTCCTCACTAGCGCACCCCGAAATATTGCATATAGGCCTCGTTTGTGCAGTGTTCATCCAATTTCGAGTCCAGTTCCAATTGCCTGTCGGTAATGATCCCGCCAGTGTAGCTCCCAAGGGAAAAAGGGGGTGGGGCGCGCAACAAATTAGAAGGACGAAGAATTGAAAAGCCGAATGACGAGATTGTAAACTGACGGCATAACCGGATAGATATCGGGGACTCCCCACCCGACTAATTGGCTTTTTCTCTTCACGATTGCAAGTTGTACGGAGTAGATAGAACGGAGTTGGCTTGAGAGTTATCTCAATAAACTCAGAATCCTCGGCTCAAGAGCGGCACTAACTAGATTAGGAAGTCACAGCACATGATCTGAGCTCTACTCAAGCTAACCCAATCCGAACTACTGCTACTTTCGGCCAAGTCCTGCTAACTTCTGAGCCAATCAGTTAACTGTCAGGAAGTGTACACTAATCCAAAATGGGACACCCCAAGCAAACTCTTCTACGAGATAAAGTTTCTGATTGGTCCAGAAGTTTAGCAGGAATTGGAGAACTCTAAAGGGGTTTAGTTGGTCGCGCTAATCCGAAAATATCGAGAGGAGAGGCTGGGTTACTCCGTACTGCAAGGCTGATGAAATAACTCTTTGACTTCTAGCCACTATCACTAATTTATATAATTGATAAAAAGATATGTACGGAGTAGTTTTATCTTACTAATATATAGAGTTGATATAAGATTTCATGGTTTGAGGCTGTGTCACTGTAAATGAAAGGAAGTGATTTTTTTTGAAGTTTGAGATATGAAAATAAAAGTCAATTCTATCAACAGATCATTGATATATCTAGATATCTAGCTCTCCTGCTAGATTGCTACTCAAAGAGAAGAAGGCAAAAAAGAAAAAAAAGTATTAGATGAAACTGTTTTTTCTCAAGACTGCGCAGATTAAGAGAAATGATTATCTAAATAGACTTATGGTGTGTTCTTGTTGCGGCCGAGATTTATTATTATTATTTATATCCTGTGCCCATTTATGAATTGGGCTATAAAACTTGTCTGGCAACTCATCACGGATCACTCCAAGTAAATGAAACAAACAATAAAAAGACGAGCTCAAAATTTCTTTTTCACATTTAATCATCTTTGTATGTACTAGAGGATTTAGCGATGGGTAGGTAGGTGACAGGTGACAATGGGAAGAAGGCAGGAAAATGGAAATGAAACAATGACAGAATCATTCAATTTCAGTCCCTTCAACATTGCCATAAACCAATACGGTTATTCATTCGCTAAACCGTCTTTCTAAATGCGTTGCCAATATGAGAGTGTATCGGGAATAACTGGTCCATTTAACTCCCTAATGACAAGGAGATGATGTGGGGATGTATGGATATGCGAGGACGTAGGTAAGTACGTATTTCTATGTTGCGTAAAAAAGCGGCTTGAAAGAGGATAATATAGCTGTACAAACGAGGTAGGTAGGATAAGAAAATGGAAAATGGGCGGTATGGAGTGAAGTAAATAGGGTATGGAAATGGCGGGACGTGCAGTTATATAGTCAATCAGCCAAGGTAGTCTCGTGAGGAAAAACTGCTATCCACTTCTCAAGCCCGGGAGCTGCTTTTCCAAGGATGTTTCTTTTGAAAAAAAAAAGATAAAACATCGATGTGCCGGGCAATAAAAAGGGATCCTTGCAGTCTGGATTTGCGATATCCAGTGCTTCCACCACCAACCCGGGAGGCTTTCAAGGTGGTTTGTTGTTCTCTATTATCTTTCTAACTCCGCCATCCAACATTCCAAATAACATGTGCAATATCCCTCGCAGTATTCACCGTATCAACAACCTTGCCAAGGAACCCAAAGTTCATAGCTTCCTCATCATCCACCTCATCATCATTATGTCCACTCGTATCTCCAGCATTATACAAGTCGTCGTAGTCGAAGGATAGGAACTGTTCCGGAGAGGATAGGTAAGAGGAGTTCCGGTTATTGATAGTACGATTAGTATTATTATTAGTATTGTAATAATGAGCATGGGGACTATCATCGTTATTCCACTGTCGTTTGTGAGAGTCAGTGAACCATGGTCCGTTATATGTCTGTGATGTGTCCTCAGGCACTTTCTGACCAGATAGTTGCCATTTCATATCCATGTCTGAGGTGACGGTGTTGGCGTCATCGTCGTCGGGACCTTCATCGTCTAGGAGGAAATTATCATGGGCTTTGGGCATTTGTTGTTGCTGCCGCTGCCGCTGGTTCTTCGAAGGCCGAAGCGTCTCCGTTGAGGCGGAACGGGACAGGCGCGGGACAGGTAGAGGCCACCATGAATAGTATGACGATGATTTCACTTCTGGAGAGTCGACGACGTCAACCTCGTCAGGCTCTGGTGTATCCCTGCGATATTTCAGTGTCGTTGGTGGTAGGGGCGCGATGGTTTTGCTATCGCTGCTGAAACTGCTTCGCGGGGTACTTCGGCTGCTCAACGGCGGACGTGGGGTTACCTGCCGCATCATAAGCACGCTGCATTTAGACATGTCATCATCGTCTAGGACGCAGGTACTGTCGTCCATCTTATCGTAGTAATCGTCTTTCCCTTCAAGGGCGATGCACTGTGAGACTTCGTCGTTGAAGCTAATGTGACGTCTCTCACTGGGTGATTCGGTGCCAGGAGACATAGTCGTCGCCAGACTACTACTTGAATTTTCAAAGTAGTTGTTTGGAACATAATAGTCGGACGCTGACCTCCCTAATCCGGGTCGGTTTCTAAGGCTGTCCGCTTCGCGGGCTTGTAATATAGCACCAGCATGGCTGAGGAGAGTGCGTGTAGAAATGAAGCGTTGAAGGATGGTTTGAGAGGCTGTTCTCTTTTTGAGGATCGGCTTTTTGTTAAGGAAGGGGCTGGGTGGGGAGAGCCGGGTAGGAGGGGGAGATGAAGTAGGATGGGAAAGTTTGGAGGCGGTCTGTAAGGGGCCATAGAGCCAGGTAACATCGCAATCCTTGAGCCTGTTATTATAAGAGTTATATTAGTTTTTAGAATTCCTCGCACCATGTCAGGTTATATGTAGGGAAATAGAAGAAGGAAATACAAAATACGACTTACCAGTTAAGTGACTCCGGAGTGACGGTTCCAAGTCGATGCTTCGCTTTTGCCCACGTCCGCCAGGCCGCATTCTCTAACCTCACTCCATTGTTATATGCATCCCTCCTGGAAGCAATATACCTCCAAGAACTCCAGATATCTTCTTCTTGCCAATCGTGCGAGAGGTAGTCGACGTGTCTTGTAGGCTCATGCTCTATCGAAGCATCATCACCCACTATCCGAGGCATCGTGAAATCACTTCTCGATTGTTCCATCGAGGGAGGGCTGGGTGAGTCGAGCGGTGTATTCTCTTCCTCTTCATCGTAGGATGCGGTATCGAAAGAAGGGAATAATATGTCGTCATCCTCGGGTTCTTCTGGCGTCGGCGGCAGTGTGACTGCAGGAGGGCTGGTATGTACAAAAATCGAGGAGAAGATGGGAGAAGGCTGTCTCGATGATGATGTGGAGGATACTGAACTACTACGAACGGAATAGCATTCGGGTTGGGGAGATTTCAAGTAGGAGCTTTGAGATTCTGGGATAGATGGCTTGTTGCGCTTTCGCCGATGAGGGTCTGACGGCGAAAGTGAGCCTCTCTCTGGCATCACGGGTAGCACGGCGGCCATGGCTTCGAGAATCAAAAACCTTGCCAATGGCGTGGTACGCGACAGGTAGCCTGCACTGTAGAAGCTTTCTGTTGTGTCACTGCTGGAGTTTTGAGCTGGTCGACGGTTGATATCGCAGGGTAGGCTTGACGTTGACGAGTCTCCGGCGCAACGGGTAGTTAGGGTAATCTGGAACCTTGGGAGCAGATGGACGTCAAATACGTAGATCGGCTTTTCCGCGATAATGCGCGACTTGTGTCGAGAAAAATAAATGCGCAGCGTCTGGATGAAACAAAAAAACCCGCAGAAAATAGCCCAGAAAATAGCAACGTATTCCGTGCTCTGAGTAAACTAGTGCGCGATTACGGACATGGAAACGATGAGATCTACTAGCCCGCACCACGAAACAAAAACAGAAAAAAAAGACCCGCTGTCGTATAAGGGAGATCTTCTGCGGATTTAAATATTGTGTAGACTAGGAGTGTTAGAGAGTTGATAAGAGTGATGTAATTGACTGTGTCTCTTAGTAGAGCGTGGAGGCGTTTTGAATTTGGAGAGTGGGTGGAAGCGGTGGAGAGCGGAACCGACAAATAATGGTGCTTTTCTCTAGCTAACAGTACAGACGCGGCAAAGTTAAGGGATATTAGGGAGCTAGAAATGGGGGAAAATTATATTGATAAAGATGAGATGTTAAACAAGATGGGGCAAAAAAAAAGAACAGGAAGAAGAATGGGACGGGAACTGCCAGTAAAAATACAGCGATAAAAGTTGGGCGGAAAATTAGTGAGTAATGGAGTCAAGTTCTAGATTATTTTCTTCTCTTCTATACTTTGTATCTTTTTTTTCTATCTCAACGCCACCGAGAAGGGGCTCCGGTTGTTTCTCTTGTCTCCAGCGATCGATTTTATTTATCAAGGTTCGCCTTCGACTAGTAAGCGTTCTGGTACTTGTACTTGTACTTGTTACTTGTACATGTACATACATACATACATACAGACATACATAAGTTACATACATACATACAGGGCATAATCGTTTGTCCCTTGTGTCAAAGAGCCCATGCATCACACTTATAATCACGGCCTTTTTGTCACTCTGTATCAGTGCATAATAGCCCTGTTTGTCTCATGTTTTTGTCCGACACGGTACGGACAATCGGGATAAGTGTGTCTCGAATCATTTTGTTATTTTATCTTCAATCTTTGACTACCTACCTGCTCTCATCGTCATTATTACCTGTCATAATTAATTCATGAACAAATCCCCACAATAATCAGGATGAAAAGCAATCTAGCCCGCAACAAAGACCTTCAATACGAAGAGTTCAAAATCAATCAACCCTTGCCCCGACGATATGTAAACAGATAACCCAGTCATGTGATCCCGAGTAGGTCACTTACTATGCGTGTTGCGCCGATGTGATGTCATGCAACGCAGTTTATCTTCCCGAGAATCTACCTCTCAGGATTACGGCAGGCTCCTTTGGTATGGTGTTTTTTTTTTTTCGCTGGTGATAGCTGGTCTTACCAATGACAATCATCATCAGGAGCAACACATCCTGATATTCATCACTCCTGCATATCATACCTGTGCATGTCTCAATCACCCGCGAAACCTAGTTTCCATGATGGCAGACTCCAAGCTCTCAGATTCCTCTACCGGTGTGACAATAGTCAGGCTTTCCCTCCCAACTACCCATAGTATTCCTGCTACTTATCCCCGTGCTTCGATGGACTTGATCTTGACAGCTGAGAGTCTCCCGAGTAAGATATGCTACCTTGGCTCTGTCTCTCCGTCAAGTCCTCATCCCTTCAGCGATGGGGAGCCGCCCGCGGCTCAGGGATCGTTTTCATGTGTATCACCTCAAAATAAGCTCTTTGTAGACGAACCAACTTGCCCACGAATCACCCCAAAACAAAACGCACAGCATACCCCTTCCCTCGGCTGCTTTTTGTGTGTAAACCCAGTATTCTGCGTTGCGTTCCAGGACGGAGCATCGCGTGCTAAACCCTCTGTTCTGTGTCTTCCAGTATTTCTTTTGACCTCGTCAAGCCACTCCCATGCACGTTCCGTACGAATGCAGCACCTTGTTGCCCGAAGACCCAGGTATAATGCGCTCGATGTTATACCCCTCTTCGACAATAACCCGCTGTGGATAACATTAATAGCATTACGCAAAGCCAATGCATGCACAAGAACCGGTTTTCGACATGGTTTAAAAAAGAAAAGTGGAGAGAGACAGGGCGGGCCAGGATAGGGTTTTCGAAATCGCCGCGCCGAGCTGGCAACTGGCAACACCCCCCCGCTTCCTTCTCTGGCCCACATCAAGCTCAGCTCCAACCCGATCCTTGAGCGACAGAGAAAGGCCTGCTGAAGTCTAGAACGGCTGATTCCGAGAGGAAGAGGGAGTCCTGGTCCTGGACGTCGAAGATTTTTGGCACTGCCAGGGTGACCAGCGTGGTAAAATATGCCTGTGCTATGGCTTGTTTCACCTCGGTGGAATAAGTTCCAAATTCAACACAACCAAATAATTGAAAGGAAGAAAGAAATCAGACAGTGGGAGGGGGCGATTTTGCGCAATCAGACCGATGTTCCCTCGTCGTTGCTTCTTGGGCTTGGGCGTTGGCGTTCTTAGGCCTTGGAAGCCACTAAGGCAAAGCCTAACAAACTTGGGGAGTATTAGCGAATCATTCGAGAACATACCCACAAAATGCCTCTGGAGACTCTCAGTCGGAGTAAAATACGCCCGCGTGGCTTAGTGGTAAAGCGTATCACTAGTAATGATAAGATCCTCGGTTCGATTCCGAGTGTGGGCAGATTCAAGTATTTTCTTTTTATTTTTTTTATTTTTTTCCTTCTAATTTTATCTTGTTGGCCAGTTGCTATCTTGTGTCCCTCTGCTCTTTGTTTCTCAAATCTTATTGTTACACTGATTTTGAACCGTGAAGGAATCTACAGACAGTCAGTTAAAGAACCAACCTCCCTCTAAGTTCGGAGTTAGGTTAGCAATGTGGACAGCCATGTTTTTGATATCCAGAGTCCTGCTTGCTGATACTTTCCGAAACTTCGGGCCTGGCAGCGGCTTCTCGGAACCGCTCTAAATATCCTCAGCAAAGGTCCCAGACTTGATCCTGAGCTTCTGCGCCTTGCAAAAGTTGGGAGAAAACCAGAGGCCCATGTGTGTCTGAGCGCGGATTTGATAGGGCGGACGGCGCTAAATGACAATGACCCAGGTATGCAAGGAGTGCCTTTTCTTTGAATAATAAGTGGCTGAGAGTCATCTCTCAGTTCCCTTGCTAATTGTTAGTTTCCTTACAAAGCTCCCATAGGAATTGATCTTTGGAAGTACCAAGTTATTATTATTCGTGAGAAAGTGTTTCCATCCAATCTTACTCCTTTGAACATAACAGGTTATCCGGTTATACTACTTTCGTTTTATATCTATGGATTGATCACCGGCTTCGGATGAATGGCTACTAGCTTAGCTATTCGTGCAATATGGCGAGGAGGTTCAACTTCTTCCCTCCTCCAATTCTGCCTCAATTCTCAAAAATAGTTATCGTTGTCCCTTCTCTGGCACTCTAGGTAGATCATAGATCAATTATTCATTTTTGTTTCTTTCCACGGAGAAATCTCTATTTAAAAAATCTTGTCTTCCACTGCGGAGTGGATCCCTGACATTTGTCGCTGTCATCCATTTTATTTGTTTTTTACCTCGGATTTCCATTCTTGTCGGCATCCACCAGTGGGCCACCACCAACCCCCGCTTCCGGCATTCATAAAAAATAAATAACAACCGAAAGCAAAACAAAGAAAAACAAAGAACAGGATTGATTCCTTGCCCTAGTGGTCGCTAATCGCGTTAATGCTGTGGGTCTTGGCTCATGAGGCTTGTACCTATACCGAGATAATAATGGTATTGCATAACTCCAAGAAAGGGAGGGGGAAAAAACCTGGTTATGTATGTAGTTAGCTTATAGACGGCCCTTGACAGGGCCTAAGTCTAACATCTGGTTTGATGTGAGAATCATGGCAGCCCGGAGTTGTGTTTGCGATAGGGGATATACTATTCTCTCTGTGTGGCTATTGTAAAATAATCGCTGCATTAGGATATAAATGAATGAATGGTATTTGAATTGAAACATGGGTGAGTGACCTTGCTCAAGCCTTTGACATGCCCAGATTTTTATTAACACACCCCCCCCCCCCCCCCCCCAGCGCCCAGAAGAACAGACGCACCCTCCTTACCACCAAGCGCCTCCCCACATTTTGTGGAGAACATGTTCGTCAAACAAATATCGGGTCTCACTCTATGCAAGGAACCAGAAAAAGAAAGCAGGAATTGGTGAAAAGTTGGTTGGGCTAGCTTACTAAGAGAGAGATATATGACAATCTCTCCCCATAGTTAATTTATGTATGGGTGGGTAAGGATTGGCCTCATGTGTGTTTCTGAATTTCTCCTTTACAGCTGAGGAATCCTGCTTTACTAGTTTCTGGCAGAATATGACAGCCGTCTGCGTTGGCAATGATAGGCCTGCGAGGAGAATTATTCCATACATCCTGAAAATGAGTATCAGTTATTCATTGGTTGTGGATGCGCAGCAGGCATCCATAGCCACGTCATCAACGGGGGGAATTTTTTCTATCTCAAATTCTAGATCTGGGACATCTAAGAGATTTTCTTCTCTAAAAAAAATTTAAAAAAATAAGGAAGGAAGGAAGGAATGGAAAATTCAATATTGGTTTGGAACAGGAATAGGATCTTGGGGCGGGGAGGAATTCAATTCACTAGGCTGCCGCACCCAGACATCCGGATCCTCTGGGTAGTCAAGCTAGGGAGGTGGTTGACACAATGTCGACTCTCGGGCCCTTTTTGATTCCCACTGGTATTTTACCTTCCGCCTGTTTTAAAAAAGTAAACAGGGAACGGCATAGTAGCCAATTGACGACCAGGGAATATATTGAACGAGTTGGCTAGACCGGATCCACAGGAATGGATGAATCGCCATCTTATGTATCTTATTTCCCGATTCAACGGGTCCTGGATTCGTATGCTATCCGATAGCCGGGATCTGCATATATATGTGTTTTGAAAGAATGTGGCCAGGTCGGGAAGGCTTCCAGGCTTCTGTCTCTCTTATACGGGGTTGGGAAGATGAGAATGTTTATTTCAGTAATCGACGGCGGATGTCCCGTATGTGACGCAATGACGTCAAATGCCTCCGGCATAGGTGCATCTCTAGACTCTGTTAGGATGAGCATGGTTGCGTAAGCTATTAAACCTGGCCCGGACTCCGTGATTTCTTAACAATTTATAATTGCAAAGTTGCGAGTGCTTTCATGCTGGCTTCATCCCGGGCTAGAGAAGACGAATATCATTGAAAGTCGCTAGTGACCCCTCGAGGTCGAGTGAACGGCACACTGGAAAAGAGATTGAGAGCGGCCGATTCCCGGGTAGGCAATGATACTGCTGTAAAACATCCAAGTAGCTAGTATGTCGGTTAAGTATTTGTTCATTGTAGTCCTTCCGAATGACATAGCTTGAGACGTAATATGATCAGGTATATTGATCAGGTTCCGATATTTTCGCCCCGTGAGATAGATCCAAGCGACCATTTAACCGGGGGGTGAGGCGGACTGCTGCCCTCAAATAGGACTTTGACACCGGATGGATTCTCCATGCCGAACTTCCTCAACTACATTAGCGCTCAAAAGCAATCTGTCAGTTTAAACATTCTTTTCATGACAAGTCCCCGGTAAGAAAAGGAATGAACCGACTTTAGCAAACATCTTCAAAACAATTATCCTTACCCCTTCCTCGCCAATCATATTCCTCCTCCCCTCTGCAAGCCCGCCTACAACCACAATTCTTAACTTCTCAAGACCATTGTCCACCCACCAAACATCTAGCAACGTATCAACCGTGCGCGCCCACCTACTTGCCAAATTCGCAATGTCAATCTTCAACACGACCCGTCTAGCCCGCTGTAGTGCCCCTTCGGAGATGAACACCGTGATATCCACCGGCCGCCCAAGCGCCATCGAGTAAGGCGGTGGCTCGTCTATGACTAACTCCTGCGCATGCAGAACAGGGAGCGCTTCATACGTTATCTGTCGATTGAGCAGGAAGATTGTTGGCGTAGTATAGCGTGATTCTGGAATGGAGGGAGACGGGAGCGGACAAGCATTATTGCACATGTCCCCTAACCCCATTGAGAGGGATGAATGGGCGAACCAGGCTGCTTCGTCCTGTTCGCATTCTCGGCGCAGGCGGTCAAAGAGGCCGCGGAGGTTTGGCCAGCTTAGTGCTAGTGTATAGATTTCGTGCCGAATCTCAGGCGGGAGATCGAGGAAGGATACCGGACGGCGACGCTTGGTGGTCTTCTTGACGGTCATAGTGCCCATTCTCCTGGTTATTTTGATATCTGCTTTTGTTTCAGAGCTTCTGCTTCTCTTGTGAAATGTAGTCAATATATGGTCACAGTGGGAAGGGCCGGTATCGGAGCTGCAGCACTTGAGTCAATGTCAATTCTGGGCTTCCATTGATTGCAGGGGAGAGGTGCTAAGAGGTAACGATGTCCCCCCACAGCACCCTTGTTATTGAAGCAAGAATATATCCAACATTATAGATGGCATGAGGGCAAAATCTACACTATCTTGCTGGGTGACCTCAATTGAGTAGCGAGCGTTAAGGGGTGATTCCTACAGGCATGACGCAATTGGGGCTATGCGCTAATACGGCTTAGTTTGGTTTGGTTAAGCGCGAGATGCGAGCCTCAGGGTTAGCGGGCGCTTATGCGTCAAACGTCAACAAGCTCTGAGAGCCTCATGAATTCTTATTCTGACGTACTGTTTACTCTAATGATTTGGTCTTCGTGTTTCTTATATCATCTTCCTGAAACATTTCTTTATTCATATTTTGGTTGTTGTTACGCTTGATTATAAAATGGTGGTGATCTATGTCTCTAGATAGTTACCCTTTTTCTGAGAACCAATTGTGTCACAATTCCATAGTTATCAGCTATTCTTTGAAAGATGTACACCGAGTATTCTCCAATACGGAGTACAGAGTCAAACTAGCTCTGTGTATGATACGCCTCAAATGGAAGCCATCCTACAAGTGTTAGTGTTGAGTAAACTCTCTTCTAATACACTAAACGCACATCTCTAGCAAACCACACTCCTGCAACAACGGCGCAGATCAAACTGAAAACTAGGTACCTCGCCGCCAATAGAAGTGAACCCATTCAATGAAACGACTTCGCCTATGAGGGGATGGAACTTATGGGGTAGATCTGCACCCCTAAAATGTTTCCAAAATATGACTGGCTGTCGCAGGCTTTGAACATCAGTGAAGCCATGAGATTGCAAGATCATTCGGGCGTGCCGCCACTAAACTTGCGTCATTGAGCACGAGGATCGTAGGAGCAGGAGTACTCCGTACTCGTAGTTATGATATAATAATAACTGTAACTAAACCAGCTGTTTGATTCTGATGAGTTTTGATCGTTTTGAGTTTTGGATGATGCAAAAAGCGGAAACACTATAATCCGAATACACAGACGTCCTGCTATGGTGATCTCTCCCAGCGACAGAACCACCGACATTGTGATTAAGAGGGGATACACCTAAAATAATTTCTATTACAGAACCGCTATCCAATTCCCCAAGCAATATGCCGGGTACAGGAGACCACGAAACTTCGGCAGCGCCCCCCGAACCCCAGGCAAGACATATAGTATACTGCGGAGGTTGGTTTCCGGTTCCCGCTTTCTCGAAAGGCTGCCCCGCAACCCCTCCCCCACGGCGCATAAGAACACTCCGTTAGATGCTTTGTATACTTCTATGGCACAATTCAACTAACTTCCGCTATATTGTCCAGTTTGCTCCCTTCCACCCGAGGTGCGTAACGGTTCTTCATTATGTAGGAATCCGTACTATATATATATGAAACTTTTGGCTTCGCCGCTGTATGGAGGGGTCCTGGATGCTAAGGATGGTGATGCAGTATTGCGAGTTTGGCGGGACAGCGAAGAAGTGCGAACAATGGCTGAAAGACAATCATTCTGATTTACATCAAACGTTATACTCTGCCGGTATGCTGTCTCTTGCATCCTATTCGGTCTCGGTTCTATATCCCGTTTCATCTACCCACGCCGAACGGACCCCCTCTCCCCTCCTCCTCCCCTTTTTTTTCTTTTGCCCAAACCACTCCAACAAATGAAGCAATCCCATCAGTCCGAAGTAAAACAAAATGTAAACAGATCATGAACTAACCAACCCTCATCCCCTCCCCCCTCCATAAAAACAGAAACCATAACCGCAAACCTAAACACCCTCTCCATCTCCGCCCGCGAACGCGCCGCCAAAGACGCCGCCAAAAAAGAAGCAAAAGCCGCCCTCGCCGAATCCCGCGACCAGGAACGCAAAGCCTCCGCCAAAATCCAAATCCGCCGCGTCGAGCGCAATAAGCGCAAATACGTCACCGTCGTCTCCGGCCTGGAGGCCCACGGGCTCGACATCAAGAAGATCTCGAAGGAGTTGGGCAAGAAGTTTGCAACGGGGAGTTCAGTGACGAAGGCTGTTTCGGGCATCGCGGCGACGGCACAGGGCGGCTCGGGGGAGGAGATTACGGTGCAGGGGGATGTTAGTGAGGAGATTTTGGAGTGGTTGGTGGGAAATTATGCGGCCAAGGTGCCGGAGGATAATGTGGAGCTTGTGGAGGATAGGAAGAAGAAGGCTGGGGCGGGTGGGTGAGCGGGTGGGTGGTTGAGTGGTTTGGGGGATTGGTGTTTGTTTGATTGACTTTTGTTTTTGCTCTCAGCTTTCCTTTCCTCCTCTAGATGGGAGACGGGGGAATTTTGGGTTTGATGGATATCTGAATATCGGGATAATGACTCTTCATGACGGGAATTAAAGACGCTGGTTTGGGCTGCTTCTGTTTTTCACATTGACGGGAATAACTAGTTTGCAACATATGGACGATGACGCCTGTTTTCCCTTAGTATTATTTTATATAAGAAAATAAACTACATTTGAAAAATATATTCTTCCTCCCCTCTATGTATAATGAGCAACGTTGCGTTTACCCCTAAGCACAACCATACCCCTGTTCGCCGTCCTAGGACAGACCTGCACGAAATTCATTATCAACGCCATAGATATGTCCCTAGCTCCGCTATGCCGAACCGTCAAAATGGAAAGAACAGCGTATATATACAAACCCATCATTCATTTTTGAACCGAGTTCCTCGGGCAAGTATCATCCTCCCTTCGGATCCCACCGTTTGTCTCAAACGATTTACTAACCCAGACATCCTCCACATCCCGAAGCCCCTGTCCAACGACCCCACACGTCGAATTCCCCGTCGACACATTCTTCCCGATGACACCTTCACCCTCGCCCAAATCCCCAACCCCAATCCCTGTACCTGCAAGACCCGCAAGACCCTCGACGGGCCTCAATTGCTGAACCGCCAACGCAGCAACCAACACTACCACCGCCGTCCCCACCACCGCCCAGAAGATCCTTAAGCGCGTCGTAACCCGCCTCTGCCACTCCCCCTCCCGCCGATCCCATGCCTCAATCTTGCCCCGCACAATCTCCATGCGCCTGTTTAGGGCCGCCGCCTTCTCCGCGCCAGCGCGCATGCGGCCCTCGAGGGCTTCGATGCGTTGGATCTGGGCGGTGAAGGCGGTATGGAACTCGTCGATTTGGGCTGTGGTGTCACGGGACAGGTTGTCTGTTTCGCGGGTGAAGTCTGAGTGGAGGGAGGAGGCGGCTGTGGAGAGGGTGTGGAAGGAGTAGATCGCTGAGTGGAGGTTGGAGATTTTTTCGAGGAGGGCGTAGTAGGTTGTGTCCAGGCGGCGGGTTATGTTTGTGGAGAGAGTGGAGAGGTCGCTGAGTGTGGTGCGGTTTGATCTGGCAGTTTCATATGTTAGTGGATGTGTGTCTCTGTGTGCGTGTGCGTTAGTATAGGATTGTATGGGCTCTTACTCCTCTTCCTTAATCCTCCAAATCCTCTCTCTCCTCACCTCTGCCATGGTGACATTCTCCCTCCGTCTTCCAAAGGGCAGCCTTTCCTCTGTAGTGCCACTGCCACTATCACTCGCCTCTAGCCCGCTCGCCTCAGACCGTTGTCCCGCAGCAACCGTGTGAGCGACACTAAGCTCCCCCACACCATTAATACGCGACCCCTTATCCCTATTTACGTACTTTCCAGGTCGTAAACTCATACTTGCGTGATCCCTCACAGTCCTTGGAAGTTGGCCATCCCGTGACGCATGCCGTTTATGGCGATATCGGCGCTTCTCCTTCTGCTGTTTTGAAGAAACGACGGGTTTGCTGCGGTTGGGATCCCCGTCTAACAAACTAGGGTCAAGGCGTTGCGGTTGTTGTTGTTGTTGTAGCTGCTGTTGCTGGTGAGGAAGATGGAGCTGGAGCTGGAAGTGGGGGAGGGAGCGGGAGTGGGAGTGAGTAGGGAGGAGGCTCTGGTCACGATGCCGTAGCGAATGACGGTGACGATAGCGCTGTTTACGGGGAAGCAACGAGTCGTCTAGCAGCGAGAAAGGGTTATAATAGGGAAACTGTGTGTGTATTCTCGGAGGGTGTGGCTGTGGATGCAGTCGTCGACGGCTATGGCTTGCGGAGGGGTGCTTATCGTTGTTATTGATGCTAGGAGGAAGTATGGGACCGGGAGCTTGGGCGCTGGAGGGAGATGATGAACCTTGGGTTGGCTGGGTTGACAGCGGCGGTGCGGCAGAAGCAACAGAAGCAGAAGCAGAAGCAGAAAAAGACGCAGCAACAGAAGCTGGGGAGGATTCCGCTGTTGCAGATGGATTAGACGTGGTATTCATTGTCTCGATGCCTGCGGTTGTACTTTGGTGTCCTTGGTTAGCAGAAGCCATGCGGCAACCAGTTGTGTGTATCCGGGCGGCTCTGGGTGGGTTAGTGTCTGCGGGTCATTCCTGGTGTAGATATCAACATGAACATTTTATTCACACACTTTCTTCGTGACAGGGCGATAGTTAATGATGGCAGTTTGTTAGAATCATATCTGGTCTCTTTGCCTCGAACTTGTCTCCGAATCAGCAAACCTCTTGGCGGACTAGATACCTTGCATCCCTGTACCCTGCCATGCCAAGCTATACAGAGTATCACCAGCAAAATACGGGCGAAACGTGAAGAAGGCTGGGAGGGGGAGACTGATATGCTCGTGGATGTGCGCTATTCTATTCGTTTTATTATACCACCAGGCTGGGATATCATTTCCTCGTACTCCGTTAACAGAAGCCGTAAAATGCTCTAACTCCAAAATAACAAAAGAGAAAAACGCCTTGGCCAGCACTCCATAAAACAGATATCAGGGAGAGAAATACGAAATTTTAGCCCAGCCCACAGATGCAACATAACTATGACCAAAAAACACTTCACGAATTGAGCAACTTATTTCTCTTCTCCCTGCGCTTGAGCCGCTCAACCCGTTTCCTATGCATTTTCTCCGCCATCTTCTCATACCGCAACTTTTCCTCTTTGGCAGCCCGGCGATCCCTAATGACTTGAATCCGTCTCTGCAAGCAAAACCAAGTTGTCGATTAGATATTTTCAAGAAAAGCAAATCAAGGAATACAGCAAAGCATTCCTGTCGAGGTTTGTGCTTGGATTGTAGAAACACACCTGTCGTTCCGCTTCCTTCTCATCTTTCATCTCCTTCTCCCTTTCCTTCATGGCTTCGCGGGCTTTGCGCTCTTCGAGGCGTTTGGCGAAGCTGGTTTGCCCTGCGGTGGGGCGGAAGGGGGTTTTGTTGTCGTGCCAGTTTTTCCCTGTGAATTGGGGAGCGGAAGAGGAATAAGTAAGAGGCAGCAATATGGGGAGAGATACGGGGTAGGTTCGTACCATTTTTCCGCATGCCTTTGGGTGCTTGGGATGCAGGCTCGGGGATCTTCACCGGAGTTTCGACGGTAGTGGACATGGCAGCAAAGCGAGTGCAGTTACTGCCACACTATAAAACAGGGCGTAGGGAGGAGTAACAATGATAATCCTAACTGACGCCTGAAGTTTCCAGAAACCTCCTAGCAGTTGTAGGTCTTTAGTGGCGTCTCTTTGGCTGCTTCTCCCATTCTTCTGTCGGGAACGAAAAACCATGTTTCCCAAGTAGGTGGGGATTGAGGTGACTGACTAAGACGGAGCGTGATTGGGGCAGATGGAGACAAACTAGACTGGACTAGGTATAGCATTATCTTAGCGTAATCAGATAACCGGATCTCGGCGATTTATTTCACCCGAAATCACGCCGCTAAACCTAATCCACTGATGTTGGATCGTTTTTTGCTTTTTTCCTTCTCGCCGGATCTCATTCTTCAGCCAAAGCAACCGAGAACTGTGACTCTGATCCCCACCAGCTCCAAAATTGCGCCTCTGGACACACACAAATGCACCGCAGATAGCTTCTTCTAGACAACTCACATCCACCCTTTTGCAGCGTGGCTTGCCTGTTCCTCCCGTCTCGACCCACCTGTCTCGGCCTGCGTGTGTTCTCGCCCAATTTCTGTGCGGCCCTAGGTTCCTCCTCAGGCGAACCCATCATGCTCCTCCTCTCTTCTGTGTGATGTCGCTCGACTACTTCTCCTATATCCCTCACACGCCGTCTCCTTCATCTTCACCTAGCCCAAGGCTATATATCTCCCAGAATTATACAATGCTCTTCCGATAACACTCTCTCCCTAAATTCATTGTATTTTTCCCCTCCACTTCCTCTTTCCCCTCCCTTCCGTTCTTCTGGTTCAGGCACATGCAAAGCAATGGACGCTGTGAAACCGCAGATTCCGGGTGCCATTGAAAACCAAATGGCGGTGGAGCTGGCTGATTTTCCTTCGACGACTAATCATGGCGTGGAAGCCTTGAAAGATATCGTATATGGATCTGTAGGTGTAGCCCGTTTGTCTTTTTTCCCTTTCCTACGTTATATATCATATTCAGTATTTTGTTGAAGAACAAAGAAAGACGAACACCTGAAAATCTGTCTTGTCTAAACTCTCACTGATTCTAAAACCACATAGACCGCAGGAATCGCTGGAAAATTCGTCGAATACCCTTTCGATACCGTCAAAGTCCGTCTTCAATCCCAGCCCGCCGGCCTCCCACTACTATACAAGGGCCCCATCGACTGTTTTCGCCAATCCTTCCAGGCCGCTGGAATCAATGGCTTGTATAGGGGTATCAGCGCACCCCTCGTCGGCGCAGCGGTTGAGACAAGCAGCCTCTTCTTCAGCTACCGTGTAACACAAGACTTTCTTAAATCGACACTATATGCCTCGGAGTCCTGCGATGGCGAATCTGTAGCTGCAGTGGAACTGCCGCAGTCCGCATTACTCATCTGCGGTGCGGCGTCGGGGGCTTTCACATCGCTCCTCCTCACGCCTGTGGAACTCATCAAGTGCAAGATGCAAGTTCCTGCTGGGAGCAGCGGGGCCATTTCGAGCTCGGGCTCACTCGTGTCCAATCAAAAAGCCCCTGGCCCCATCGCTCTAATCGCAGCGGTGTTCCGGCACGAGGGGCTTCTCGGCTTCTGGCGCGGGCAGATGGGCACCCTCATTCGTGAAACGGGCGGTTCGGCGGCGTGGTTTGGTAGCTATGAGGGTGTGCTGGCTTTTTTCAAGAAATATAACGCTTCGAAGGCTGCTACTGCTGCAACCACTGCTGGTACAGGTACTAGCGTTGATGGTGTTGATAGCGCACCACTGGTCTACCAACGTCTCCTCGCAGGCGCCGCGGCGGGGATTAGCTATAACTTCATCTTCTACCCAGCAGATACCGTCAAGTCGCGTATGCAGACGGAAAGCATCACGCATGCCGTCGGAGGGGATGCAGCCCGGTGCAGCCGTCCCACCTTTTGGGCTGTCGGTAAGGCTCTCTGGAAACAGCAGGGTCTTGCCGGGTTGTATCGCGGCTGCGGGATTACGTGCGCACGCTCAGCGCCTAGTTCGGCGTTTATATTTACGATTTATGAGGCGTTGAGGCGGTATCTTTGAGTTACATGCTGGTGCCGCTGCTAGCTCCCCCACTGAGGTACCGAGTTTCTATTGTTGATGATTATGACGTTGCTTTTATCTTATGCTTATGAGCATAATCTTATTTTTACTCTTATTTTTGTTTACCCTATGCCGGTCATTCGTTTTTACACGCAGCTTTTATTACCCCTTCCCACGAACGCTTACTTCATATCCCCTTTATACGCATATCCTGGCATGACCGTCTTATCCCTACAGCACATACCAAACTATATATCATACCATACATCCATGACACGGGCGACTTTTTTGGGGGGATAGGGATTTTTCTTTTGTTTTCCTCCTCTCTCCCGGGGCATATCGATCGACTGGGACGCATTGGCGTTACATGTTTCATGTGTGTTTCTCTTTATATATTCGATTTATAGACTTAATCGCGGATAAAGGAATTTTGGGTGCGGTTTCTTTTTTTTTCTTTCTTTTATTTGTCAGCTTCCGGCTATTCCCAGTTCGGTCCCATTTTTAGAGACCTGTTTCATTTTTCATTTTTTTCCCCTTTCTTCTTGGAGAGAGTGAGAGAATGTAAGGATCAAAATAGAAATTTCATAAAGGATGTTTTATGATTTGTTGATGGAGCAATTGTTTCATGAGCACGCCATGTTGTGCAACAAAACATGGGCCAGACCACTGCACCGAATGGGATCAATCCTAGAGGTACGGATTAGGTTCACCGTCGGAAGATATTCTATCAAGATAACTAACTGCCTTACGGAGGAGTTGTAGCAAGTTTATTCCGTCTGATGCACGGCTTGTTCTCCGCTCCAAAATGACACGTGACCTGTCCGTTTTCGGAATTTTTGTGATTAACTAACTACTTTTGGAATAATGAGCCACTAACCAGCCACTAATATTATCAACCAATAGGAAGCCTCAGGTCTTCAAAACACTCAAAATCTCAATATCATTTTCTTCAATCTCATACATCTGTATTAAATACTTCTTCAATCATTATAAAACTAATATATTTAGATTCTTTATCTCTCTAGCTTTATTTGGTTCTATCGCAGAAACTTTAATGATATATATTTATTGAGATGCTATAATTTGAAGATGAGCTAATCGACACACGCTTTATGATATGGTGTCGTTTGATGAGATTGACCTCCGCCTTTTAAGCCTAGGGCTGAAGCATGGTAAATCCTGCGAGCGGCTTCTCGACCAAGACAACTATAGGAGTTGGTGGAATAAGGAGCGTATCGAGGAACATAATGGAATCATTTGGATCCAGGGTAAACTGGAGCTGGAAAATCATACTTGATGGAAGTATCTGTTTGAGGCAGTCGACGAAGCCAGGAAAAATCCGAACTCCCCTGTGATATCTTTCTTCTTCCATGCGCGCGGTGTAGAGCTCGAAAAGAAATCCAATGGGCCTTTATCGATCTTTGCTGTGGCAGACAGGATAGAATGCTGAATATTTGAAGCACCTGATTGAAAATCCCACAGCTAAACGACTCGTCGAGAAGAGTGGCTGGAAGTCGGTTATTCTTGAAAGAATATTCCAGCGGGTCGTCCAAGGCCTCGGGGATCGGGAATTACAAACCTACGTTGATGCACTCGACGAGTGTGGGGACTCAGAGCTTCGAGAGATTGTGACGTTCTTCCAAAACATTATGGGTGGTGTGGCAACCTCGAAAACCCCGTTCAGTTTACGCATTTGCCTGGCGAGCCGCCCGTGTCCGACAATCGGCGTAATTCGAGGCACAGAGATCGTCCTCGACAGACAAACTCAGCTTGTGAAGACATTGAGCGATACATTAAATCCAAATTGAGTCCGATTTACAAAAACGAGAATCCCAGGCGGTTTATGCACCTACAATCTTCCATACTAGAGAAATCTCGGGGAATTTTCCTCTGGGTTTCTCTTGTTATAGAAATCCTGAATGACGAGGTCGTCGAGGATCGAGCCCATGATTTAGAGATATGTCTTCAACAGATCCCCGAGGAATTGAAAGACTTATTCGGCCTGATACTGCGAAGAAATCAGCATCAGAACTACTCTTTGTGACTTTGGGAAAGGGGGTTGCAGCACCAGAAAGAATATTTTCAGCACAGCACTCACTGGATCCTGTACGCTAGACGGCCCTCGGGGTTGAAAGAGTACTATTTCGCTGTTAATGATTATATTCCCGAACTGGCAGATCATTGGGAGCTTGGTGAGGAAAGGGACAGTTCCAGGCATGTAATGTGCCGATTTGTAACTTACTCATCGATGGGCTTCCCGGAGGTGGTTAAGGCCAAGGGAAAATCCCAATGGATTGTTCAGTTTATCCATGAGACAATCCGAGATCTCCTCCTTAGGAATTTAGAGTCAGGCAACGAAGAGCTGTTCAAGGCAAAATGCCATAAAGTCATGAGGGACCGCTGCCTGGTGCGCTCTCCGAGATCCAGTCCAGTTCGACAAGTAAGCAATTCATCGAGTTTCTGGGAAAACACAACAAGCCTCTACCGGGAACCGTGGAGATTCGGCCAGGTCCAGGTGCTTCTGAGGAAACGCGTCCCGGCAGCCTTTCGCTAAACTAAGAAAACCTAAAGCAGCTATTAGGCCAAAGGCTATTGCTGCTTCCATATGCCGTCTCCTCGATCCTTGAGCATGCACGTTTCATTGAAAATGAACCTGAAGGAGAGGCGTTTATTGATTGCTTGCCTTGGGACTGTTGGATATATTTCCAATAACATATTCGTCGGCCGGAAAGCATGCCGTTATGCATCGGGTGAGAGCTTAAGAGCTCTTTCAAAGAATGACCTGCCTAGCCTTGTTAGAGTTGCTCTAAGACGAAGCACGTTCTTCCAATGGAAAGTCCATGCCGTAGCATTGAGAGATGCCTATGACGGCTATCATGGGAACGCGTCCAAAATGCTGATGATGCAAGATAATAGCTTACGAACCAACTCTCTAACTTACCGCCCTCAACTTAAGTGAACTATAGTGAGATTTTAACCCAAGCTGCTGCAGATAACCGGGAGGCAATTGTCAAAGTATTACTCGAGTCTGGAAAGGCCGACATCAACTGGGCTCAACCCTTTAACTCTCACTGCGGAGATGCTTTGTTCCATGCAATGAAGAGGGGCTTTATCTCTAGTCTCACTTGCTGCTGGTTACTGATCAGCTTCGGGGTTCGGTTGATTTCTTTCTCAAGCCTCTAATCTTGGAAGGCAAGGATTCTAAGTTAAGGCCTCCTCGTTGGCTTGAAGTATTCGAACTTCTGGTTTGCAGCAACCTAGTTGATTTGAACGTCACTAATGATCTTTATTTGCGATCCCCATCAGACCCTAGAGCATTTGGCATGAGGCCACCTCGGGTGGTTGAAGCTTTCAGGATCGAAATGCTACCCTATCTACATCTCGCTACCGAAGCAGGTGATGTTGACATGGCAGGTAATGTTGACATGGTACGATTGCTACTTGCAACTGGCAAGGTTGATATTAACGTAAAGGACTTGCATATCGGCGAAACAGCTATTCTATGCTGCTGACCATGCCGATGTGCTTGAAATGTTGCTTGTCGTTGGTGCTGATGTTGATACACGTAATGGGCATGGTCAAACAGCTGTAAACGTTGCTGCTAAACAAGTCTATGGAAATATCGTTGAAAAACTACTTGTGGACATTGATTTGAATTTCGTTAACGGACGGGATCTGTCCGACCGGACAGCTCTATGCTATGCTATTTACTATCAACATCAAAACATTGTTCAAATGCTGCTTGGGGCTGGTGTAGTTGCCGTTAGACACGATGAGGATCACCACAGAGATCTCTCACCCGCTGTTGAAGATAGATGGACATCTTTGAAACGTCGCTCACCCTATACGCCACCCCCCTCTCGTAGGCGAAACTGGGGCTCAAGTCATTGAACCAGCCGATTCATGAGGTTGACTGGACTTTAAGATCACCTTTACCATCAGCTATCTGCCCAGGCAGTCCATGAACATTCAACAATGCATCCTTGCCAAAGCGCTTGTCCCTGACCACCTTACATCTCCTTTTCAAAGTACAATACGTATTTCCTCCCCGGGCTGGTTTGTACACGGTTTTCTGAAAATTTGATAAACCTTGAACAGGTGTTATCATATGGAGAAACCGGCCTCGATCTCCGGAATCCCCATTCGTAACCCTTCTCCCTACTGCGGCGCTCAGGCGTTCGTCTGCATTTCCATTTCTTGCTCTCGTGTTTTCCAAGCGAATATGTCACGTATTTCCTATAGTTGGCCTAGCTCACAAGCCCTACTTGATGATGATGATGATGATGATGATGATGATGGTGATGATAACACCCCTAACTCCTAAATAACTAAACTTGCCATGGTCAACCTGGTTTGCACTTAAATTTATATCTTTCATGTGTAGCTGAACAGTTCTCCTCAACAGCACTCTATATTGCCCTCCAACCAAGTCATGATATTGCTTTATTGCCTTTATTAACATATTCTCTATTTAATGCTCGATTATCTGATGTTTCCTACAGCTAAATATGTTCATTTTTGGTCAATGTCACCCCATGGCTTTTGAAATCTAGTTTCATAGATGTTAACCCCATATTGCAGCTATAATAAGTAACTAAATATCGGGACCCACTGACGTCAAACTTGTATCCAAAGTCGTTGTCCAACTCCCAACTTCCGCTGACATCTTTCCTGTGATCTTAACATAAAACATAGTTAAGCATTGAATACTTATATACCATTTCCCAGATAGTTAGCAGTATCCCTCCCCGCCGGACCAAACATTAACCTTCAGCGATGTTCACCCAATTATCAGCCACAGAGCTCCACACGCTCTCCTCGAAAGCTATCGCAGCGAAGGAAGCAGCGCATTGTTCGTAGTTCATTTCTCGTCTCAAGTGTCACCCATTTATACACACACACACACACACATATATATATATATACCTAGGCACAATTTGCATCCTTTTTATTTGCTGTCGTCGAATTAACAACCGATGCCAATATCACAGGCCCGTACTCGAAATTCCGCGTGGGCGCCTGCCTGCTCACGGACGAAGGGGAGTTCATCGTCGGCGCCAACGTCGAGAATGTTAGCTATCCTGTCGGCGTGTGCGCGGAGAGGTGTGCTTTATCAACCGCGGTGGTAGGCAATCGAGATTCTGCTCGATCTTCTATCCTTTTCCTTCTCTATCTGCTGTCGTTTATTTATTTTACCCTGTTATTCCCCACGCGATATCCGTTATATACACTAAAAATCTCGATGCAATCCCCGCACATTGATTTATAGGTAGCCGGCCACAAGAACTTCAAGGCCATCGCCGTCGCGACGGACATCAATCCCGGTGCTTCTCCGTGCGGGATGTGTAGGCAGTTGTATGTGTAACCCGCACTCCGCCCGTTGTTACAATATTAATCTTTGTTACATTCGTTGAAATGATACATTATACGCTGACCTTACTACTCCGTCGGGACCAAAAGCATGAGAGAGTTTTGTGACCCTTCTTTCCCAGTTTACATGTATGGAGGGGACGGAACGTATACAATGAAGACGATGGGGGAGGTATGTATTACTTTGGTTGCTGGATCTCCTCTATTCCTCTGACATGAATTTTCTGTCTCTAACAGTATACCTACTGGACGTGTAATAGCTTCTCCCAGATTCTTTTGGTCCTACTGACCTTCCGCAATAATTGCAAGGGGTTGAGAATATTCTCGTTCTTGAGAGGTTTGGTAAGGCTTTATGAACATCGGTAGAGTGGAAGAGAGGGAGGAACTATATGTTCTATGATTTCTGCGTCAACAATGCTTCATGCTAAATGATAAGAAAGGGGCTCCTGTGGAAAATGAAGGGAAGAAAATGCTGAGGGTATGGCACATGTACATGTAAAAAAACGTTGGTAAAGATGATTCTAATTCCAGGAGAAGCAGGCTTCATTGAAGGGAATTAAGTACATTAATGAAAACAAGATCAAGACAAAGGAATATCCATCTGATGACTTTAATTGCATGTTTCGATTGTATTGCTATCTACGCCATTATTTAGGGTCGTGAACGAGTTCTTTGCACATGAGGTTCCAAATATATTGATATATGATATTCGCAGATTTCTAGCTTGCCAGAGTATTTTATATCAGACCGTTTCAATCAGCTTCAGAGCGCAGGCCAGCTTAGAAGAGATATCACCAAGCGGGCAAGCAGTTAAGTAGTACGCACAAGAACTTGATTTCTAGCAGGCAATCAAGCCTGTCTGCCCCTGTCTTGCGAACACTCCCCGTTCATCCAACACCTGAGCTGGATGGCAGTACCCAGAACGGGCAGGGTTAGTTCCATAAGCATCCCACTTTTGCATCCCCCGCCCTTGATACGCCTAGAGCACTGGTGGTCAGTGGCAATTGATGTATTCAGTTTGGAGGCAACTCTAGGCCCCGGGTTTTAAATGGTGGAGAAAGCGGGATGACGCCGATGTTATCTTCGTATCATTATTAGCGGGGCATCCCAAACGAACCTCTGTTGTGTATCGAATTAAAATATCGAGGCCTACTATCTACCGTCCACGCATTGTTTTCTGTCTTGAACACGGCCAACCAAACCACCAAATCCATTGTTAAATATCATGACTACAGCAGCACAACCACGATCAGGCCTCGGCCCTTTCTACAAATGCGACCCGGCCATGATCCTGGGTGAAGCCCCCATCTATCGTGCCAGCGACTCCACCCTGCATTGGGTGGACTGTTTCTCCGAACCTGCAGAGCTACATATCTTGCATGTCGACCCAGATACCGGCGCTGCACAGGGCAAAGCCCGCGTGTTAAAACTCCAGGACAGCGTCTCAGTTGCGTGTTTCCGCCAAGGGAAACCTGGCAGTTACATCGCGGGCTACTATCAGGGCATATGCTTTATTGACGAGGAGACGGGGAAGTTTGAGATTCTCAAAGAAATCGTCCCAACAGACCAGAGGGACGAGTTCCGCCTCAACGATGGAGGGATAGATGCCAAAGGCCGTTTTTGGGTGGCGGAGATCGATAAGAAAGCCATGGCGTATGGGGTGGGCAAGCTGCCGGCCAGTTATGGCGAACCTCAGGGTAAAGTGTGGCGGTACGACCCCGACGGAAGCCTGCAGTCGATGGACAAGGGGTTTATCTGTGGGAATGGGTTGGCATGGAGTCCAGATAATAAGACAAGTATGCAGGCAATCTATCGAATTCCGGTGAAATTGTTGTTATTATTCACATGAGAACTCCACCCTTGATATCGTTTGCACTGCAGCTGATGTGGATTGAAAAAATGGAAATCAGTGTATATCAACGACTCCGTAGGTATGCTTACATATGCCTATGACTTCGACCTTGAATCTGGAAGCATCTCCAACAAGCGCATTTTCATCGACCATCGAGCTGCGACTGGAGAGCCAGATGGTATGGTTGTAGAGTATGTCAGGCACTTTTATCTCCCCCAGCCCCCTTCCCCCCCCCCCAATCCCTACTTCTAAAAGGGTCTGAGATTGGTCTCCCTTATTTAAGACAAAACTCTAAGCCTTACCCTTCTATATAGCACGCAAGGAAACCTCTGGGTAGGCGTCTACAACGCCGGCCGCATCATGGTCTTCAGCCCAGATGGCAAACGTCGCAAAGACATCCCCTTGACCGCACAAAACGTGACCTGCACAACCTGGGGAGGGTGCAACTGGGACCTCATCTTCGCCACGACGGCGCAAAATCCCGATGCGCAGGGGTCCGAGGTGGACGATGGCGGGCATATGTTTTTGTATAAACCCGAGGACGGGAGTAAGGGCCAGGCGAAGCTGGAGTTTGCGGGCTGATATACGGTTAGCTAGCTCTGTTTGACCCCTGAATGGTTTATTGAGCAGCTGATAGGTACAGTTGAGTATTTTGCTCTTCATGTTATTAGAATGGAGGGATCGGGGATTTATCCTGGCTTGATTTTAATTTCAACCCGCACCCTACTAGGATTTAACACCGGAATTCAAGAAAGGGGGAGCAGAAGAACATTTCTAGGAAAGGATAAAGCAGCAATCGGTGCAGAGCATATATGCTAGGGTATAGCAATATCCTAGGCTAAACATCATTTCAAAATATGAAATAGTATTGTGTACAAAGTTATTATAATAGCCCAGAAGCATGAATTTTAAAATCCGTTAAGTGTAGTACATAGTATCAATGACATATAAGAACCTCAGCAAACAAAAATGCCAAAATGGAAGAAGAAAAAGAAATGAATGATATAGCTTTATTTACATGCGTAAGTTTTCATCTAAAATAATCTCATTCTCATTTCCCAGTTCCATCAAAGAGGGAGAAGAAAAAGAAGAAGAAAATGGTTAAGAGAGCAAATGATGAACAGCAAAAAAGAGGATCGCTCATACACGCCAACACCCCAAAAAAAAAAAAAAAAAAAAAAAAAAAAAAGAAGAAGAAGAAAAGGTATTTTTCTTTAAATCAGACCTGACCATTTCTCTCCTCGCCCTCCTCGTCATCCTCCAAATCATCAGTCCCAAGCAGCTCATCCTCATCATCCACAACACCCACATAATCGCCTCTCCGCGCCGCAAAGGCGCCCCTGGAAGAATACGGTTGTCGCGAAGAACCACTGCCAGGCACACGAATATACCCACCGAGGCTACGCCAGAGGCTCGATACTAGAAGTGGCAGCGCAGTAGCCACTGCGACAATACCCGCCACGATCGTCACAGGAATCGATATGAGAGGGGAATCGCGGTCGAAAAATCCTCCAGAACCCGTCTCGCCCAGACGGATGCGGCCGAATTTCCCATCCCAGTGCTGATAGACGTAATATCCAACAGCGGCAGCGAGGCCGATGGGGATGACGATGGCGAAGAAAAGACCGATGCCGCGCAGGCGCGGGTGTTTCTTCTCGAATTCCTCTTCCTTGTTCGGGCAAGGGTGGGCGATGATATGGTTGAGCTGCTTGCCACCTTGGCACTTGGTTAGGGGGATGCGCCGGTAGCCAGTTGGTTCATACCATTCGATGGCTTTGGGATCCTCGGTACAGACGAGTTTCGGGTCAAGGGGCTCGAGGCCAGGGACTCGCGCACAGGTACCGTCGGTTTGCGGCTCGTAGTTGTAGTCACTGCAGAGGACAAAGTCAGTTCTGTTCCGTCATAGGCACACCATTGAACACTTAATAAACGTTGGGGTGAATTTACCATTCATAATCCGATCGTGTGCATTCGCAAATATCCCCGATAGAGTCGAGATGCTGTATCTCTCGACCATTATAACAATCCTTCTCGGGCCGTTTGCGATGGTACTTCGCCCTGTGGCCGAAGAGACATCCATTAGGCTGGAGGGGATGCTTCGGTTCCCAAAGATAGTAGTCATCTGCCTCCGGCTTCTCTTCATTCAAAACGCACTGCTTGGATCGCTCTTTTAATCCTGAGAAGTCTATATTGACAGTGGCCAGGCCAGGTTTCTTCCCTTGTCCGACTTCATTTCCCCAGAGCAGGAAATTACGAGAAGTATCTGAGGGTACGGTAGATATATCCCGAATCTGCATCTCAACTTCTGAAAACTGGTACTCCTTCCAGCTCCTCCCTTCGTCGAGAGAATACAGGAGCGTTTTTGTTGGTGTGGACTCGGGTACGAGGACGATGATGGACCCACTGTCGCCATATTCCCATTGATATTTGCCCTTCTTCGCCTCTTCCCAGCTGATACCAGCATCTCGAGTGATAAATGTATCAGCACTGCTTTTAGGTGTCAAATACTCGCCTACATTGCCCGTTCCTATCATAATGCCAACCGCCCCGGGTGACGAGTATGTATCTCGGGGATCGACCCGCTCGGTATAACTGTGGAGGTGCAAGGCGCATGCTTTGGTTGGCTTGCCTCCTTTGGTTGAGCAACCGTAGGCGCGTCCTTCAGAGTCCTTGCCTGGTGGGGCCAGAAGTGTCCACTCGGCGCCATCGTTGTGAGTAATCATGGTCCTATACTTTTTCGCGGCACCTTTTTCAACATCGTCCACGTTCGCGACGACATTAGCCATCGCAACGCCCTCCAAACCCTGCATCTTTTCAAAGTCGGCATATCCGCGAGAGTTCCTATTCACCGCACTCAAGCTAAGAACATAGGAGGTCCCGTTGCTATTGCTCTTTATGAGACTTCCATATTCGTGGTCCTCTAGATTATTGACGGTAACATGGAGGAAGGCGGCATGCGTTCTGCTCTCTAGGACGGTATACGCCCGCTGTATCGGAATTTTAACGTTGGCAGGGAGTTCGGCGTCCGCGAAGGTCTTCCCATCAATACTAACACCAACGCTAAGGGAGTCTTGGGGCTTCTCTCCTCGAATAGCCACGATAATGAACTCTTGCATCGTCGCGAAGTCCAGGATATTGTTATAGTGGACTTTTTTCTCCGCGAACCAATCCTCTGATGAGATGAGTTGCAAATGTTTGCTTGAAGGGTTTTCATCCTCATATTGTTCGCAGAACACGATTTTGTCACTTGAGCCGCGGGCATCTCTTTTGATGAACTCGCATCTACGGACGTATCGCATGAGGAAGTGCCACTCGGCCCCACGGTTCGTAGTGTAGTAAGCAACAGAGTGGCACTGCCCTCCGCTGCCGTTGCACTCTTCGGCACCGGTCCAAATAAGCCAATCTCTCCGATCTGGGTGGAAGGATAGGGCTGGCAGCTTGTCTTGATTAGGGGGCAGAGGTGCTTTGAATTTTCTAAAATTCTCCCCACGGTCAAGGGTGTACCACCCCTCGCCGCTGTTTGTCAGAAAATACGCCACATCATTGAAATATCTATGTGGCTCTATCCGAGTTATTGTTTCTGCCTCAAAGATTCGTTTCCACCGCTTGCCGTGATCTCTACTGATAAAAATTTCCTGCTCAGAAGTGATCATGATGACAGTTTCGTCATCGCCCCTACTGCTACCTGTGCGTTCGAGGTAGAAGTAATCTCTGTAATTGTCCGCAGTGAAAAAAGTCTTCTCAACGGCGATCTCGCCAGCGGCTGGCGTTTTCATCGTATCCGAACAAACGCGTTCTATTGGTTTATCGAGTTCCAAACCCCCTTTCTTGATGCACGCGTCACCAGGGATCAGCCTAAATCCGGAGCTACCAGTATACTTGTCGTCGGGGTTTTTGCAGGCGCCCTCAGGGGCCAGTAAGCTTCTGGCTGGGACGCAGCTCTTTCCATCCTCGCTGCGGATGAAGTTGAAATCACATTCGAAATCTTCTTCGGTGCACTTGCAAGGCTCAAAGTTAGGAATAGGATCCTCAAACTTCTTCTTGATGAAGCAATTAGCATCCGCCTTTCTCCTTCGGTAAAACTGCTTATGGCCCATCAGGCAGTCCGGCTCCTGTTTCTCGTTTAATCTGGCTGGCCACTTCTCGAAGTCAGGATCCACACAAGTGCGTTCCTCCATCTCGGCAAAGTCAATAGCTATGACATAGTGTTCCACATCGGAGTCAGCTTTGGCAGATCCCACAAGAACAAACTTCAAGCTTGTCGAGTCAGGCATTGTGGTTAGAATTTTGGCACGAATTTTAACGTCATCGGGTAAAGGTAGGGATGCCTTTTCCCAACTCTTTCCATGGTTGAAAGAGTATGAAATCTTGTTTGTTCTTCCTTCATCGTAGACGGCGACAATAACAGAGCCTTGATCGCCAAATTCATATTTATGAGCATCACTCAGAGCTTTCTTCCAGTTGATCCCTGCGTCGTCGGAAATGTATAAATCGCCATCAGAGTAGTCCTTGAGATGACCACCTGTGTTGCCAACTCCCATAACTAATCCGGGAGCAGGGCTCGAGAATACACGGCCATAGTTCGTGGCATCGGTGACGGAGTGAAGGTGAAGGTCTTGTTTGCCAGCCTTTAGGGGCTGGAAAGTCCTCCCATCATCGAATGAAATCCGGCTGACAATTTTCTTCTCGACGACAGATGATTTTTCAACATCTTCCCAGTTTTTAACCGTATTGACGAGAATAATACCCTGTATCGTAGCGATCTTCTCAAAGTCGACCAGCCCCTGCCTATTCCGGTTTGTATGCTCAATGTTACGCGTAAAGTAAGTGCCATTTGAATTTGACGTGAATAGGGTGCCCATGGCTGACGAGTCGGTCGACACGACATCGACCTGGAGACTATAATTTGTGGATTCCAGGATTGTATAGGCGTCTTCTTCTATTCTTTGCCCGTCAAACTCAGCTCGATGCCACCCTGACGCATCATCTGTCACAAAGAGAGCCAGCTCGTTCGTCCTACGCGACTTCGTCGCAGCCAGTAAGTGCCGCTTCGCACTCGCAGTACGTATGACGCCACTCACTGCACGGCCGCTGTCAAGTCCAGCTTCAATCCCAGAATCATCTTTGAAAAACCGATCTGAGTAAAGGAGGCGATTGTCTTCGGGCCATTGGGAATGCAATCCTGATACGACGCAAAAAATCCTGTCGTTCACCTCCTTAGGCAGGTCGAGCCCATCTCCAAACATGGGTGTTGAAACGGCCCAGGCACAATGCCGTCCCTTCTCCATTAAGAGGTGTAGCGTTTGGAATCCATCCGTCGTGTAATATGTTCTCTCCACACAGTCGCGCCCGGAACATTTGATGCCCTGGAGCATTACCCTGTTCGAATCCTTGCCGTGGAAAACGAGTGGAAGCTGATATGGCGAGAGCTCCGCATCGACCGTAAACTCCCGCCAGGTCATGGCCTGATCGTTGGTGACCCAATGTTTCCCTCCCTTGCCCAATACGTATGCCTTGGTCCTATCCATAGGATGTGGCATGAGGGACCAGGCCTGTCCCTTCATCTCACCCACATCGACGATATCCCATTTGGTACCAGCATTCCTCGACACGTACACATCGCCGTTATTCCCATCCTGCAACATCACGACGTCCGAGTCATCGAAGTAGAATAGGTTGACGGGCTCATGTTTGAACTTTGTCACTGTTATTTTGGGACCGTCTGCCTTCTTTGCGCTGGTGAATGCGCTGGCTAGCAGCAAGCTGCCAGCAGCCAGCAGTAGCCTTCGGAGGATCATGACGTGCGTTGATGTGGTTAAGGCATCTGTGAGAACGAACCGGAGAGGGCAGGGAGACGCTGAAGGAGTGCGGATATGGATAAATCAATGCGTTCTATTGTTGGTATGCAAACGGGTTCTCGAAAGCTCTCGACCGGAGATAATTAAATATGTATTCTAGGTGATCAGGCGCTAGGAATTGGTGGGTACCAATGAGGTAGAAACAGTGTCCGGAGCTGGCTGGAATTTAAACAACAACTGCAAAATCAAAACAATAATGTTACTAGAGCAATAAATAGATCAACCCGAAAGTTACAGCAGCTTCTTCTCAAGTTTCTCGTTGTGATGGGGTGTATTAATGATATGAGTGTTGACAATGTGTCCTCTGAGATGTTGTGGACGTTTGTCCGCCGTCCGTATTGTTTGGCCAGCTTGGATCCCGTGTTCCCATCGCCCGGCTGACTAATAACTAGTTACTCTTGGGCATGTTCCGTTCCTGGAAAGTCTGCCGAGCTTGATATACATACATCCTGTACTCTGTAATAACCCTTCCATGGAATATTCCGCGCAGGGGAACGAACTGTTGGGGATGAATAGAATCTGAGAATCGTGTCATAGAGCTGGAGATTTGAATGATCTCTTGTTCAAGTCATCTATCTTGTTACCTGAGCATTGTGTTAGTGATTGAATGTTATTCTAGGTCAAGAGCATATATGGCACTTTTAAATTCCGGGCAAGGTCTTCCTTTGTGCGAGTACTAGAAGCTAAGTATAACTACTTGACAGTAGACTAAACTTGACCAGGACTAAAATATCAAGAATTTAAGTCCAACAGACAGTTGAAACCCAAGGGAACTGTCTGCTGGTTCCACTGATTGAGTTGCTTGGTTCTGGTTCCGGGTACACGTAGTACAAGAAATAGTGGTCTAGAGGCCCCTGCAAAAGTATTGTCTCACACTAACTTAAGAATTTATGCTGAAATATGCTTGCTAGTGTAATGAATCTCCAGGCCACACCACCTGGGATTTGGGTAGGTAGTGAGCCAGTAGGTAAGCTAGGGGCATTGGCCTCTATAAGCCCTCTGAGACTCCCTATCCTTTTAATTAAGAGACGAAAACTGGAAGACAGCGTAGACGTATATAGTGATATACATGTATATGTATATATATTGTCCAAAATGTTTTACGACTGGTAACATATCTGTTAACACAGAGATAACGAGCGGATAGACAACCATGCTACATGAAGCGTCGGGCAAAAAAGCATACAGAAATTCGCACCGGCTGTTTGCTAGAAGCCGCTGGCGTCAGATGTATTTGAGAGTCCGCTTGGAGCAGAAGGGGATCAACGATATAAAGATCGGATGAAGGGGAGACACAACGAGAAGGATAGGGGTAGAAAAAGTAGAACAAGGTAGCCACAGAAGGATGAATATTGAAAGGCTCACTAGCTTGGCTGTGGTGGAAAAATGGTAAATTTGCCAAAAAGTAATAAAGTATGATATAACGCAGCAAACGCTGGCAGAATAAAAAGAAAGAAGTAAGGTTAGCCAAAAGGGGCATAAACAAATTGACAAAATAGCCGGAACAATAATCCTGATCACGGTCCAGTCCCTCCCTTTGCTCGTTTTCGATTGGCTAAAAGACGAATGTGACATCAATTAAAAGCAACTAGAGCGCTAAATAACATTATGACTGTGGCCTCAAAATATCCTTTCCCTAGGAATATGCGAGGACAGAACCTGTATAAAAAAACGAAGGTAGATAGATTAACGTATAAAACTTAGCCTAAATGGGAGAAAAAAAAGGGGGGACCATGAGTCCACATCGTTTTCTGCAAGTTTGAAGTAATCGCCGTAAAACATGCTCAACCGCGCCGCTTCCGGAGCTTGCGCCACATCTTCTTCACCATATTCGTGTCTTCGGCTGGCGCATTCCAGATTGGGTGGTTTTCATCTACCGCTGGAAGTTCGGCCAACCGCAATGGATCATCAAGATCCGGAATGCTGTGTGACACGTTCCCAGCTGAGTCCGCCGTGCGCAAGTCAGGCCTTGTAAGGGTCATTTTTAGCGTCATCTCGCGGTTGCCAGGTGTATTTTGGGCATAGCCAAGCGGGATGGGTTGTATAGATCTTTGTGGGGTGGATTTTTCGACACTGAACTTCCTACTGTGTGATATGCGGGGGGATGGTGAGGCAGTGCCGCTTGTTGTGGTGGGAGATTTGGTATGGTGGGAATTCGGGGAAGGGAGGGTTGGGGAGTCCATGGAGAAGTCGACCAGATCCCCATCCTCATGGATGATGTCTGGGAACTCAACGGTGCTGGCGTCCTCCAGGAAGGTTCGGGCGGATTCGAGGGTTGTCCGTGGCTCAAGTGATAGGCGAGGAGGATGAATGTTCTCCTTGTTATCGAGGGATGGGAATCCGAATTCGATCGCTTCGTCGAATTTCTGTGGGGATGCGAGGTACACTCGTAGCTTCAGACGGGCTTCTGGATCTTGGTAGTATTGTGCGGGACTATCAAGAGAAGAGAGGGACCCTTGAGATATATGTCGCAGGATGGGTACGCTGGATTTGGGGCGAGAGAATGAACGTTTGTGAATAGTCGACGGAGTAGAGCTTATGAAGGACGAAGGGACGGTGGAAGATTGGCTAGTAGAAGGGATTTTGCTCGATATGCTGTTTTGGCCACGGGTTGTGGAACTGAATGACAATGTTCGACGAAAAGAGGGCTGTTGGCGCAAAGAGGGTGGTCGACGCTGCAACCGCAGGCCAGAGGACCGCGACGAAGGCGCCGATCTGTGCCTGTTGGCATCCGTTATATGAGTGTGGTAGTCACCAAGACTAAGGTCAATTTCCTCCTCTTCATCTAACCAGCGGAAACTATCGTACAAGCTGTCGTCGAGGCCAATGGCAGAGTCAACAGCTCGCGCGGATGACGCCATGGAATCGGAAAATGAGAAATTGGCACTGGTGGGTAGAGAGCAGATTGATTCCAAGGACTTTTTTGCTTGGTGGCCGAGTTTGTACAGTGCTCTGTCCGCTGAGTCGAAAATAATGCTGCTGCGCCAGCCCCCAAGCCGAACTCGTTCTTCTCGACTAAAATGTTGTTGTTGGACCTTGGATGGTAACGAGCGAAACCAGTCCGAGTCGGCTTGAGCGGCGAGATAAGCAATCCGCACCGATTTTGCTTTGCGGAGCCGGTGAAATGGTCGGTTTTCTTTCAGAAGTGGTTTCCCTGGGTTGTATGGTGTTATTATTTAGGGGTCCTTGGAGCCAGGCGAAAAGCTGTGGGGGTCAAGCTCAACGCCCAGGATCACCGAATGGGGTAAATGTCGGGAAGGGGAAGGGAAGAAGGGGGAGACGAGACGCCAACCATCGCTGCTACTAGGGGGAAACTTACGGGTCGGCGTTGTCGGGGTCCTGGGTCTAGCGTTTGATATGCCGGATAATAATGAGAGGTCGTCGAACGGATGGGGGCGGTTGCTTCGGCCATCGTCGTAGGCCAGCTGGGTAAGTCGTAATTGTTCCAGGCGAAATCGTTCTAAATTAGAAAATAACTATTGGATTTTAGCGAATGAATGGTCAGTCAGCGAAAGGCCCCTTCGTCCCCTGGAAGGTCCTCAAAGTTGCGGCCGTTTTCAAAAAGAACTGCAAGAACTAAAAAAAAAAAAAAAAAAAAAAAAAAAAAAAAAAAAATTGAGACATGTGCTTCCCAGACAAGCGTCAGAGCCAATCGAAATCCAGGCGCCGCCAATAATTCAGAGCCCCTGGCCACTAGGGGCAGTCATTTCGAGAAGCCAAAATAGTTATGCAATATTTTTTGCAAAATATTCAACCCCAGGCCAGCAAGACTGGTCACTCAAGCGGGGTTCCATCCACGCCACGAACGATCATCTTGACCGTGAAACAATGACCAGTTGCCAGCTGCCAAATCGCACACACAGTGATCAAGCATCAATTACTGGCAAACTTCTGGGCTCGTCCAACAGAAGTTCATGACGCTGACCTGACCTGTCGACAGTCTGGTCACCGGCATAACTAGTCTCGAGCTAAACAACGCACCACTCGAGCGATAGCGTGAGGGGCAAGAAGGCCAAAGAAAAACGGGCCCAGCGCAACACAAATCATCCCATTCATTCACGCTGGGGCTTGGGTTAAGCCAGTCAGGAGCGGAGTCTCTCGATCGTTACAGGGTTGGAATGGAGCGCGACGAATTGGCAACAGCCCAGCCAACAGAGGGACAACACCGCCCTTGCATAGCGCCCAGCCCCTAACTGTCGCCACCAAGGCCGATGCTGATCAGCGGTAGAGATAATTTATGACGTCTCGCACCTTTGAGTGATGTGAAAAGAATCGTAGAAATATTTGTCGTAGCAAACATTTCGTAACGGCTTGCTCTGTGTCTCAAAATAAGAATAAAAAGGGAAGATGACAGCTGCAGAGAACACTCCATCCCCCGTGCTGTGAAACGGTTCGCAAAACCCTCAGACAGATTTCACATCTGCTTTGGGTTGCTCATGGACGAGGGGTTTCGGTCCCAGCTGTGAGATTTAACCGCCGGTAAAATGCAGTAGCAAAATAACGGTGAGGGAGTGATATGCTGTACGTCCGCTGCATGGAGAGCGAAGCAAATCCTGCATTTGAAACCGCGAGCAACAAAGGACCACAGTGTAGAAATTCAGGCAAAAAAATATGAGCACGAAACAAACCAAGAAAAAAAAAAAAAAAGGGCTTACTTTGCGCCTCAGAGCGGGTGGTAGCGAGTAGAAATCATCCGGGTGGTAATCCATCGTGTAGTGAGTAGAGTGATGCTATTGCTTGGGGCTATCTATTGCGCGAAGCAGCAGAAGGGGGATGAGGCAGGTAAAGAGAGAGTGTGAGTGAGCCATGCATGGACAGCAACAGCTAAGGAGCGAATTCGGAAGCTTTCAACATAAACAACAAACAATGATCGAACAATAATGAAAAAGGAATGAAGCACTGTGCAGAAGGAATGTCGGTCATTAAAAAGAGAGGGAAAAGAAGGGGGAAATCAAGAAAAAATCGAGGGAAAAAAAAAAAGAAGGGAGCGCGTGAGGGATAATTCTATCACCGCCCATCGAAGGCTGGAGGAGACAGCTATCAAGCTGGAACATAAGCCCCATTTCCAGACCGCGAACCGGACTGGTCAGTTAAAAAAGCAAAGCAGTTTACATGCGTTGTTAAGCTAAACCTGTTGAACCTGTTGAACCTGTTTTCCCACTGGCCGTTAGCCGCCGTGTCTTAAGTGCTCCCGTTGACAGATTGCAGCTCATATACAACAAAACAGCTTTGCTGGTTGGCCTGTGAGATCAAGAGAATATCCACTTGTGCTCTGTGTCATGGGCCTACAAAATAGTGGCCTTCATAGCATACGTGACATCTAAGGGCCTAAATAGGTCGTCGAGGGGTCACCAGTACAGTACACTACAAATCAATTTCTGTAACGTGGATGGAGTAAGTAGTTATTTAGTAATAGGTGCAGACAATGTTTGAGCTAAAATAATACAACTCCCTATCGAGGGGGGGGGTGAGATTCAAGAGTGCCAGCCACGAGCGTCGAGATGGGTAGAAAACGGCTTTTTCAAGGCGATTGCTAAATATAAAGCCCATGGTTCTATCTTTTCCCTGTTGCTAAAATGATGTGTACGGATTAGACTTCCCTGCTTGCAACCATGCCATGCAGAGAACCAACCACACATATTTAGAATAATAGTCGCAGCACACACCTCCCTTCTGCCAAACTTGAGCGTAAAGAGAAAGCAGTTACCAAAGATGTATCTATCTTATAAAGCTATGGAAAACTCGGTACATACAATACACCCATGGATGCATCTCTCAAGCTTCAAACGAACCAGTCGTACAGGTTGAGGGATTCCAGCATTTTTGGATCCATCATCCCATGCCATTTCCTGAATTCCAGCACAGCTGCAGCTCAAGCCCTAAAACTTTCGTGCGGAGGATGAGCTTGATTGTGGAAAGCCGGTGTGGCTCAGAAATCCACCGAACTGGGTAATTTCTTGATTTCTGCATAAACAGGAATTTCGCTCTTGGTCATATTAATTAATGCGCTTCAACGATGCATCGCGTTCGGAGTTCAGACGACTCTGGTCGACATGCGCGCGCTTTTGCTGCTGCTGGTCCCTAAAAACTCCTCCAACCCCACCACCACAACGGCCCCACGAGCTAAATAATCTTCAAACGGCCTATGGAGTAAATCTGCAGGATATTCTTGAAAATCCAAGCGAGCAGCCTTCAAGTGCATGGGTGTCTAAGCCTTTGACGTGCCGGATTTTAATAAGTGGCCATGCTGAACCGGCCAGAATCTTCCCCCTCATTTCTAGTCAAGGCCCTAGATATATGTCGACCTGGCTGGCGGGGCAGAGCTCAAAAAGAGAGGCACTAATTGCCTTTCAGCCTGTGTACGCTGTGTACTTACTGTACATGTACTGTACATACAACGATTTGCCCGGACGCTTCTGGAGGAAGATTCGTTGTTCGTGCAAACCCTCTCCCTCAGTCCTGCTGCTGCAACTACCATGTTGAGAAAATAAATGGCATGCCGCTGGTTTTCAAATAAATTTCGAATCCGTCTGGTCTGGTCTGGTCTGGTCTGGGATGGGATGGGATGGTTGCCAAACGGCACTAGGTCCCGTTAGCGGTCATTCATTGAGTTTCGATCTGTCCCTTTTTCTTTTTGACTCGTTCTAGTGGAAACTTCCCAGAGAATGGATGTAACTCCATCAATAGTCTGAAAGCTTTTCATCCACAAGTCTCGACCTCGACTCTCGCCTGCGCGAATTTTCAACTAGTTGTGGGCGATCCGGTAACGTTAGATCTCAGATCGCCGCCGTTGAGTCGGGGATAAACATTCATATTCCCCCCCTGCAACTTCCAACTTCCCCCGAGCGAGCTGAGCGAGCCTATGGCAACGAGCAAGGGGAACATGTGCGGTTTGAAGATTTTATACATTTGTCTTTTGTTTCATGAGAAAGGGGTTAGATAGTAGATAGCATGTGTTGAGCTACTTCTTTTTTCCCTTTCCAGATTCCAGGTATGAGATGGAAACTCTTTTGAAGAGGAGCATATCAATATCAGATATGATATCCCCCCTTGCGCCTCGTATGCGAGCCTTCCTTTTTTTTTTTTTTTTTTTTCTTTTTCTGTTTTCTTTTTCTCTCTTCTTTTCTTTATTTTTCAATGAGGATTCAGCGGCGATTATTGACCGAATTACAACGCGCACCGTTCATGTTCATCCCATATACTCTACCTTCCGCGATACTGCAAAAGCTACAACCCAGTATCCCCTTGTCTGGGTGTGAGGACGCAATTAGCACACAATATCATTAGTTGTAACAACTAAGCTGTTAGTTCAGAAGTATCAATCAGTAATTTCTCATACTTCAATCTGATTTATTATGTGACTCTTCTCTGATCTGCCTCTCCCTGACTTCAGCTCTGACTTCTTGAGAGAGAAATATAACTTCTATAGATGATTTTCAATTCTCTAATATCTCTTCTAAATCAAATTGACTTAATTATTTTATTAGATGGTATAAAAATAGATATAAAAAAAATAATCTATCAGTTCATCTCTGATATTTATTTCATCTTTAGAAAGTATTAAATTCAAATCTATATAGTTTCTTCAACATTCTTCAGTTATTATTAATATTAATTTAAGAGATTTATATACTCTATTCTCTCTCGACATTTTGAAGCCTAATATTCAGAATATTACAAGGTTTATTAATATTTATATAGAGATATAGATATCAAAAAAAATTCAGTCATTAATTCATAGAATTAATAGTTAACTATTTCTATAGAAATAAGCATCTTAGCTTACAACTCTACATCTTACTAATCTCAAAATTGGCATAGGTGGTGTAGCCTAGATTATCAATAATTTCTGATCTGATATTGCCCTTTTTCAAGCTGGCAGTGCACTCAGTTCCTTGCAAATTGCTGCTCGGGAGATCTGAAGATGTCATGGAAATAGAGTTCTGACTGGAAATAGTAGAAAATGGATAGGTTGTATGAAGTATGCTCAGGTGCTGTCACAAGTCAATTTTTTACATGAAACCGCACAACCTGCGGTATGGCTTTTGTACTCACTGATACTGGTCCCTATTGAGAGACTTGATGTCAATGGCAACCTGTTGGTAGCATGAGTGATACCAGGGGAAGTAGCAGGACCCGGACGTCTTACCATTCTTCTAGGGCTTTGGTATCTTGGGATGTTAAGGGCGGCGGATGACGACTAGCAGCTTTAATAGGGTATAGCGTGGTATATTGGGGTATTGAGGGTGGTAGGTGACGGGCAACCTCTGGGGTATAGCGGGGGGCTCAGGTTGTGTGACACGTTGGGATGCCAAAGGAATAAAATGGGGTTATGAAGCTTGTTTTTCTTTTCCTCTTCTCTCTCTCACATATTTATGAGCATCAGAACTGCCGCCCTAGTAATATTTTGTGTTCGGTTTGAGGCCCTGTTTCTGGTCCTTTGCCTGAAAATGTCATTAGTGTTGAGGAATTAGGTAGCAACAGTTCTAAGATACTAACCAGAGATATCCCAAAGTCCTCAACACATCTAGCTTCAATCTCGATCCATCTACGTTCTCTGATCCCAATGTAGGTGATGTCAGGATAAGTGATAGCAACATCAAAGTCTATCCACATAACCCTTTCCAAATCCCCAGGGACGATCATAATGTTCCTGGGGTAAGGGTCATTAAGCTCAATCAAAGCTGAATGAACCTGCTGAATGCTGGTGACTGCCTTGGCCATTCGTTCTTGACTGTAAGTGACGCAATTCATCTCCATAGGATTAGGCAGGTATTCAATCACAACTGCATATGGGAGATGAGCATCGCGCTGAAAGACATTCAAATGAGGAGTAAAGACAGCAGGGTCCAGGGATAGCGTGTAGCCGTAAAATTGCGGCACGAAGCCCCGGTCACATACGCCATGGTGTTTGAGACGACAGTAAGCTCGGATTTCGCAGCGAGCGTGATTCAGATCACGTACACCATCATCAGCGTAGCCTGGGTCTTTATTGATGTGGAACTGAATGTTGGTCAGACAGGAAACAGCATGTACATGTATAAGAAAGTGATGGCAATGAGCCACATACAACTTTCAAAACGCGGGGCTTGCCATCATAGTATACGTGGAAGATAGACGAGGCTTCTGACATTTTTAGTTCCTTGATGAACCTGGTCTTTTTAGGGTCAATCTCAATTTTCAGACTGTCGTCAAATCCTTTCTCCTTCTCATAGATAGTGCCCTCTGGGCCCAGCGGCAGATTGGAGTAGAGTAGGGGGGCATGAGGTCAGAAATAGATATTATTCTAGCCGCTGGGTTGGGTTGTTGCATCGTTATTGTCAAATGCCTCGTTAGTGTCATCGTTGCCTAGATGCGGCCGGAATTAGGTTATTCCCGTTTCCGACATGCCAAGGCCTGCAAAATCATGTGATCAAGTCTCTGGCTGGTCCGTGCATCTATCAGGTTTCAACCTCTCTCTCCCTCTGCGATCATGTTTCTCCGCACAGAGTAAGCACGGATGAATCTATATGCCGATATCTCAACCGGGCGTGAGAATTCCATGACATATAATAATGTATATTAGCGGTGGGTGCTTGGTGGTGGTGGTGCAGTGCACTTCCGTCATCGAGATGTAGAACAACAATGCAGTTGAATCCTCTTGCGGCTGGGAATTGGCCTGTAAGTTCCAGTGTTATGATTAGCTCTTTGAAGCTCCAATATCTAATTCAATTACTTCAAATTTTCAAATTGTTAGATGGAGAGAGGTTTAGATGCGTACATCAGCATTTTGTTTGATTCTCCTCTATTTATATAGAGGGGAAAATGCTCAGTCGCGTGAAGCGCCCATGGCCAAGGCGCGATGGATCGCCATGGAGTTTGCATTAAAGCATTATTCAGGGGAGATTAAAAGCACCTCTTACTACTACGTACTTTTACTTCTCATTGTAATCTGAAGCTACAAATACCATCCATCGCCTTAGAGAGAGGAAAACAAGGAGCACAGGGAACATACTACTTTACTCAACCGGTGGCAGAAGATAGCCAAATTTATTTAGAAAGGTAGGTACACAAAGTCAATGAACGTAAAAAAAAATCCCTTAATGTTCAAACCAAGCCATTCGAAATCCATCTCACGTAAATACATAGAGTCTCAGCGATAAGCTCTCTCCCACCCTGTCTGTACACGCTCATCCTCCTTGCCTTAACGGACATGTAAAATCCCTGGTCATACACGAACCCCCTTAAATCCCACACCGCCCTCGAATAGTCGGATATTCCGCAATAGTCGCCCGAATCGTAGCAGCCATCTCATACCCGCCATACCTCTCCAGCCCGCCTTCCTCAAACAAGTCGCAGACGGACATGTACAAGGCCAGAATGCGCGTAGTGGTCTGCTCCAGGTTCTCCGCGGTCTCCGCGACCTCGTGGGCGGCCACGGTAGCGAGGCTGTTTTCTGCAGCGACGATTTCGTTCAGGGTGCAGCGCACGTGGCTGGCGAGGAGGGCCATCTGGACCTGGGTGGAGGGGGAAATGTCTGTGGACGCGCTGGATGTGGTGCTGTTGGTGGTTGAGGCGATGGAGGGGGCTTCTTCGTCGTCGCCGCTGTCGTTGTTGGTCTCCAGTTCCTCCTGCTCGTCGTTGTCGTTGGCGGGGACCGCGTTTTCCGCTTCCACGGTGTTGTTGTTGTTGTGCGTGGTTGCAGCGGTGCTAGGAACAGCGATGCTAAGGTCATTGAGAAAACCCTCTTCGACTTTGAGATCCTAAGACAAGTCTTTTGTTAGTGATGTAGATGGTTAAAAGAGTCCGAGTCGACTTACATTCACATTTGAGAGGTTTGGTTCGAAAGCAGGCAATGCTCCTTCGACCTCAGCATGTTTCTCGGTAAAAGGTGCAAATTCATCCCCAACACCAGCTTCTACCTTACTGGAGGATGCCATGATGGTTCTAGTAACAGTGGTGCCGTTTGTAGATCCTGAAATGACCGATGAGAAATCGCAGTCTTGATATTCAAAATTGGCCGTATGGACGGATCTATGCCAGAAATCAGCTGAAGAGAATAGTCCAAGAAGAGAAGAAAAGAGAAGAGAAGACAATACAAGAAATCAGATAAATATAAATGACAGCCATGCGGTTAATCATGCCCACAATGAGAATGAAGAAGAAATAAGAATGCGGCAATGAACTCATACATGCTGGTGTTGGCAGGATGTTTGTGCAGGCAGCATACAATGGAGAAATCATGATTGTGAAAGATTTCATGATAAAGAGCTTCTCAAGCCTCAAAGAAGATATTAAGTATACAAGTAGCAAGATTAAATCACCAGACCAGAGAATGTCAAGTTGAGGTATTCTTGCCTGAAGAACGCAAGAACACCCAGCATCTGCTGTAGGGATACCAGCGGCAAACATTCCAAAGAACAGGAGACACGAAAGTGACTGGGCAACCAGATGGATCGCTGTCCAGTGGTCCGTGGAGAGAAGGCGCCGTTTTCAGCGGGACATGACGAGACGCCCTGTAGGCAGAGAAAGAAGCCCTTCTCGTGGAGATTGGATTGCTGGGAGTGAGGTGAGTGTGAGAGCTCGTGGTTCAGGGGCGGATGTGAAAACAAACAAGCCATAAAATTAACGCATGGAAGAAAAGATGACTAAAGACCAAAGAAGAAAGGGAGTGCAAACAGAGCGCAGTCCGTAGAATAAAATAAATAACATTGGATCAAGAAAGCAAAGAGACAAGGCCCGGCTCGAACGCACGCCGTTCCCGATTAGAATTGGCAGACGAGTGCAGTATAAGGGGGTCAGCAACACGGCGCGGGAAGCACGCGCCAAAAATGGGCGGGCATTCCCGCAGAAACCAGCCGCGGAGGGGATATAAGACCCAATACGGCTCTATTTTCCAACGAGAGGGGTCGGTGGCCTAGTCAGGACAAGCCAGACCCGAGTCTGGGGGCGCGAAAGCCGCCTTCCCCTCTCCCCGCCACACCACTGCACCACTCGGCTGGGGCCAGTCAGGTCAAACCAGACCCGGCTGGAAGGCGCTGGCCCTACCCGACGCATACGACCGACCGGACGGTGGAAAACCCCCCCCCCAAAAAAATACATCGGGGGGTTTTCATAGCATCGGACTGCCCTGAAACGCGGGCACTCCGGTGTGAACTTTTTGCATTTCTTTTTTTTCTTTTTCTTTTTATTCCTCTTCTTTTATTTGCTTCTTCTATCTGCTTTCTTAGAAAGCATCTGAATCATTCTAATTATTGCTTCTGTCGCGGCGGGGATGTGTATTTTGAATGGGTTGCAGCTACTGTTGCGATGGCTGCGAGTAGGATGTAGAATATAGCAACTCGCGACGCTCAATACAACACGTAGTCAACTTTATACACGCCTCAGTTATCACTCTATAGAACAGATAGCTTCCATCCCATGAGAAGCAGAAACATCACCAGCAGGACGTGATCCCACTCCTCGCCGCAGCAACGCGAATACTAATATATATTCACCTGCGTGATGATTTGAGCTGATCTACTATATCAACTTTGATATAGAACACTTTGAGGCCCATGTGCTGTACATGGAACGCGAAAGTAGGAAATGGAAAAAGAAAATGTCCACAGGTGTGTAAAGTAATAATTCACTGCTTGTGCTGTGCACCACAGAAACCATAACCTTGACATGCCAGACTTCAGTTCACTGACTGACTTTTGTTAAAGCAATAGCTGGCCATGAAAAGAAGACAGAAAAAATCCGTGGATTTCCCACTACAAATTGCTTCCTTCTCCAGTGCCTGGAAGGACAAAAAAGAGCTGAAACGGGTAGATAGCCTATCAAACAGAGCATAGGGAAACAAAGGGTATAATATGTACAGCAGAGAAAGCGGCACATCCAAGAAGAAAACATAGAATAGTGACTTCGAGAGAAGAAAAGGAAGAGATAACGCCAATCTGATCCCAGAAGGAGAATACAATACTTCAACAGCAACGGCTGAAGCGGTTGATATAGATAAACGTCGTCGTTTGGGAAAAACACTCATCACGAAGGTGCTGAAAAGCGCGCTACAGAGCAGATTCATCAAAAACATGATAATACATCAGTTGATTTATCATGATATATTGGTGGGTTGCTCGTTTCTCTTCGCGGGAGAGGAAGGTTGGTGGGTGGGGGGGGTTTTTACTACTAGAGTACGGGTATTTCAATGGTTATGCAGAGATTTTTCACCTTAATAAGTCTGCTTGTTACGGCAGCCTATATAAGCTTAATTCCACATAGACACAAACAAAACACACTAGTACTAATAGAGTTAGTATACTACTATATATAATTTAGTAACTCCACCCCGCAACATTCTCATCAGGACCGTTACGCCTGTAAGTTGCTGGTTTGCGGCCTCATCTCTGCGCGCGTGACATTTCTGTAACATTCTTCTAACGCTAGCATTAAGACCCGAGGACGAGGCTAATAGTTGCTTGTTTTTAACTAGCGCGGGAGCTCGACTGCGACGCAACTACGCAGCGTAACCAATTACTATGTGCATGCTTTAACATCCGTCCTCCCGTTATCCGTTCTTGAAAAGCTGGCAACCTCTTAAGACCAGCCGCAGTGGGTAATGTGATACGGGGAGGCGACGCACCTGATCATCTGAATGCTCTGTTGAACCCGGAGTGTCCGTTGTGTTAACCTACATCTTTCAAGCTGATAGGGTATCAGAAGTAGTTATGCGTCGAAATGATTGCAGCTTTGCGAAATTTAAAGTAGAGGAGTACGAGTACTTATTTCATATCCCTACCATAGCGACGCTCTTCTAAACGTACAGGATTATCTTGAACATCAAACAGGAAAATTAGGAAAAGTAAATGGTAGCAAGATTCCAGAGGAACAAAATGTAGTGTTTGGATTCTTATTAATATTGTTACTCTTTCTTTCTTTCCTTCCTTTAAAAATCAATCAAATAAGCGTTCAATAGATATGATATCCATCGTCAATGAGAGTAGGTCGCTGCGTCGCCACCAGTCGCGATCTGGTCTTTAGGCACACAGAGGTCGGAGGGGTGGAAATGGGACAATCGTCGCGGATTAAGGTAAGGCCCGAAAAATTGTTAGATGCGGTTGGAGGAGGTCCCGAAAATAGCTGTGTTGAGCGGGGCGGGGCGGGGCGGGGCGAAGAAGAAGGCGAGCAGGCTTGCCGGATCGTTATTGGATGCTACCTGTAAGAGATGCTAGGGGTGTTCATATTGGTAAAGGCACGGGAGGATCCACGGATACGATGCGTATAGGGGTTTACTATACACACCATGCAAAAAAATGGCCCGTCGCGAGATAGCTCGCCAGTTTACCTGTCTTACTTGTTCAATTCCGCTTCGGTTTCCTTCTTCACCTGGTCCAAGTCCATGGTCCTAATTGCGCGGTCTACGTCCAGCTCTGAACCCCCCATGAGCTGGAATGTGCCATTCGCCAACTTCTTCTTGATGCTAAAGTTGATTCGAACGTTGCCGACGTCCTTAAGATCAGCCAGCAGAGCTAGAACTAGGGAACTTGACCCATCCTTCTCGTGCTTTGTAGAGGTAAAGTTAGATTCAAGAGAATACCACCTCTCATAGCGGGAAATTAGGTGGCCAGCGCTGTCCTTGGTAATAGTGGTGCAAGTCACTCCGATGTCTTTGAAAGGGTCGTCAAACAACGTGGATCCTGAACAATAGACTCGCAGAACAAACCCAAGTGATCCTGGTAGCCAGACAACGCCATTGTCAGGGCCATTATATTTCGACAAGCTCAGTGCATAAACCGGCGCCATTGGATGTCCTTGTCTCGGCAATGAAAGGGCTTAGGATTTGTTGGGGTTTGTAAGGTGGTGTGCCTGCAAAACGGTGGACGAGGGATGGTATAAAGGGTCCCGTGGATGTATTCGAAGTTGAGATTGTTCTTAATTCAAGATGGAGGTGATAAAATGAGATATGTGTGAGGAGAACCAAAAATGAGACAATTCATAGGAAACGGCGTGAGCTATATATCCCTTTCACTGTCTCTAACAACTGGTTGATTTGTCCTGTGTGACTGTAGTGCGCGGAGGCTCCCGGTAGAATAGAATCGATGGAAGAAGCGGAAGATTCATTCAAAATGGCGCTCCATCAAGAGTATCAGTCAAGAGAGTCTTAATGAATCCGTCATTGATCTCAGGGAACTAGCGTGTAGATTTCTGACATTTTGCACGCAAACAAAGTCAGGTTTGGGTCATTGATAAGGGGTGATTCTAGCATCTTGCCATACACACACTCGTTGAAGGAGATTTCCGAGATATGCACTTCAAATGATATGACGTAGGTGAAACCGCGAACTTCGCACAACTTCTGCTTGTGGAAGACTATATTAGCAGTGGTAACAGAGCAATATCCGGCAAGGAGGGAATAGGAACCGGGAATGTCCATTTCTTTGGCAGCAGACCTGAAAACTTCGAGGGGGGAAATCAAAAGAATGAAACCAGAAGGTGAACTGGAATTCTTCTTCAAAAGCAAAAGAGGGTGTTGGCTAGATAACCATATTTCCAAACATGAATGCTCTGCAAGGAGGTGTTTTGCAAGAAAGGTTTTGTTCCACACCAGGAAGTTTCTCACAAACGCTTAAATATGATGAAGTCGACCTTAATAGTGAGATAGATTTCGAGCCCAGCATTGTCACTCACTCACTCACCCTCTCTCTCTCTCTCTCTCTCTCTCTCTCTCTCTCTCTCTCTCTCTCTCTCTCTCTCTCTCAAAACTCCAAGTAGGAGAAGGCCGTACAGCGAAGGCTAAAAGCGTGTGATGCGGTTGGATGGCCCATATATCAATGTGTAGATGACATCACCCAAAAAAAAAAAGAAACCCGCAGAGAAGGAAGGTACAGCCTAGCTACCAAAGTAGGTCGGCATATTAACCAACAGGTCGTCTGCAAGCTTTGTAGTACGAGCTGTGCTGGGGCCGGAAGAGATAACAACAGTAGCCTGAGATGTGTCGATGGCGATGAGTTCGGCAGACCCCTGTCGTGTCCCAAGGTTGATCTGCGGGAAGGCATCTGCACGTGATCAGCGCATCTTCCGCGATCATCGATGGAACATCTGCAAGCTCTGTCTCTTGTGATTGGGTGTCTCCTTGTGTATGCAGGATAGGGAGCAAGAGACTCGATGTTCCGGTTCAACGGGTTTGCCCGGCTTGGTTAACTATGCGTACGGGGAATTGTCGTATTTGCACAAACCCACCAGTAGAGAAACGAGGAAGTTTTCTCAAGAAGACTCAATGTGCTGTTATTATGGAAAAATGCGCGGGATCGCCCAAGCCAATCAGCAGCTGCTATATGAATCACCATTAATAGGTTCAGTTTTGACATTTGCCCTTTATCTTATATACTGCCTTGGAATAGAGTTCTGGGAGCATTGTCTTCTCCCTCATCAACTATGAGGGTTGCCCTTGTGTACGCTCATTTGTTTGAAAAGCCAACGTTTCCGAATTCAAAGACAACATAATGCCAAAGATTTCGATAAGGCTGGCTAAAGCGTTCCTTTCAGCTAGCTCATAGCAATTCAAGAGGTTTTTGCTGACCGCAGGACTGAATATTTCACTTTCCTATCTTGCCGTTTAGTTGGCGCTTTGAGAAGGCATATGCGTATGGTTGTTGCTTTGTATTGTTTTATTTGGTCATTTAGCAATCCACAGACTGGGCAATATAGGGGGGTTGGGAAATCATTCCCGATCTCATTGGGTTGCTTGAAATTTGGCAGCGCTTGGGGTCAATACACCATAGACGAGGGCGGGAAGCGGTCAAATAAACGCGTCGATATACCTATTCATCTCTCCCCAATGTAGGAATGTTGTTGTTTTACCATTCCTATTCGTCCACCTAATCATAGCCAAGTAACATTTGAGAGGTATTCATGTGAATATTTTGGGTATATTTTCCATTTTCTTATTCCAAAGGACGCTCCATGGTAAGCCGCGCTGCAGTGTAGAATGCGACCATTTAGGTGGATCCCGCACCGCCCATACCAACCTGATGAAACAGGTATTTCTGACAGCTCGTCGTCCCTACACGCAAACCTAGAACGCGAGGAAAGATGCGACAGTCTCGTTGGGAAAGAATTGAGAGTAGGCCCTGATCTTGCAAATTGATGCTCTTGTTGATGCCGTATCTTGAAGCAGCCCTATGTATTCAACAACGCGTGCTCCGTGTTATTTTCTTTTGGGAGATAATAGAGGAGGAAATCAGGCGCTCATGAAAGTTGAAGCTGACCAGGTCCTCTCTTCTGAGATGGGAGGTGATTCCTTGCACTAGGCCAGTGAGGTAATAACTATTGTAGCTTGGTTATTTAGCTCCAGACTAGGCAATTTTCACATCCAACACCTAGCATTACAGCAACTATCAAGTCTGATTATTTTATTATTGTTATTATTCCTTTTACTCTTCTATTTCAGTCAGAGACTATGCAGAAGACTTCTCTCAGCAACTTAGACTGAGAGCAGAATTTATTTTCAATCACCCATCTGACTATCTTCACTGAGATATATACAGATCTCAAGCAGTCTTTACCAATTATATGCACTACTTTTAATTTGAAATCTAGTATGATTCTAGTTCTTTAATATCTTTAAACAGAACTCTTCAGAGAAAATCATTAAAATCAGATTAAATTTGAGTGAATATAAAGATAATCGGCTATTCTGTCTCTTGATTATATGCGGAGTATATGAAGTGAAAATCATTTTCTTCTAATCTATTGATTAACTCTCTGTAGTCAAGAACTGATCTTAGATTGTGAATGTAATTAATACATCATGATAAAATCATCTTGTGACAAAGATAGGATTTGAATCTGTAACTATGATTGGTGTCTCAGAAGAGTCATCTCTCATAGCTAGTTCCACTACACTAAATAATCATTATCAGGTCTTTTGACTTGTGGGTTTTGAAAGCAATAACAATTTGATTGCTAACTATTTATGAATAATATAACACTGAGTTGAAAGCAGCAATTTTGTGAGAGTTTCTGTTCTGATCTAGTTACACTCCAAGAGCCCAGGAAATTTGGCAAAAATGCTGCGTTTTTTTTTGAATCTTTTGTTCATATTTTAATACATATTTATCAAATCAAAACAATGACAACCAACCTGCAACACTGTTATAGCAACTAGGCACACTTTCCCCCATTTAAAAAACATCATTCCCTGAAATCATTTCCATACATATATGCTTCCATGCTCACAAATATAACCAAAAACAACAATATCACAGACTTAAAGCAGATGCAACTTTTCATATCAACCTCCAAGCATTACCTTAGTGCATCTTCATATTTCAATCTGTGTTCACAAATATAAATCAACAAGAAGGGGGGGAAAAAGAAAGAGAAAAAAGAGAAAGAGAAATACAAATATCAAACACGTAAAGCAGATGCAATTATTCATATCAACCTCCAATCATTACCTGAAATACATACTAACTCCCTGTTAACAAAATAAAATTAAACAACAAAATCCAACACACAAAAGATCTATGTCATAGTTAGAAATTATCAACTATCAACTTCATGTTACTTTCTGGGTTGCTCTGCAGACATACCTGTTTTTGTTTAAATTCGTACCAACATACAATCCTCCACCTGGCCAGCTTAGGCAAATGCCTCCAAGGCCCTGGTGAAATCCCTAGCGATGGTCTCCCTGAGAGACGGAGCCACATTGGCAAAGTCAGCTGCCAGCCTCTGCACAACCTCCTGCACAAGTTGTGCAGCAAGTCCCTGCTGGGTGGTAAGTCTGTCTCTGACAATCGTCGTCAAGGGAAAAAGGCCAAACAACAGGCCTCTCTTGAACACTTCCTTCTTGATGATGAGCACATCCATCATCTCGGTGACTTCGGGGTGCAAGTTCAAAAACGCCATGGCAACATTGCCAGACTCGTCGCTGGTGAAGTTGCCGCATGCCTGAGTCGTGTCGACGGCACCCTGGATGGTCTTGGTGAGGGCGCCAGTCCTGACGTAGATTTTCATTGCCGTGAAGATTCCGCCGGTGAAGTCTCGGACGGTAAGTTGGAGTTTGGAAACATTGTTGTTGATGTCATTCACCACATCGGTGACTTGATAGCCATCCGAGCTGGGAGCAGTGGGGAAAGCGCTGATGATTGCGACGATCACAAATAAAGCAAAGGCATACTTGACGAAAGTGGAGACCCTCATGATTGCAAATGTATATGCTTTTGCAAGGGGTAGAATGATTTCGAAAGTAGATATTGGTTTGATGCTTTGAACACGAACTGGAACTTAGATCTCCAGAAACGGAAAGTTTTCTTGAAACGGACAGTATTTGGAAGATCGAGATCTTGTACTGAGTTGATAGTGGACTTGTATTGAGGTGGATGTATTGGGTAGTAGACTTGTAGACGGTTATGAACGTGGTGAAAGAGTAGAAGAGTACGGTTGCGAGGACGATGGATGGAAGAATCAGAAAATTCCCCCCGGGACGGAGGGGGTCCCGGGGGAGATATATAAGAGAGGAAGGACATGAGGCAAATTTGAGTGAACTCTTTTAATGTGATATACTTTTAAGATCAAACTGAATATGGATTCTCACTTTGTGCTCTACCCCAATGGTAGAAAGCTGATATATGTTTAGGTTTAGTTTCAACGTTCTAACAGTTGGAACGGGCGGAATATAGAGTTTTGGAAGGAGCAACTAGCTCCGTACCAATAAGAAAATGAGATCTATAGGAAGTAAGTTTAGTTGGACACTGCTTAATGTCGTTTAAGTTTTGCGGAGAATTAAAGTTTACAACGGCGAAGGCAAGATGAAGTTCTCAACGGATTTTATTAACGTCAAAGTGCTATAAGCGGACGTTGCACTTTTTATAGAGAAGGTATGTTCATTATCCTCTTCGCGGAGCACTGATGAGGTGAGTAATCCAAGGAGGCTGCCAGCGTGTAGGTACTATGATCCACACACATACACAAACACACACACACGTCGACGGTTTAATCGCTACTTTTCTGGTGCATATCCCATAACTTTTGAAGATAAAGCAAAATTTAAAACCTAGTTCCAATAGGTTTACTTTAGCACATGCCCCAAGTGATTTCATGACTTTTTTGTGCCATCAGTGAACACGGGGGTGTTTCCAACGGTCATCCTGGCATGCGGGCGAACTATATTCCCTGGCAGCAGTTGGCCAGTTCCCAAAAGCACCTCTGAGCCTGTAGGTGACACTTCCAGGTTTCCTGTCCTTATAAACCTAATTCTAGTAAGTTTACTCTGGCACACATGCAAGTGAGTTCAGGACTTTTTCGCATCATCAGTGAACAAGTTGGCATGCGGACGAACCATAAACGGTGGTAACAGTCACCCGTTTGCCAACAGCATCTCTGAGCCTGTCGATGAAACATCTAGGGTTTCCTGTCCTCATAAAGTTTACTCCAGCACACACCCAGGTGAGTTTAGGATTTTTGCGTCATCGGTTAACAATAGGCCCTATCCAATAGCCATCTTAACATGCGGATGAATCATAAGCTGTTGCAACGGTTGACCGTTTCCCAACGGCATCTCTGAACCTGTCGATGAAACTTCTAAGTTTTACCGCTCCAGTAATCTGTGCTTCAACTATAGGGCCACCAGCATCTGACTTTGCAACGGCTCTATGAAGCGATGCAAATACGGATGCACCTAGCTGGGCCCGTTGGACTTGAGCTTCCCAAAAGGGTTTCTGCTGCTCGGCATGGGCTAAGGTGAGCAGACTTGCTCCGCCAAAAGAGTCTGATAATAACTTTGAACCGGTTTGTATCTGGCTGTATAGAGCCATGAGCTGCGTAAGGCGAATTAGATGGCGGGTTGGTGTTATTTCCGTTCGCCTCTGCTCGGTGGGCAATACATGCCCAATGCTAATGTTGCTGAAATCGTAATATCGAGATAGTGTGTAAGTTAACGGCCTTTGCCTGTTCTGCCATAGCGTGGCATCCACAAATGAAAATCGTGTGGGTTGTGTCATTTTAATGGAGAGCTCCTGAAGTTTAATAGCTGCATATGCCACTGGGGGAGCTGCGGCACTGGAAACCGGAAGCTGAATGGAGAGCTTGAGTGTTTAGCCTAGGAAAATTCCTCTTCTCAGGGAGCCGTGTTGGGGATGCGGAAAGCTTTAGTTTCTGTTGATGTACAGTACATGTACATGTACATGTACTTTGGGATAGCAGGGGGAGTGCGGTAAAAGTGCGGTAAAAGTGCGGTAAAAGGGCATGGTGATTGGGAACGAGTTATCCAAATATGGATACCAGCTGCAAATTAAAGCCGGCTGTGATGAAACTTCGCAAACATATTCCAGCACTGGTAACTAGGTAGTTACATCAATATCTGCTACATACAAACACCCAGGGTATGCTGTTCTTCTACAGCCATGAAATCCTTACCCTCCCTTGGGTCCATCAGTAATCCGCAGCCGTATCTGGATGGAGGGATGTCAAGGGGGATTTAGAGACATTTTCTCCCTCCGCATCACAGTCGCTGATGTTAGGGCTCGCTTACATAATCAGTCCGTCGCCTTTCCTGATTCGGCATGCGGCTCCAATAGCGCATTTCGCACTCCGTAGTTAGTTAGAGCTTAGTCAGCCAACATAGTTAAGGCCGGCAACTTCGCCAGCATCAAGATGGACAGCGACATCCGGAGCAATTTTCGCAATAATAACAGCTATCGTCCACCGTCTACCTGTCTTACCTCTCCTTTACGCAGGCTCTATCGAAGTACCGCCCCTTGAGCGTATCTCTACAGTGCGCAGTGGGGTTTTTATTTGCCCTTTCGCCGTAGGGAATCTTATCCGTTCGGTAGGTCGCAAATTTCCCTGCGCTGTTTATCGTTTCTTGCACTGTTTTTGCTCCACGAATGTGCGCATTTATTTGTTTAGCAAATCTACTACAAAGGAAAAGTGCTAGCCGGGCACTTTTCGTTAGGGAGGGCAAATTTTCCCGCGATAGCACTATCCACGGGAACGTGAAACTTTGAATGTGTTTCCTATATCCCGCTTTGTGGAGATGTGAATGCGCTTCTTTATATACTCATCAAGCACTGTGGTCTACTCTCGTCGCCAGTCCATAGACTCTATTCCAAGAGCGTTCAATTAGATGCTGGGAATGCTCTGCCGACTGTGATGGATATCTTCCATTCATTTCCATCCTGAGCTACCGTGGATAGCTCCACCAGAGATTGGCCAATGACATTGAATGGCACTGACAATTTTATATAACAGCGGACAAATACTCCTTTGGAGACTCCAACCGACCCCTCCTACCCCATATTCGAACGAATCCCGTTGATCACGCCCCTCCTGTACTCGAGCTCCGACAACATGGACGTGAAGGAAATAGAATTCAAGTCTAAGGCGTTGACGAAGGCTGCGACGTCCGGCGAGACCTCAGCAACGTTGATATCACTGCTCAGGGAGCTACAAAAAGGTGTGCGGCCGACAGAGGACCTCCTGCGTTCTACAAAAATCGGTATCATTGTCAACAAGCTGAAACAGCATAAGTCGCCCGACGTTGCTCGTCTGTCTAGTGAAATCGTCTCGAAATGGCGGAGCGAAGTCAACAAGCAAAAAGCCGCTGCAGGTGGTTCGCCGGCCGCAAGCCGGAGATCCAGCGATTCGCCCAAGCAGATTCCCAACGGCATCGCGCCACCAGCGCCCACGGCGTCGGATAAGCTGGCCAAATCCACCGTGCCTCCAGACAAGCGCAGTTGGAAAGCTGATCAGCTTACCATCACCCATACCCAAAATAAATCCCGCGATAGCTGCATCGGGCTGATCTACGACGGCCTTTGCCTAAATTCCACCGAGCCGCCGCGCATCGTCCTCCAAAAAGCCATCGAAGTCGAATTAGCCGCGTACACTTGCCTCGGCCCAGAAACGAAGGAACAATACCGCACCAAGATGCGTAGTCTGTTCCAGAACCTGAAAAACAAATCCAACCCAGGCCTGCGTGTGCGCGTGCTCTCCAACGAAGTCACTGCTGAAAAATTCGTGCGTATGACGCATGACGAGCTCAAGTCGGACGCACAGCGCGAGGAGGAACGCAGGATCCACAAGGAGAATATGGATAAGGCTATGGTTGCGAAGGCGGAGCGGAGTGTCAGTACCAGCTTGCAGTGCGGCAAGTGCGGACAGAGGAAGGTCACGTATACGGAAGCGCAGACGAGGAGTGCGGATGAGCCGATGACGTTGTTTTGCACGTGTACCGTATGCGGGAAGTCATGGCGCCAATAAGACGTGATCAATCTCCCTCTTTTTGATTGGAGCCCTTCGGAAATTGGGGCCAATCAGTACTTCTTGTTTCCGATCTTCCTTTGTATTTTGTGTTATTTTATTTTGTTTTATCTTCCCCTCTAACTGTATTTATTTGTGTCCTGTCCTTTTTCCATTTCTACCCTTTTTTTCTTTTCTTTTACAAATATCTTGCCTACCATGCGTCATCTAGAGGTGGCATTCTGTTTTCCATCTTTTTATTTTCCCCGTCCACTGTTAAAAGGGGGCCTCTTTCTCATTTTTCTCATACTCAGTACTTTTTAAACGGTGTTTATCATTGGGGGGTGTGTTTTCATGTCTAGTGGGCGTTTATTTTCATTTTCATTTTCATTTTATCTTTTTCATTTTTTCATTGAACGGGTTGCTTTGAACATTATTTTCCTTTCTTTCTGCCACTACTCTCCACGGCACTCCATCGCCTGTTACTTTTTAATTTCTAGGGGCTCCGGAGTTATTTCTTTTATTTTCTTTTTTCTTTCCCTTAAACCTGCAACGGCTTTAGGGAGTTTTAATTTCTTCCTTTTGAATCATTTACCTCCCTAATTGATGTATCTGGGTATGGCCATATGACTGTCATACCTGGAAAATGGTATCTCTGGAGGATGAACATGGTTTTGTTGGCTTTTGATAAATAAAGTGGAATAATTATTGTTTGTGTCGTATTCGCCTACTTCCGCAACTTGGGCTACTGGCCTGATGGACTTTACTTTTAGAGAACTCCTACTTCTGCAAAAGAAAGCAGGAAGAAAACCCACAAAGAAAGCGTCAGTGGGGTGGACAAAATAAAATTAGTTGGTAAATCTATCTTTCAAATATTTGATAATATTGCTCGCTCTATTCATTCCCTCCCTGAAAGTCTCTTTGATTCCCGCTCTGGGTTGTCATCCATGTGCCGTTTACGTACATATCAGATCACATCCAACACCATGCTAACAAAACTCCATTCAATCAAACCATCTGTCTACCCCTCACACACATTGCACATATGCCACGGACAGATTCACCACCTCTTATCCACCAATATCTATCTTTTCCCTAGCTTCCTCAACGCCCCTCTCACCTTCCTCCCCAAACGCATCCGGAAAGAACCCTGGCGGCGGCCAAATATCCGCAATCGACGGTGGACACATGATCTTGTTGAGGATCGTTTGCTTCCCCTTGCCCTCCTCCTCCATTCCGTCCTCCTGGTTCTGTCCCGGGAGCTCTTCAGCACTGTTCCCTGTGGAACTGCCATTGTCATGGTTGTTGAGGAGGGCGTCGTGGGATGATTTGTCATCGTATATGTCTATGATGAGCCGTGCATGAGAACTCTCGTAGTTGAGGGTGCGGGTTAAGAAAGCTTTCTGGGGTTTAGAGGTGGAGATATCACTATTGTTTGGGTTTGGGCGGTCATGGAAGATGGATTCTATATCATTAGAAGCTGGAGGGGAAGGGGAAGCAGGAGAGGGTGATTTGTGATTGGGGAATTGTGGTGTGGCCTTTTGTGGTCCAAGCGTGTATCCATCGTTTAAGGGCTGGAGGTGGTGGTAGGTCTCTTTTTGGTTGGCTTTGCACATATTAGATATATCTGACCGTGGAGGGGGCGGCGAGTTTTCTCCTTCTCTTGTTTTTGACAGGTTTGGTGTCATCCATGGGATCTCCCGTGTTGCAGGGGTTGGGGATTGCAGGCCTGCCCAGACATTGTCAAAGGCCTGCGAAGAAGAGATGATGGAAGCTTCACTCCTACTTCTACAATCAGAGGCGCTAAACTGATCCATGGGTGCTCTGGAAAGGAGCGAGAAGAAAGTCAGGTCCTCTTCGTTTGGTTGTTGGGCGTCTGCGTCTTCCTGCAAAAAAGATTCTAACACTTCGAGAATGTCATACACGCTCTCACTAGGAAGAGGAGGAGGAGGAGGTGAGCAATGTGGATGGGGTGGAGCTAGATTGCTTCTCGAGGAGGCTAGATGCAGTATTGGCAAAGAGGGTGCTACAGCCGATGACAACTGCCTCGTATCCTCAACTAGCGAGGAATAAACCGGCCAGATTCCTCCTGCTCGGGATATTTGACTGGCGACCGACTCGAGCCAGGAAGTATCGTGATACCGTGATGAGGCCTGTGAGCGTGCAGCATCAACGATTATTCTTAGAGAGAATTCGAAAGGAGGAGGGAGGCAGGTTTGAGTAAAATTTTGTGACTGGGAAGTCAAGAGAGAGAGCGTGATATCCATGACCTGGCGAAGTGAATAAGACAACTGCTGTATATGGGGTGACAGACGGGTGGAAAGCAGAATCAGCGCTGCCATCTGGGTCCAAAGCAGAAACGTCTGGTGTGGTAGAAAAGACGGGTTTTCGCCCAATAACATCTTCTTGCTAACATCAGACAACCGACACCCTGGCGGAAGCTTCATTTCCCAGTGTTTAAGATTCCTCAGGAAATACTCATGTGCCATAGCAGTGACATCTGGTGCCAGGGGAAGATTATCCCAGAGCAAATGGAGGAGTTTCGAAAGCTCTAACAGGCGGTTGAAAGTACTGCAAGAGCGGAGAGGCCCACGAGGGCAAGAATTTTCCCCTCCGTGAAGCTTGCGGAGAAGGAAAACGTCTACCCACGGGCCCCATTCTTCGAGCCCATCCTCTTCCAATAAGTTGACATTGCGTATGGTATCGGAACGCATGCGTGGGCACCTAGCGAGCCGAGCAGATAATAAGGTGTCGAGGAGGAAACACCCAAGAAATGTCTCTTCTTCCTTCGATTTTCCAGGTGATTGTTTGCTTCTTGATGCAGCTCCCAGGCCCAAATCGATAGCTACGCTTGCAGCTTGTCCACAAAGAACCCATGCGGCTGTCCAATCCCCGAATCCAATGTTTACGAGCGTTAAGAGCAGGGTAGCCTGAACATGTTCAATTTCAAATTTGCCCCTCTCATCCGGTATCAAGCTTCGCGCAACCGCATAGAACCCTTTCGCTTCTTCGCCGGGGTTTCTGAACCTTGTTCCAGCAGTTGAATTTTCTTCAGTATCTGGTGGGATCTGGGCTGCAGTATAGCTCAGAATCGCCCAGAGAGCAGCATGATTCCCCGATCCCGCAAGGTTGCTTGCCGTTTCGAAAGTTGGATCTAAGTATTGGTAGGATGCCTTGAGAATTTCATGTTTTGCTAGAATGGGGAACCAGCTGTGCGTATGTGCAAAGTACATATCGAGGAGGTGTGACGTTTGAATGGGGAGTTTCATGCGAGAGTTTCTTTCTGCAGTTGGACTCGAAATACGAAACTTGACTCTTCGGGCGTCTGTGTCAGGAGATCGGGGTGGCTTATGTTGAATCTGAGTCAATGCCCATGGCAAAATTTCTCCAACATGATGGTCTGAACAGTCATCAAGTTGAGAATCAGACGCGATGTCAGATAATGAATGTTCAGGCTCAATACCTCCCCTATCTTCTTCCATACGCGGCGTTCCAGTAATAGTTAACCCTGGATTCAACAACAACTCTTCAACACTCGCGTATAGCTCGCTCGATTTCCATATGTCATGTAGCCTTTCTGACGCTCTTTCATTGTTCCACAAGGATACAAGCCATTGTCTCCGAGAGGATTCGGCTTCTTTAGATCCCAGCATCTCAAGTATCCCCTCCTCGAGGCCCGCGATATTGGAGATTGACAAAGCCCAAAGCTTCTCCAAGCCGCGGACGTAACCCTCTGGCAGCCCTCGTTTCTTTGCGGTCGGGTCGTAGGAACAATCATGGCCGGATTCTCGACATGCCACGCATGCTGGGCGTTGTCCGTCACAACGATACTTCTTGCCTCGACATCTATCGCAGGCCTTCGATACTCGCTTTCGCTTGCTGCCGCTATATCGTGTTCCATGATCCATATTATCGAGGCTTTTTTCCAGCCACAGACTTTGGTCTTGATCTGGGATATGAGACTTGCAGCAGATTGCATGTATAAACAAACGACAAATTGGGAGAAACAAAAAAAAAAGAAACAAAGAATGAAAATTAAGACCTGCCCATCAAGCGCAGCAGCGGTATTTGAGGCGTGTCTCCTACACCCCAACAAGTTCCCTAGGTAATGCCTTGTGATTAACCATGCTCTCCAGCCACTTACCATCTATACTCCATAACCTAGAAGCTGCCAAAAGTCGTCCATACTGTAAAGTGACGGAGACTCACGCTGAGGCTTTCCGAGTGAGAGCAGAGGAGAAGCAAGATTATTGGCCCTCTGAGACAAGTTTAGACAGTTAAAAAAAACTTGAAGCCGGCAGGAATGCCGGGTTTCGGGCGTCAGCTGTTAGTTCCTGGGTATTTGATATCATCATTTTGGCTTTTGGCGCTTGGTCTATCAGAGGGATGACCATACGGCTGTAAGAATCGGCTGATGGGGGCTGGCATTTTCTGAGGGGTTACGGATACACTCCGCTAGCTTGGATAACTATATTGCGCCACCAAGGGGAACCAAGAGCAGAAGTATTCTTTTTCTTATCTTTTCCCTTTTCTCGTTTGCAGAGATAAATAGTTAACCTTGGAACTTCCTTATTATCCAAAGGAACCATTAGTAGAAACGAATCATGAAAAGGATTGAAGTTCACTGTGACGTTGGAGCCGACGGTGTGAACGTTTCATGACTAAGCTCTCCATCAACGCCCTGGCCGTTCACTAAAGGAATCATTTTCCAATCACCAAGTCAAGTCTGTAGTTATGTAACTACCAATAATAAACCTTTGTTTGGATGAAATGGCTAGTTAAATTCAATGCATGGCCATACACACTCCTCTCCCACCCACACTCGCTCACTAGCGATATTGCGACGGTAACATTTATATGGAAGGGTAATGCTGCTGCCCAGGCACCCTAATTGAGGGATATACTGTATACATTTACCCCATCCCAGCGAGGCCTTCAACAGCTTATACGGAGACAACAAAACTCAAATCTCGCCACATCGTGGTCGTCGCACTCTAGCCAACCACCATCATATCATGTCTTGACCGGGAAAGGAATGTTTATCTCTGTGACCATAAACAGGGTATCTATCTGGGCTATAACTGGCAGAAAACCCTCCAGTCCGAATTCAAGGAATTGGTTCAGCTGGCGGTAAACGAATGCGTGGAAGGGAAGAAGGACCTTGGGGAGGAGGCTCGCTGGATAATCTTTGACAAAAAAGCTTTCTTGAAAGCTCTTGTACTCTCATAAAGGCTGTCGACCCTTTTGCAAGGGGAATATTTATGGGTTAATAGAGTTGTACATGTACATGTACCTGAGCTTGCCGCAGAATTACCGCCCCTTTGCCATGGAAAGTTTTACACCTCCAAAAGTTAATTGCCAGGCAGGATATCGAGCACCTGAATAAACATGAGTTGGTAGTCACCAATAATCAAAATAGACATCATAAAACATCATAAAACATCAGTCCTGGAATCAAGTAGGAATTTCGCAACCTGGGAAAATGGGAGTGTTTCACCTCATCTCATATTTATAGGCAGGCAGGTCTCCCGCCAAGAAATGACATTTATTTATTTAGCTGCATAAATAAATAACAGCTTAAATATTTCCCCTGCCGACGCCAGTCAGCAATTCTTCCCCTCCCCTCCCCTCTCTTCCTCTGCGTCTATCACCATGCATCTCTCCTCTTGATATCTGCGTTTTGGATATGCAGACCGGTTTCTATACCACTACCTTGATCGGCCTCGTGTGTTTTGCTCGCCATGTATATCCCCGACCAGCCCCAGAATGTCTCCTTTCCCTGGGCAACGGCCACCTCAGCGTGTGAACAGCGAGGATGTCCCGTAGCAGATGCTGCAAACCTGAAAAAGAGGAAGAGAGATATGGGTAATTGGGATGGCCAGATCAACGCTAATATAGGCACTTGGTGGGTTTTTCTCTTGAATTTCCTTCAGTTTCAACCTTGTTTTTTTTTTTAAATCTTTCTCGGTGACTCGCAGCTTAACATATTGTCTCTCCCCAAATCAGCACCGCTTTCATCCCCGGCAATGCTCAACACATCGAGGATAGATTTAGAAATGGATACAGTCAGTTCTTGAAAGATTCCTCGTCGGGTGCAATAGCTTCCAAATTTGCTCTGCGGCCCAGCCCTGAACGGAGAACACATCACTCCCGTCCGTCCTGGCAACCAGCGGCAATCAAGCGGCGGCGTTTGATACAGCACCAACAAAACCAGCAATCACAGCAGGAATGGAATACTATTCCAAGAAACATATATTTAGGACAGAAGCAACATTTCTACACTCCTGATTCTGAGAGCACCTCGCCCACACTCGCATTAAAATCATCAACACCATCGCCACCGTTTCAAAAAGCGAAATCCAATACACATAACAACAACTATGACGACGACCCCTCGATTTCGTCCGTCTCACAAATAAACAACAAAACCACATCCCACACCTCCTTATCTCCCTGCCACATCTGCCACCGTCGCCCCACAACCCGTTCCACCCTCGACGCATACGCCGACTGCGACCTCTGCGCCGAACGAACATGCTACATCTGCCTACGTGAGTGTATGGTAGTCGATTGCAATGGCCCTCGTTCCCCTTCGAATCCAGGTCCAGGCTGTGGCAAAGATAACAATCATAATAATAACGATGGTGGTGGAGGAGGCAAAGCGTCCGAGTGGAGAGGGAAGACCTCACCGCCAAATTCCAGGCCAGGGCATGGAGACGAGGGAGCAGAAGAGAATGGTGAAAGAATGGGACGGAAGGTGTGTTCATGGTGTGCGGTTGAGAGCGTCCTCGACGGCGGGGGAGAGTTTGTGAGGTGTTTTGCGTGTGTGGCTGGATGGTGAACGGCCACGTACTTGGTTGGTTCATTCCCTTTCAGTTAGGTTTGGGAAGGGGATTAGATGGGAGTATGATTTTAGGGGCATGCGGCATATATATCTCTTTTGTATTACTATGCTTTATGGCTTCTTCTTCACTGGAGGGGATTATAAGAGTACAGATACCCCAGTCTCTTTTTTTATTTCTCTTTCTCCCCCCATTCTGGGACACGTGCTTGCCACGACACTCTGGACAGCATCCAGGGTGATACATTCACTCCTTCTCCTTTTCTTTTTTCTTTCTTTCTTTTCAATATGATAGAATGCCAGCCACGCATCATGACTTCTTTATGGTTTGGAAAGATTAGATCATAAGGAGCATGATGGCGGGAAATCTCTTTTACTTATTGTTAGTTAGCAAGCGAAGTATATAGGTAATAGGTTTTACTTTTGTATTATATTATAGAACGTCGTTCTGGATATTCCATTTTTATTGCGCATGAGGACTCAGGTGCGGTGTGTTATGTGTACTATATAGCTAGTGTCCGTTATTTTATATACTCTTCTAGCTACTATTGACTTAACAGTCAGAAATAATGTCCTTTATACAGGCAAAAAACAAAAAGCCTGAGCCTGACGGTTTGCACCCCAAAACAAGCGAGGTTAAGAGGAACCCCTTAAGAATTCCTATAGTATTAAAGCCGGAGAGCGCCGCATCAGGGCTCATTTCTACCCCTATAGACTAAGAAATCCATAAATGGAAATTCTCCCAGGCAGCCGGCCGTCTGACCATTCAATATCTCTCAAGACAAAGCACAGAAGTTAATATGACTTAAAACGAGTATATACCACAATGCAGCATTGAAGTGGGGCCCACGCAATGATACTGACTCCCAGAGGAGGAAACAAACTAATAAATACAAGTAGACGCAAAAAGGAAAAAATGGTGAAAGTAAAAGTATAGGAATGCCGGCACCCCGCCCCAATCTATCTCCCAAATCTCATCTCCGCCTTCGCAAATCTCCACAGACCCTTCAGAAACTTCTGATACTCAACCGCCTCTCCACCCCCGGTAATCACTCCCCCCTTATTTCCCGTACAATAGATCTCCGTCAGCCGCAACTGCCACGGCGGATACCCGTCCAGCCGCACAAACGGCCCAAACACCATCAGCAAATCCGGGTCAGATTTCATCAATGCCGCCGTTGCCGCATTCATCTCTACGCCGCCCGCCGTTACGGTTTCCGCAGACGACAGCGGCGGTGAATCCGACACCGTAGTGCTGGTGGTCCCTGTTCCCGTACCGGTGGAGGACGCGACGCTATTCCGCTCGTCGAGGTGTGGATCTCCCGGCATGCCGGCTAGCGGTGGTGTAGGTGCGGACGTCAGCTCGCTGAGCTCTGCGTCGATGAGTTTGGGACTTATGTCTTGCGGGGACAGTTTGCCGTGCTGGGCCATTTCTGTGAGGGTTTTTGTGAGGTCGACGAGGGTTTCGCGTCCGTCTGTGGCGGAGAGGAGGAGGAGGGTGAGGAGGGCTGGGTTTACTTTTGAGGACGGCGGGCAGAGGGTTGGAGAGTAGATGGCGTGGTGCGGGGCGAAGAGGCGGAGGGTTGGTTGGTGGGAGGGGGGTCCGTAGTACGTTGATAGCTTGCTTATGACTATTTTGTGGAGGGTTGGGATGTAGGATTTTAGGATGCCTGAGTTGTTGTATATATGTTAGTTTGGTTTGGTAATTTTCTTTTTCCTTTTATTTCTATTATCGATCATGCGGAAAAAAAAAAAAGGGGGAGCGGGAGGTTTCGTTTGAACCGCACCTGTCTTCTCATATATACTCAACATCGGAATGCCAGCGCACGAGCTCCAGGCCACCAACTCCGCCACCTCGTCCATAATCACATCCAACGCATCCTCGTCGTTCCCCAGCATCAAGACGACGCTCAGATGCTGCGGCAATTGGCTCAGGCCACGGACATCCTTCTGTATGAGCTCCGGTGTGCGGTGATGGTAGTAGAGGATGGCCAGGATCCGATCAATAATGGCATGATAGGCTTGACGGAACCGGATGTAAATGCTGAAAAAGACATGGATTAGGAAGTAGGTAAGGTAATGTAGTTTCGACTTGAGGAATGTTCGGATGGGTTTCTTCTTCTGCTTTTGCTTCTGCTTCCCATTCCTGGTGCGTGCTGAACGGATAACAGCTGGATCTGGGAGGTAGGGTTTGAGGAGCCGCTCACGCTCGGCGGGAGTGAGCTGTGAGGGATCGACTCGTGAGTTCCGTAGTAAACGCGGGTCTGTAGGGAGAGCCATGAGAGGGTGTGCGAACTGGTACAGGCGACAGATGTGATTTGTTTAGGAGGTCTCTTCCCGGACCAACTCTATGGGGTTTGGGTTGAATTTTCCGTTTCAAAAAAGTAGCATTAGGGGTATAATTCAGCGGCCGGTCCCCATGGGTATCAATGCATATCGAGTTCAGGCTAGGAAAGAAACTAATAGTTCCTCCGTATTGGAAGTTGTGTATTTGAGCGGAGCTGGGAGAATGTTGTCCTTGGGAGAATTGCGGAAGTAGATATTAGTTATTTGTTTATTAATAGTCTTCTGTCTGCGCCATGTTGGCGATTTGCCCTTTGCGTCATTTCCTCGGCTGAGCAGCGAACCTGCGACACACGTCCTCAATTCTTTAGGTATTTAGTTTGGTGAAATGGCGATTTATTGAGGTAAAGCCCTATTATGATCTTCTTACCGGCTACAGTCCGTATCTATTTTCACGCTGTTTTATTACCTTGATATCTTCAACTCTCATCACATTTTCATTTGGGACGTGGCAGTAAGGAGCATCCCTATGTGGAAATATAAATAATATTTACCATCTGCAACCTTCCAACGCGGCTCCGCAGTATATAGACAGACGACTACATAAAACCAACTGCTCAGGACAATTTCAGTACACCCTGCAGCAATGACTTACTACGACTAACGAGCATCTTCACATCGACTACTTGAATATGACTAAAACGCTTGTTCCTCTTCCCGCCCACCAATGATCCTTTGACAACGGGGCCATCACAATGCCAGATACCGCCTCCTTAAATTCGCAGAGCGCCCGCTCCACAGCCACCAGGTCCATTTTCAACAAAGGCCCAACTTTCACTCTCGAAACTTTCTCCAACCGCGATTTCATTGTCAAAGACTTCATCGAGTCCCTCTCAGACACTGCCATCCCGGCGTCCCAGCGCCGATCAGGTGGACCTGGCGGAAACCAACCCTTCGACCCCAAACCCCTTATTCGCACCTTCGAACATGCTCAACGTCGCATGGTCGAGTTGTCCGGCGACCTGGAGCTACGAGAAAATGAGCTATCCGCCGCCGTGAGGAGGGCAGAGGCCCAGCATGCGCAGAATGTCAGCTCTCTTGGCCTCAAATTAAGCCAGACCATCGAGTCGTTTCAGAAGCTGGATACATCCCTCAATGGGCCAGGCGGAGGGGCTGGTGGAAATATTGCTGTTGAGACGGGAAAGAAGCTGGAGGAACTGGACCGCCAGAGGAGGAGGGCTTTGGATGCACATTTCCTGATCGAGTGCTGGGATGAAGTTAGCAACCGCGGGGAGTTGACCCTCTTGGAAAATCTAAGGCGATCGGGAAGCGGTGAGGGAAAGGTTAGGTGTGCGCATATGGCCAGGCAATTACTCAGGATAAGCAAGAGATTGGATCCGAAAAGCTGGAGCGAGGAAAATGGCAATCCCGGGATAAACGGAACATCTGTGAACGGCTCTTCCACCGCGAAACGTACTAATACAAGGGAGATTATCGAGAAGTTTTCGGAGACTCTGGAGAAAGATCTGCTGAAACAGTTTGATGACTTTTACCGGAAAGCCAACTTTGATGGTATGCGCGACTGTGCAGCGGTACTATACGATTTCAACGGTGGCGCCAGTGTTGTTGGATTATTCGTTAATCAACATCAGTTCTTTATTGACCGCAGCCAGCTCATTACTGAGGAAATTGGAGGCGATGCCGAGACGTGGGAAAAGCTAGCTGATCCCGACGCTGAACCGCCAGTTGTTGAATCTAGCCTTCAGTCGCTGGTCGACGAAGTCAAGGTGGTGGTGCAGGAGGAATCTACGATTATCAAACGTGCGTTTCCGTATTATGAGCAAGTTCTTGAGAAGTTTTTGCAAAGGATATTCCAACAATCTATACAGCAGCGGTTAGAAATGGTGTTAGGGAAGGCTGATAGTGTATCATCATTGGCGTTCCTAAGATCTCTTCAAACTGCGCGGAGTTATATTAGCGGCCTAATCGACGATATGAAGTCACACGGCCTAACGGAACATCCGGAAACTATATCGGCCAAGACTGCTATCATCTTGGATCAACAATTGGAAGACCTTTTCGTTCCCTATTTTGGAGGCTCGTCCTACATCGAAAGAGAGAAAAAAAATTTGGAGGAGCTTTACACCTCACTCATGTTCAAATTTACGACCTTCCATAGTCGCAGGAAGAAATCAACAGCCACATTCATGTCGTCTCTGGCCAAATCTGGCAGCGAACTCATTAACTCTGCCAGGGATGCGTATGTCAGTCGGCTCGATTCGTCAGACTTCACGCCCACTCAAAAACGAATGCTGCTGCGTGTTGCTGGCCTCAAAGACAATGCAGATTTACAAAAGCAAAGTGAAATTGAGCTTACGGATGAAGACGGCCGCTTAAACGTCGGCTTTGCGAAGCGAATGTTGAAATGGCTTGCTGAAGGGGTTGGGCGCGATCTAGAATTGGTTGTCAGCAGCGATACGCCAAAAGATGTTTCCGCACTTTTGAACATGCTTCTATCTATGATGGGAGAAGGATACGTCGAGGTTGCGCTCGATGGCACTCTCGAGTCCGCGTCAAGCCAAGAATCCTCAAAGACAGAACCAGACTTTTCGTACTTGGGCAACCTACGCGGTGCGATTACCATCACACACCTAATGATGACATGCATTAACGCCGTGCTTATTCCACTTGCAGCTGGGAATATTACGATCAGGAGAGATATGGAGAAAAAGGCTGCCCTAACAATGAACCGGATCGAGGATAAGATCAATTCTATCGAGCAGAAAACTGTAGACGTGGCGCTTTCCTGGGTTTCACGACTTCTTTCGGGCCAGAAAAAGAACGACTTCCGTCCGAAGGAAGATGCCGTAGATGGTGATAGCGCATGGCTGGAGATGCTGCAGACTCCCGTAAGTTATTCTTTCCCGTCTAATCCCTTCCCCGATAAGAAAATGCAACATTGGGTCCCATCGCTGACACAATCCTAGACGTGTGCCGCCATATCCACCTTCCTTAGCCGTCTACACACCGCAATCGTCACTTCACTCTCCTCCAGCGGCCCCAACGTCAAAATTTTCCTCACTGAAATCGCCCTCGGCGTCCGCACCTTACTCCTCGAACACTTCAAGCGCTTCCCTGTCAACGGGCCCGGCGGCCTTATGGTTACGAAGGACATGACCTGCTACGTAGATTTACTACGATCATGGGATATCGATGACGCTGTTAAAGGCGTTGGCGGCGCGCTCGATGTTCTATTGGAAGTTGGCAGTCTGTTCGTCGTTGGGCCTGAAGCGTTGCGAGAGAGGGTTCGGGCAGGAACCACTAGGGCGACTGGTAGGGGTGGCGCTGGCTCTGGGACGAGCAGGACAGGCGGATCCGGGACTGTGGCGCAGGGCATGGCGGAGGCGGGGTTGACAGTTCAGGAAGTCAGGGCTTATGTTATGAGAAGAGAAGATTCAGGGACGGTGGGGATGCAGAGTGTTTTTAATGCGTTGTGAGCAATGATTGAACATTAAAAAAGGGTGGTTTGGAGTGAGCTTTCTGCTTTTTATTCACATTTGATTCCCCATATACTCTTTCCCCCTATATTTTATCATTTTTATCATTTATTTTGAATTCCTTTATAATGACCCTTGCAGCAGTTTATCCCTTCTCATTCAGATCCCTCTAATTGCCCATATCCAAAACGGGGGTAAGTGACACCTATAAAAATTATATCGAATTAAATAATCAAGTCGACTGGATGAAGCCCTTTTAGCAGGCGAACGGGGAGGTATATGTGATAGCCTTTGGCGGTCTTTCCCACTGTGAAGTCTTAGGTATTCTCATTGCCTGCTCGGTAGTCAAGTGCAAAAGGTAACCAAAATACCCATATCGACCCCTGGACGGGCGGCTACTCGTGACACGTTCCGTTGACCGCTTGAATACTTTGAATGAGGTCTTTGGGAAATCAAAAGGAGGTAAAAAGTAGCAAAATGCTAGGTAGTAGCATGCATGCATGCATAAATAGACCCGATAATTCATTGGGACTTGCGGAAGTGTTAAATTCTTGCTATGATCATATATGACTTGCTGACTTGCAGGTGATTTAGAGTTCAGGCGGTCATTGGACGGGATCAATTGCAGGTATTTCCGAGACATCCCTTTTGTACCGTACACGTACATGTTGAGTTCGTATATGGTTAAAATATGGAAACGAATGAGTGGGCGCCGGGCGGACATTCCTGTTTTTGTGCTCGTGTTTTTATATGCGCTCCCAGCAGAACCGGAATGACGCAGAGAAGAAGAAAGGAAAATACCTTGGGGCCGGATAACCTTGAAGATACGGCCCAAGTATGTCTCACGCTGATCTGTTTATGTTTGATCTGGTGAGGCTGATGAGCCAGCGCACAGAAATCTTACTGTTTTTGCCCTAGTTGAGTAAGGATCGAGTTCGACAAGCCTGGTTAGGGAATATGGACCCAAATTTGAGACGCCAACAACTCACGAATCAAGGGTATGGCATTCAAGCTTCATGAAAAGAAGGTTGCTGGTGAAAGGGGATTATAGATACGAAACGATGATAGTGATGCTGGAGAATACTTCTGATTTTCGCAAGGTAAGTCTTTTAAAGAATCACAATGCCTTATGCATTTATCAGATATTTGGGGGAAGTTTCATCCACTCTGGGTCTCTATCATGGAATGAAGGAGACGGATAATCCCGATTTGGGAAACCAATGGCGTCTGCTTATGTTCTTCAGCCGCTTCTCTCAGATCTCCCTTGTGTTGGCAACGCAGAATGTCCCGTAGAAGTCGTCGTACCATGTGATGAAGTGTAACCTATCAAGTGTTAAAATCCTTTCATGGTCTGCTAGAATGTATTTTGGCCCGATTGTACTGTACATGAATTACCGCCAATGAAGGGGTTGCCATCAACCTCAACCTGAACAGCATATTTCACCAAAAACGGTATAAGGGGATTTCGACAGACAGTACGTGGTTGCAAATCTTTGCTGCGTCACTACCCAATGACCCCAGGAACCTTCGTTGGTGCCACCCGTCACAATGACACTAGGAGATCTCACATCCGCCCGTTATTGCTCTGTTGCAATCCCAACCCTAGATTGAGATAACATCGTCCCGATCGCTATAACCTCGTATTCTGGCTAACTCGCTCCTCTCACTATTTTCAGATCTTCTCCCGAATACGATCCTAGACGGGAAAGAGGAGAAAACAGGTGAACGAAAACCAGCTCATCAAGAAAAACTATATAAATCCCCTCCCCTAGCCAGGGCAAGGGTCAAAAGAGGACCACCCAACCCTAACCACAGTCTACCCCACGGCTTTCTCAAGAAGCGATAAAAAACCAAGTCTTTCCTTGCAACCAACTTCCTCCTCATTTCCAACGAACCTCCAACGATGAAGCTCAGCATCGTCAACCTCCTTGTCACCGGTCTTCAACTAGTCACTATTGGTGTGGACGCCTGTAAATGTCGCGAAGGAACTAAACAGGGTCAATACTGCGGCCACTGCTCCGCAGTGCTCGTTACCCCTGATTTTGTCTATGATCATGTGTACGAGTGCAACCCGAGCGGCGGATGCATGGATTATGGAAAGCGCAATGATTGCGAGAGGAGCAATAACCCTTGCCCATTCTGAAGCGGTATGTTAGAGAGCTTCCCCCCCCCAACTCTTTTTTTTTTTTTTTTCCGGATGGCAGCTTTTCTGCTTGTAGCACATTTGGAACGCGGTCAGGGTGGCTAATAATCAGGATCACACAGAGCCCCATAGAGAAAGCTAGTGGCGAGCGGCTTTCGAGGTAATTGGAACAAGTGGATAGCTGAGTAACCTAGGGAGGAGGAACAGGATTGTAGGAGTATCGGCAGCTGCGAGCCCAGTTAGTTGAGGGTTGAAATGCTGAAAACTGGGAAATCGTTTGATATTTCTTTTTTCGACTCGGACTTATGGTTGTTGAGAAGGAGAACACGTATCACTCAGGGTGATGATTGAAATCTGCGCTATCACAATTAAAGTCAAAGTCTTATCCTATAATTGCCTATTCATACCACCAGCCAGCACACCGTTGGTTTCAGTAGTACGTCAGCAGTGTGTGCTAGTTGAGGCGAAGCAAAAAATAAGCTTAAAGATCTGCAGAACCCGCAGGTCTTGGCGCTGAGGCTCAACCTTAATTTCCTTAAACCAATCTTGCCAAAATAGAACTAGCGCCCGTAGGCGGCTCTCCCGTTAGGTATCAGCTCCACTGATTAGAGTCAGGTCCCCGGCCCGCTACCATTGATTCCAGCATGGATACAGGCCTCATGTTTACGGGTTCCCCTAGGTAGAGGAAGGCGGTTTCCCTTTCGCCCCATCGTCCAGTAGAACAAGAATAGCTATGGGACAGGCTTTTTCTAGAGTCAAAATGGCTGATCCTGACCTCGAGAATAGCAACAATAACAATGTCGATATCAATAAGCACTCCTCAACCTTTTATGGTATATCTTTCGTTTGCAACGTACATAAGCGAAGAGCTCAGCCAAGAGCCTCAGCATCACAAGCACTGGTATACCGCATCGAGATGGAAAGTCAGTTGTTGTGTTTTTACCAGAGCATAATTACTATGGTTATGATCATGATGATGATGAGATGAAGGCGGCTGTAGTGCGTGCCACTGAAGTATATGAGTTGTCTATGTTTGAGCCACAGTGAACCCCCGAGGATTGTGCAGTAGGTTTTAGTTTGAGAGGCCCCTTACATTACTATACATATCCCTCGGCTTGGTAGAGATGTTAATTGGCCCACCTGGATAGGTATCTTTGTCGACTTAACTCCAAATGTAGCAGGATTCTACCTCGAACGCTTCACGATAAACTTGTCACCGTCCGACAGAGATAAAAGCCTCCTCGCGCTGTATTCCAGACGGGTACTCCAGACCCTTTCAGCACTGCACTATATCCACACCCATTCAGTATTTCTTTCTAATTTTGGAGCTAATTCCATCTGGCTACGAGCCGATATGTCTATTGCTGTAACTGTGTTTATAGCTACAGTCATCCCCACGCCAATTCCCGGATATGACGACCTTGGTGTTGAAACTAACAACTGTGAATACGTTCTCCAGACGCCAGAGAACGCCTACCGCTCCGGATCTCTAGAGTTACTTGAGCATGGTCAGCCTGCGTTCGGCGCGGCGCATGATCTATTTGACTGGGCCACATTTATGTGCCGGCTCTTGACCAACTATTATTCAACCTGCCCTCTGCCGCGACCCGGCGGCTATCATACATCGCCTCTCATGACAATGGACCCAGCGTCCTGGAAGGATTTTAGCAATGATAGAAGGCCGTGGAAATACGAAGAGAAAAGGCAAAAGGAGGGCGCGTGGCACGTACTTGAGGAACAGAGACTCGGATATAGACTTGTGAAGCGTGGAATCGATAGTATGAGAATGCGAAAGAGGCATTGGAAGACGTGCAAAAGGTTGTGCAGAAGACGGGCTTGCTGCTCGTTGGAGAAGATGAGGTTGAGCTGGAAAAAGGCACTCAAAATGGGAGAATGTTTTTGATGTAATCAGAACGGGCGATGAATAGTTCGATCAAGAGCTTCGGTTTGCAGATAATGCGGAGGAAAAGATTGCGGTTTAACTTTCCTTAACTTCGCATTTATTAGCCATGGCAATGCTTTAGGAGCGTAAGCATAGTAGGTGTCGTAGTAACCCAGTGGTACTTCTTGACTGCGCGCATTAGGGCATGAATTGCCCAGCTACTCTATACCAGACAGAACATCAGGTATGTATGTACGTACACTAGGTGCAAGTACCATGTGTGCGATAACCACCCTCAAGGATTGAATTTTATCAATTTCTCTCCCGAATTATTTCAAATCCAAATTCGGAAAGATTTATACAGTTTACCACCTGTGTCTGTATGTACCTTAGCTTCATTGCTTCTTTCTATGATCTTAGTCTTTCGTCAAACGTCTAAACAAGAGAGGGAAAAAGCCCAATCGATCCAAAAATTCGAACCTCACACGTCCCCAACGTTACAAATACTCGCCCACTGGATGTTCTTCAGACCCTGTGGGACCGACAGTCCCTCGACAGTCCAACTGGCAATAGCTAACTCAAACACCCAGGCAAGAATAGTCTTCCCCCAATGCATCTCCCTGCCCCAGATCGCATCTTCAATGACAGCCCCAACGCCATTCAGCAGAAAGAACGTGTAGATTCTCGCGAGAGCATCGACCGGTAATAGTGGCTTCAGAGCATACACGTGGAAAAATCCCATAAGCGCAAACGATGCAAGGACGCCAAGGGCCCTTGCTATGGAAACTGGCACACCGTATCGTTCGGGTAGAGTATACCGTATCGGTCCATATGCGAGCGAGCGACAAGGGCTGGCAAAAGCGCTGTGCCATGTTTCGCTCCAAAAGGTGCTTAGGGAAGTTGCCGAGTAAAGGGGTCCAAACAACGGGGGGCTGGTGTGATAACGTAGCATGAGCTGAAGGGTCTCCCAGATCACATATATGGCTAGTAGCACTTCCAATGCAACCACTGTAGGGTTCGATTGTGGAAAGAGCGTTTGTAAGATGGCAAAAAGCGCTGCGTGGAGTACTAGATTAACCGGTTCGGAAAAGTGAGGCTTCCACTGCTTCGACTTGGGACTTGATCGGCCGTTGCGATAGTAATTTCCACCTTTCCCTTTCTGAGGACTGGGTGCTGGGGCAGGACCGAGTCGGGTGGTATTTGGCGTAAAAGATTCGTACCGCAATTCCGTCAGGTAGAGAAGAGCTAACAAGCCAGGCCCAGGTATTGGATTCTGCGCATACTGCGGCGGGTGATAACGTCGCGCGAATAGGTCCAGCGCTTTCATCACGCCAATGGCAACTATATGCAGGTCAGGAAAATGGTTTATTTCGATGCTGATACTCTCCGATGAAACGATATCAAGCCCAAAAACAATGAAAACTTCATATGGATATCAAAATTTCAAGCATGGCCCCCTGATTTTGCGGATACTGCCATTGGCTAGGTACTTGGTATCTGGTAGCCTTCAATCGAGCGGAACAAAACGAAATATACACCATTCCAAAGCTAGAAACCAGAAGCCAAAAACCGCAAGAAACATTCTAGAAACGAAAAAGATGAATATCCTTACCAGCAAAAAGCTGTAAGCTCCGAATCATATTGCACTCCAACACCACCAAACAACTGCTCACAACGAACCCGACACTCGCCAACAGGCTCAGGACCTCGAATTTCCTAGTTTCGCGCTTTGCGAGCGCATACAGTGAGAAATAAAGCAACAAAGCAGGTACCAGTAGTGATGAAATGCAGAAGCCCAGGTTGATTCCTATTTGCTTGAATGCTCTGCGAGCCTCAGGGGCAAAGGCGAGAGAGTAAAGTTGATAATCGGTCATGACTCCGGGGCTGATTGATCTGCGATCCTGTCGCAATGCCTCCCTGCCTCCTATCTGTCTGTTTCCTCAAGCGGATATCAAGGAGCGGTTGAATATGCAGCGAGTGGGGAAAGTCTATTTGGGATTTTTGGTCAGGTCCCAAGGTCGATACAGAGTTTCCAAAAGTGAGAGAAAGCGAGGCAAACCAGCGATGCGATAAGTGGAAGGCACAGGGGCATCAAAGAAAAGACGGAAATCATAAGAAGAATAGAATAAACAGGAAAATAATGATAGTGATAGACATGGAGTTATTGTAACCTGAGGGAATTTGGCCACTTGGCTTGAGCATCAGAGGTCTAAGAATAAAATTGGCCGTGACAATGACAGTGATTGACAATGACTCCAAGTCAAATCGCAGACAGCATTCAAACCTTGAGGGCCAAAAAGCAGCCCTTTTTCCCAAAACAGCACAAACAAGAGAGGGGGATGGTAGAGAAAAAAGCGACTTCAAAACAAGCATTTATGATACGAGGGGATACATCAAAGTTGCCACACTTTTTCTCTCCACAAAATAACTTTGTAGGCAGCAGTCCTGCGTGTACGCTGGCGTACATGCATGTGCGTGCTGCTGCAGTAGGAGGGAATGATGTAGTCAAAAGGAAAGGAAACCATGTATCATCTCATGCATACGAAGATGGGAGACAATACAAGTCCCCTCTATTCCTCAAAGAGGTGTTGGGATGAATGATGGGTCTTCTTATGTAGTTACATGTACATACAAAACATGAACAGCGGTCAAAGGTCAAAGACATCTAACTGTTTGAACACACAAAGCCGGACGTTCCGGCGATCCCTATGCCTAAACACTATGATTTGCTTTTTTCTTGTATCCCGAAAATGAATGTGATATGCCGAGAGCAATTCTAAAAAATAATTAAAAATAATTAAATAAAATATAAGATGATAATAACAATGATATTTGTTGGTGCGGCTACTACTCCGTACTTTAATAGTTAATGGATAGAGAGGAACTCAATTGAACTGGCATGGAACGGATACGCTGGGCTAATTCATCGCTTGTTACAGTAGCTAGTTAAATTCTAATTCTGCCAAAACTAAACTTCGGGAATCGCTCCCGAGATATAGAAAACACGGGGGCTAATGCTCAGGGGACGGCTACTATTCAACTCCAAAATAACAAGGTCATTCACGATGGCCGCACAGCATCTGCACGTTTGGGTCTTTCAAACCAAAAGCCGAAAGGCAAAGAGTAAAGTAACAAGCAATAAGGAGGAGAGCATGATTATGACGTGACAAAAACGGGAGAGGGATAAGGTGAATCATCCTTGCTCGCTCCAACACCATTAACCAAGCTATAATAAACGATATCTCATCGCATCGGGGAACTAGATTGTTGTTGATTTCAACTTCTCGCCTAGCTCATCCACGGCTTTATCCACGTCCTGGGCAACTGGCTCATTTTCGGCCAAGTCGGCATCCTTGAGTATATGGTCAGCCTTCGCCCGAATGTCGAACTCGGCCTCGGCCTCATCTGCTACGCTTTCCCATTCCCATTCTTCCTCTTCTTCTTCTTCTTCCTCTTCCTCCTCCTCTTCTTCCTCTTCCTCGCCTTCTAGCTCGTCAAGTTCATCCAGACCCCACGCATCATCCTCATCATCTTTACCGAACAGTTCCTTACGTCTCCTCAATAGCTCCACCAACCTCTCAATATTCTCATTATCCTCATCGAAAGCATTCGCATTAAGGAGAACCTTCTTAAGCGCGGGGAGACTCGTTTTAGCAACGTGGATCAAAGCCCGCACTCCCTTGCCATTTATCTCGTTGCCCTTCAGCTTCAGGACCTCAATCCTCTTGTTCCCGCCGGCAGATAGCGCCTTCGCAACCCGGAGCCAGCCCTTGGCGGTAAGAGCACAGTCATCAACCCCCAGTTCGCGAAGGGATGGCAATCCCGCCAATACCGCGGCTAGAGCGACAGAGCCGTCCTTCCCATATGTATTATCTTCGAGGTCGAAGACCTCCAACTCAGGCGCGTGACAGATGCCCGTGTTCAACAGTTTTACAACACCCTTGGAATAGATGCCATTCTGCTTCATTCTAATTGTTCGGAGGCCCTTGCCGTTTGCCTTGATAGCCCGTCCCCATGCCTCCATGCTCCCGGCCTCCAGTCTGTTCCGGCCGCAGATGATGGTCTCCAGGGCTGGGACCTCATATTTTATTTCGGGGTTGGATCGCGCCTTAAGTTTGCCCTCGCTGAGCTCCGTTAGCGCATTCGCGATAAACGTGCCTGCCTCTGGGCCTAGGCCGTTGTTGTTCAATATCAGATGGCGGAGGGGGAGGTGTGCTCTGAGGAATTCGACGAGGGGTTCTTTGGTATTCACGCCGAAGGCATTGTCGCTGAGATCGATGGTTTGTAGGGTGTGGACGTCAAGGAGCGGTCTGAGGATCGAGTAGAGCGCAGTGGGTATTTCGTTAAGGAGGCGACCCGTGAAAATGTCGTCAAGCCTTATGGTTTGTAGTTTTTTCTGTTTGCGCAACAGCAGGCCTAGTTTTCTGCATGCGTCGGGACTGTATGAGTTGCCTCCCAGGTATATCTCAGTGAACACATCGTCAGTTTTGACGAGGGGGTCGATATATTTCTCAAGCTCTTCGAGGCCATCGCCGTCCACCTTCTGGAGCTCAGCGTCGATCTGCTTAATCTCGTCTTCTAGGTTCTTCAATTCTGCTTCTTTATCTTTTTTCGCTTGCAGCTGGGCTCTCTGCCCTTCAAGTATTCCCTTTTTCTTTTCAAGTAATTCTTTCTGAGAGTCAAATTTCTGGCCCTTGACCCCAATGACAAAGATGGTAGATGGAGGGGCCATGGCGGGGTAAAATATCGGTGTGAGCAGACGCGATCATTCAGGAGGAGGTAACTATGTATTTGTGTTTCCAAGGAAGTGTAGACAGGCGGTTGTATGGATCCAAATAGGGCCAGCGGTATGAACTGATGTAGCGAGAGGAGTAAGAGTGCACAGGTAGCAAAAGTAGTGAGCCTTTGTTTATTTGAATTTTTGATGTTGTCCTGATCCCTCGTGCTGAGGGCCTCGGCACGACTGATATTCCGACTTCCGCAGAATATTCTCCGCTGATAAAAATTCCAAGGCCGCCGGAGATCCATTTCATTAACTATGATTGATGAATTATTATAATTTATATCGCGAATTCTACAACATCACTTACAATCCCTCTTACATCCCACCCTCGCTTTCTCATCGCGATCAGTTTTCCGTATCTGCCTCTCAAACATGTCGTCCACCTCCGCCTCGTCCATTTCCATTGGTGAGTCGCAATTATGATGCTGCTACCTTCCACCCCGGCCCTATCAATCAGGTTGTAATCCATGAGCAGCACGACGAGTTAAGCTAACCAATTTCCCCGTTCTTCCAGGGTCCTCCGCAGCCCTCAACTCCTCCACATCTACTTCCGCAGAATCATCCTCAAAACCCAAGGTACGTACGGTCGTCCCATACACTCCCACCCGCGAAAACTTGCACCGCCAAATCCACCTGCCATTACTCTGCTTCCACCCTTATCCAAGTCAACCCATCATCTGACTCAGCCCACAGCCATGCTGCGTATGCAAAGACGAAAAAGCCTCCCGTGACGACTGCATGCTCTTCTCCAAATCAGACGACCCCGCGGAACAAGAATGTCGACCGCTCGTCGAGCAGTATAAGAGCTGCATGGCTGGGTTTGGGTTTAAGATTTAAAAGAAAGGGAAGGGGAAAAAATATAATATGGAGAAAGAAAGAAAGAAATGCCGGTTGGGGTTGGGACATGTTCTTTTTTCTCGCTCATGTTTTACTATAGAAGGCAGGGCGGAGACTATCGGGATTTACATGATGGAGTGAATGGAAGCTGCGAAAAGCGCATTTATAGCTTGGCTATTCGGCGAGTGTACGATAAGGGCTTTCGCTGGACTTTGGAGATGGATATATAAATCATATCTTCCTCTGGGTGCGTTTAATTACGGCGTTATCTCAAACGGAGGGGTCTTGTTTTCTTTTGGGGAATTTTGTACATGGGCGGGTTCATCATCTTCATCTATGTCATTTGGTGTATATTATTCGAGAGAGTGTCCAAAATAGAATGTCTCCACTTGCTTTGCGCCTGCCATTTGGGATAATCTGGGTCTATTCTCGCTACGTTGCTACCAAACCGATGCTCAAACCCTCCCTGTAGAGCTTCAAATATAGGCCCGATGATTCAGAAAACTAGGGATGGGGAGGGTCCGGGAAAGTAGGATATAAATTAAGTTATATTCGTAAGAGCATATGTATTAAAAGCCAGGCATTGACGTTCGCTCAGTTATGTGCATTTTTTCCTGACATTTAGATGAAAATAAAAATGAAATGGATAACACCATGTAAACATTAACTATGCAAATGTGGTGCAATGCTCGCAAAGACGCAAGAATTAAGAGAATTGAGAAGGATGGGGAATGAAGAACGGAAGTATAGAGTGGGAATAGAAGATGAGAGAAGGGATTGGAATAGGCGAAAGAAGGTAAAAGAGGAGCAAACGTCACATCATAACATAAAACTAAGCCCCACGAAGAAAGGAAACACCGTAACAAAGGAAATGAATAACTTGGAAACCAACAAAGAAACACGAGACGAACGCCTGAAGGGATACTAGGAAACAACAACAACCTCCTCCTCCCAAATTTGAGATTAAAAAAGTAATGACTCCCAAGTATGCGGTCCATCTGCAGTGGCCGTCGAACAGCAATAGAAAACTCGAAACCAGTCTATCTCCTGTCTCTATGGTCGTTATCTCGGACAGATATCGTTATTGTCGTCAGCAGGGGACTGCGGTCCGTAAATTTAGATGGGTGTTGGCGAAAACTATGGTTAAGTTGGATTGGTAGAGTGGTGTTGTGAAAAACTCGATCGTTCTTGCGAGCGGTAAGTCTTTTTTTACTCGATGTTTGGTCGGGCAGACATTTTAACGTCTTTTAAGCACTGATGCTGGACCCTGCGCTACCTCCAACCCACCGAAGTCTTCTCAATCCGCCTTTGACCGCTTCCTTCCCACACCCAGCACCGGCCCTGATACCGGATACTTGATCATCCGCTGAGCTACTCCCATTGAGGAACCCACCAAGCCCATTACTCCCAAGTCCATGTGCAGTTTCAGTGTGGCCCACTTCTCGCCCAAGAACGTAGCCAGCAGAGAAACTAATGGCAGAGAACAAAACAACCACACCAGCGCTGATGACCCACGTCATAACGGTGGGAGTGATGATCGATGAATACTGGGACATAGAGACACGGCGTGATCGCTTTGAGGATGGAGAGTGATTGCGAGATGGGCTTGGTTTTCGTCTTGCTTTGTGGGCTGAATTAGGCGATGCGGCACGTTTGGAGGACGCGGAGCGTGGAGTGCGACTCTGTTGTCCTGCGATGTTATTAAACGTAGGGACTGTTTCCCTGGCACGTTCTTGACTGGGGTCTTCTCCCAGAGCAACAGATTCGGGAACTAATCGGAAGGCAGCAGGTTCAGGTCTCTCGGCTGTTGGAGGCTGGGTGTCATGTTTGGGCAAGCCACGGGCTGCGGCCGCGCATGATAGAAGTGTGGAAAGGCTTGCGCGAAGAGCAGCGTCGTTATCAGCTTGGTATGACGGAGATATCATATTGTAAGGGGAATGCTGTTGTTGGCGGTGTCGCGCAGAGTGTATACTGGAGCGCGAGTTTCTTCTTGTTCCCGGCCTGTAGCTTGAACGTGTTGATGCTGGGTTTGTAACAAAGTGGGACTGTCTTGATCGTTGGGTTTGCGAAGCGGGAGGGTGCGAGAATGCATTTGGCTGTGGCGTGAAGGCCGGTGGGTTCGAGTTCAGTCCAAGAGCGGTAGAGTTATCATCTTCATCGCTAGAAATCGTAGCCTCAGACGCGGACGAATTCCCACGAATAAGTACCACATTTCCACGACTTCGAGCAGCGATATCTTCGTTAGAACTGCTTAGCACACGATCTGACTCGCTCTCACTCTCTTCATATTCGTCTTGACTACTTCCGGGAACACTAGGTGACCGACGCGAGCAATGGATGGTAAATTATCG